ATATATAATATATACATATACTGTAAATAAAAACTTTTGAGAGGGGTCTGGTATTGCCAAAAGTAGTTATATATATATAGTTAGTTGTTATATATATATATATATATATATTAGATATTTACTCACAAATTAATTATTATTATTATTGCTGTGCGAATATACTCATTTGAGGTTTATGCACATTATAGGACGATTATTATTATTATTATTATTAGTTGTAGTAGTATTATTATCATTGTATTATATTATTATTATTATTATTATTATTATTATTTATTTTATTTTGTCTGGTACTGTTGGCCTAAATTCATGTACAATATATTGTATAAGTCATCTCTGCTAATTAGCATGCATCAGCTCTGTACAGCTACGGTATATAAACCATTTGTTATTTTATAAAGTATAGGCCTAGCCCTTATTGTTTATACTAATAAAGTGTTTAAAGAAGGTTTATTGCAGGGACGACCGAGATATTCGTTTAGTAATAAACGTATTAATGTCACTAATTTCAACCTTTGTTCTTTTTTCTAAAATGATGTGTTGTGCTCTTATTTATCTACCATTTATATCCATTACTGTACACATCTTTCAATTAATATTTGCTAGTTGACCTATCTATATAAGGCATAAAATTGAATTGTTTGTTTGCCCTTCTTTTCTTTAATGATAAAAAGTGGCGGGTAGAATTTTTTTTTTTTTTTTTTTTTTTTAAGATACTCATTAGATGGGATAAAACCCACAGAGGCCTAGAATGGCAATTTTTTTGCCCCTATTTCTTTCAGTGAGTTAGGAGTGGGTGAGGAGGGCAAACAAACGCACAGTACAAAACGGACATGATACATAATGAGAATTAGTCAATTTAGGAACTCTGCGGTATATATACTTTATTGCCGGAATATCGGTGAATATTGCGTTACAAAATAAGTTTCAACATAAGTAGGCCTAATGGTCTACTTTATCGTCACTGTCCTTGCACGTTTAACCCTCCTACGTTGGCCAGGTTTACGTGCGCTCTTTGGGGTGACTGGAAAAGTAAGGAGACCATCGGAAGAAGTTATTGTCCTTTTCTTCTTGGGTGGTGCGGCATTCATAAAATCACTAAAGATCTTGTCTTTATCGTCATTACGCTTTTTTACCCAATCATAATGTTTTACTCCATATTTTGCTACCCATGGCGATAAAATGAAATTACCAACTCCATGGAGAGCTCTGCGAATATCGCATAACTGGAGCTGAACAATACTTTTAATCCTGTCTACTAAATCTGGTAGTTTGAGAGCTTTCCAATTCGTGCTTAGCTTTAAAATATTATTCATAGATTCACAAGAATTGTTCTTCCAATCTAATGGAATCCATGTATCTCTTCCATGCGGAATAATTATAAATTGAAGAATCTTATCACATATCTTCTTAAAGTATGCTACAAAATCTGGTAGTTGTTTAGTATATTGTTCATTAAGACACATAGACAGTTTCCTAAAACTAAATTCATCCTGACAGGAAACCAATCCATCACTTTCACTAAATATATCGTTCAATACTTTTTTAGAGTTCAAACAAGAGTTCAAATTTGTCGGAAAATCAAAAATATATTTATATTTTTCTACTCGAAAATTTTAATCGTCTGCCATTCTTCATTTATAGTTTGAACTATCAATTAGCATAAACACTGAGGACCTATACTTGATAAAATAACAATAATGGCTTATGTAGCTGCAGGGCTGATATATGTCAATAAACTAGAATACTGTACAATCGACAAATTTATCTACATAACATACAATAATAAAATTGAGCGGTTCCGATGCGAGTAGTTAATTGATGAGAATAAAAATGTATAAATAAAACAATTTTATTTTTGTAATCTTGAATCTATTTGTTTATATTCTACCCGTAACCCAATGAAATTTTTGACTTCGGATAAATTTGTCGTACTGAATCTTATTTATTTATATATCTATATGTATAAGTTTTTTTCTTTGTTATTCTTTATATTAATGCAGAAAATCTCCTTTCCTCAATTGTTGTACACTTGATACAAATCCAATAGACCTACCAATTTTCTTTGTTATTCTTTATATTAATGTAGAAAATCTCCTTTCCTCAATCGTTTTACACTTGATACAAATCCAATAGGCCTACCAAATGGAATGAATTCTGAACTGACAATTTTATCTTCCGTGGGAGTCACACCCACATTTATTTTGTCAGTATATATTTTTAAATTTTCTATTTTTATAACAGATATATAATTTAAATAGGTATACGGCCTATTACATTAACATATAATAAAAATAATATAGCATAATAATAATAAATAAAAATAATTATTCTTAATATTATTATCATGTGTAATAAATAGTGCAATTTTGTACATTAAATATTACTATTAACAAAACATATTTTTCATTTTTATTATATACAATTGTTAAGTTAATTAGACTTCACGTGGAGTTCCTTGAATACTTTAGAATAAGTCTCTCGATTATAATTATAAATTATTGAGCTTACACTCCCAATGATACGGTGTATCAAAACCAACAAAATTACATTAAGAAACACAAACACAATATTTGAAAGAACCTTCCTTTCATTTTTTATCTATTTATTTACCATTGAATCACAAAAAGCGGTACTACTGCCATTTATTTATTTATTTATTTTCATAGAAAACATCTCAAAATACCATCTTTAAAAACATTATTCATAAGAATTTAACTAGATTTGTCTCTGGGCTAAAACATAACATAACTACAGGATCAATACAAATAAAAAAAAAAATAAAAATAAAAATAATAAGAGTCAAAAACACATAAGTATAAAAAATACAAAGCAGATACAGTAATAAATACAGTTATTGTAGAATAATAGGCCTATACATACAATAGGCATACACGCAGGATGAAATGTAACGTACTGTACCAAAGAGTATAATTAGACTGTACGTAGTGAATGTTGTAGAGGTCAAGGTTGAACGCGTTTCTGGAGACGTGAATGCGTTACAGAACCTCAATGTCACCGCATTACCTTCCGAAGCACGGCGGAAAAACCTGTAAAAAAAAAAAAAAAAATCATTTTTACCATATTTTGGATAATTACCGTACTAAAAGTTGGTTTCTATTGATTATTAAGTAGTTTTCTACTCTCGTGTGGTAATATTTTTATCATTTTTGCACCCGTGTGGTCGCGAGTGGTCCCGTGTGGTCGCGAGTGGTTCCGTGTGGTATTTAGTAGGACCGCATCCACATTCCACGACGAATAAACTGCTTGACGCTTAACACAGATACCATTTACAAAAACATCTTTTTTTAAACGGTTTTAAAATACTAGCAAACAAGGAAAATGAATAATAATAATATATAAAAATGCAGTATAGATTTCTCTTCAGCTAAGTAATTTTACTCATAATTATAATAGGCCTATATAGGCCTAATAATAATAATTTTATTATATTATCAGGTATTTTTATTCATAAGTGAAAACCCATATGAATGATAAGAACGGCCAAATTTACATTGGAATATCTAAAGTTTGACACGATTTTTTATGGGGTTACCGAATGCAAGCCTTTGAAAGTCGGTACATTTTAGGAAATTCCCTATCTTATAACACTAGCTCAAAATCCTGTATGTAGCACCAGTTTTTTTTTGGGACCCAGTTCACGAGCCTCGTTTTCGAATACCGCGCTCCAAGATCGAGTGCCGTCACCGTCATTGTGGTCGCCCATCCCTCTATTTTAAATTAAAAATCAATCGTTTCATCCCCGCACCCCCCTTTAAGTACTGCGTCAATAACATTTAGTTTAGATATAAAGTATTTATTAAAGTTTTCATAGGTTTGTTTTATACGGAAGCACCTAGGTGCCATTCCACATATTTGTCAATATACAATTTGTATTATGTCGACTTGTCAAGATAATCTATCTCGCCATGACAACATACAACTTTTACTATGTTGACTTGCCAAGATAATCTATCTCGCCGTGACAACATACAATTTTTACTATGTCGACTTGTCAAGATAATCTATCTCGCCATGACAACATACAATTTTTACTATGTCGACTTGTCAAAATAATCTATTTGACAACATAAATAAATAAATAAAGAAAAATTGATCGCCCAAACGCATCAGAGGTTATTTTCGGGCGTCTAGAAAACAAAAATTTCTCCAAAAAGGTGTTATCTTTTTCGGTCCCGGCCCCTCCCCCCTTCGGACATCTGTGGATTCGCCCCTGAATTGGCCTACATGCCAGCAACTAAAGATATAGGCTATTTATAATGATGTAGCTGGGCATGTATTTTATGGTGATAATTAAAAGATGAAAAACAGTGAAAGTAAGCATTGTTCTGTGTATATCATTTGAATTTCTTAAATTTCGAACGAATGACCGCTGATTTTCGTGTAATTATGTACCCATTTTTGTCTTCTAATCGGATTAAAATCTGGTCGAATTTTGGCCGATATCGAAAAAAAGATTGGTTGGCCGTGAGATGGCTACGGGTGTTTGGCCGTGAAAACTGTTGACTATCTGGCAACCCTGTTTCGCAATTCATTACATGGTTCACTGATTATGATCTGAGCATGTGCAGTAAGCATTCGCTTGGCTGCAACAGTGTTCGGTTGACTGTATGTATTTGCATAAACAAACAAGGAAATCGTTTCCAATCTCAGGTCATATGTTACTGGTCATTTGAATTCATTGTTGAGGTAAAGTGTAGTCATGATTTAATATGTATACCGTGTGCTAATACGTCATTGGGCATACTGGCTAAAACTGTTACCATGTATATACAATACTTTGACATCATTATCTGTACTCTCAGTGATAAAATTTCATTGTATACAAATTAAATATTATTTTATTAAATAAATAATACCGTATATTTGTGTTTCTCCCCCCCCCCACCCCCACGACAATTGTTGACTTTTTTTTTCTACCATGATTCAACCAAACACGGTTCAGTCACACACGTCATAGCTTTCTCATTCTTCCAAAAACTTTTAGGCGCACTCGGTTACTCCGCAACTTTGAAAGACTTCCTTTACTATACAGGTATTATGTTTAGTAATAAAGTCCGCATGGCCATTCGGTTATCAAGAAAAATGTGTGGTGTTGTTTACAGTAGGAATCGTTCTAAGACAGGTCTTATATTTACTTTTATTTTTAGCTCATGACTCCATCCCATCATTCCTCCATACCGGATTTACTTGATCTAATAGCTCTATGGGTTAATACTAGACGATAACATAGTGTCTAGCTCCCGAGGGGGCATAGACACAAAAACCGCTTATTATAACTCAAATAGCACGCATCATACTTTAGCAGCGTGTGGAAGCGACGCATTCACTGTAACAATGAAGCGGCTTTATTAAAAACTATTTTATCCATGATCAAACGTCTCTTTTTTACTTTTTTTTTCAATTTCCAGACAGCTTCGCGGCCCTCTAAAAATGTTTCGCGGCCCAAATTTTGGTCGCGGGCCATAGTTTGCGGAACGTCGGTCTAGAAAAGTAAGATCTAGAAAAGATCTTACTTTTGTAGACACCCATCGGACGGCCTCTTGCAGTTTTATACTCTTTGGTTTGTCGAAATAGTTGAAAAAAAGTCTTCGATATGTTCAGAGTGAGTCATGGCAATCATGTAGGACGGCCAACAAGAGTTATGCAGTTACATTAATTAATGGATTGTGTCATTATGATGTGGTTTCCTCCTCCGTAGAATTAGGGATTGTGTGCCTTGGATGGTGGTAGCATTGTTGCAGGCCAGTTTTCACTTCAGCAGGGGCGGCCCCGGTCCTCCTTTTGAAAAGTAAAAAAAAAATTTATTCCCCAAAACGCCTCAGAGGTTATTTCGGCTGTCTAAAAACCAAAAATTTCCCCGGACCCCCTAGAGTGGTGTTATCTCGATCTGCCCCACTTTCAGCCCCCTTTTTGGATATAGGCTGGATCCGCCCCTGTTGTACGTTACTTTTCGGTATGTGTGTTGATGTGGCGTGCGCACCTAGGCTTGAGTCTTTTGCTTTAGCTCACTTTATTTTGCCGAAACATTTTCAAAATTTTATGTCATTTTTGAATACTTTCAATCACCTAATTTGAATTGAATCCAACTAGGCCTAGGACTGTTTATCATTCCTCCAACATTATTTTCCTCCCAAGCCTCCAACATTACTTTCCTCCCAAACCATGCACTATTTTTTTTTGTGGATGGTGACATGAAATGTGTCAAAAAAAAAGTTTTATTTGCTACGACAAAAGGCAAGAAATGTCATTTGTCATTTCCCTTTATTTCAGGACGTATTTATTCGTGCTTCAGTGATGTAGATCACGACATCATGGAACAACAGCACTCTGAGTCTGAGGCCTGCATTTGGTGCTCTGCACCGCCAGAGAATGCACAGAAGAATTTCAGAGCTTACATTTCTATACCAACCCCGGATTGGGCAAATACGGCAAATGAGGACATGTCACATTGTTTGGACTGTGTAAAGATGTACCATCGTGGAAGGGCTGTTGTTGTGGCGGAAAAGCCTGACATTGAGCAAGTAAATCCTTTTCAAAAGTTTCATAATTGAATAATATGATGAATATTGTTTTATTGATGTTGCATTATTGTGAAGGCGATGACACTGATAAAACAAGTTATGTTGACATATATTTTTGGAACATAATATGAGGCATGTTGTGGCAAAATGGCTAAAGTTGTAGCAAAAATTAAAATTCAAGTTATTGGTATTTTCAGATCCGAGTATGTGATCTTTAAAATGAGGGGTCATTCATTCAAATTGGACATTTCAAGCCTAAGTTATTGGAAAGTGAAAGTACAGTACTCTTAGAATCAAGATAAACATGATTTTGAGTAATTGCCTTTCAAAGTTACTTGTGCACTGTTTAATAGAATAAACTATTAAAATAACATTCAATAAACAATTTGTTGAACACTTTCAGAACTAATACTTTGGTACATGATTAATAAGACATTAAACTGTTAACCTATATGAAAAACAAATTTGGATTTTTAGGCAATTTTCGAGCTCCCATACTCATTTACTCAATACTGGCCTGTGTGACAACTTAACCATTTCGCCACGACATGCTTCATATATTTAACACAAATAATTTGTCTACTTCCTCAGCGTAAGTGATATACATCAGAGCATGGACCTAGGCCTATCAACAACCACAGTATGAGACGGTGGTACTAAACTTAATTACTGGTACTGGTACTTGTAGCCGTCTGATTTTTTAGACATTCGGCAGCCATTGAGATTATGTTGGCGTTTAAAGACTGCATATTGTGATGAGGGACCCGTGTAAAAACAATTACCAAACACAAAAAATATGGAAAACTGAATGCTATTAAAACTAAACAAATGAGTTGTGACCACTGGCAAAGGCATTGTCTTAATGATACACACATAAACAGTTGTTTTTTTTTCAATTATATGGCTTTTCTTTTCCCATAATCTTAAATACACTGTAGGCAATTTTTTCCTGTTTCTAAATATATATATGGTAATAGATTGCATCTGCAGTCAATTTATATCATCCAGTTGAGTAGATTTGCTGCCCCATAAGGTGAGATATTGTGGTCTGAGTAAAAAAAATGCCCAAAGCATTCAGTGGTTCTGATATAGGGATTTTCAAATCCGCTTTAATAAGTGTAAAGTGTATTTCTGAGCAAAGCTAGCAAAGAATGTCTTTAGCCCTGTCTAGACTATCAAAAACCTGTTGTATGCCCATCGGTGGGATGGCCAAGGGGGTGGGGGGGTGCTACAGCCATAGTATCGGCACTTGTCACGAACAGCACGCTCGTCTATGGTTCTGGTGGTGGAACAAGACTTCTTGGATTCTTGGATAAGGACCATAAACCGTAGGCCCGGTGCACTTCGGTATACACGTGTTATAGAAATCCAACCACATTATTACATATATATATATAGTCATGCTTTGCCTATTTAATGTATGGTCATGATGTGATGTCATCATGACCATGTTTAGGCATGTCACATGTTTTTGTCAATAGAATTTGATAGTGTGGACAGGGCTTATGTTTTGACAGGTTGCATATTATAAGACCATAAGAGTGTTGTCTTTTACTATATGTCACCATTCATCAAAAAGTAGTTCGTTTTTTCTCTGTGATAGGCTCTCTTTCCCACTGAGGTGCATAGACTGCAACATTCCTTGAACGAATGTTTGGTAGACCTATCTACTGAACATCAGGATATTTTTGATAGTGATAGTGATAGTGATGATGCTTCTAAGAGTGATGAAGATATGTTGGACAACTTCTGGGAAAACTCACAACAGGAAGCCTGCCTTCTACCAGTACCAATGCAGGAAATACTTTGGTTTCCATTTTATCTTCAGGATGAAGATGTCAGTAAGTTTTACCTGCTTTTTTTTTTTTTTTCTTTTTTAGTTTCTATGGCAATCCTACATTGAAAATGTCCCCCAATTTTTATTTGATCTAATGCTATAGCTCGCTTCGATTTTACATTACAGATGAGATATTTTGTCGTCTTATGAAGGTGCTTCATAGAATTGATCCACTTGTCACTGTTGTTGATAAACCTCTTAGCGGATTGTTTATGTTATTGATTCATCCAGATATTAGGGTAAGCATATTGGTGTTAATAGTTAGCACTTAGATTTACAAGAATGCAAATGCTTCTGTGGCCTTTACAATTGCTTATCCACTTAACCCCTAAGAGAATTTTTATTCATATTTGACTGGTAACACAAGTAGCATGCAATAGTCTATGTCGACATTCAATAAATTTTTCAATTTTGTAATAATAAATAAATTACGATTATAATGGTCACATACAGTATTTGATATTTTGCTTCTTCCAGAGGATACAACATGACCAGAAAACTGTAATATTGTGTAGAAGCCCTGAACAGGTTAATTTTTCTTAACCAAAAGCAGCTATACCTCTATGTCTTAACAGGCGCGGATCCAGAAATCTTCTTACGGGGCCCCAATAGGTATTCCACACCCACCTCAGCCCTACCATGGTTGGAGCTGAGGTGAGCAAATTTTAAGAATAGGCCCCTCTAGACGCTTGGAGATGGCACTCTCAGATGGTAAAAATGCTTTTTAAAAGCAGTGTTCCTCGACAAAATTATTGACTTTGAATACTACTATCCTACTTTATGAATCATGCCTGTTTAGATGTAAACATTCTGATCTCTTTGCCCCTGTATTGGGTTGTGATAGTCTCATTAACATAATAACGTATACAATCACTTTTTTGTTAAAGATATCAAATTGGGCGAACAAATCAGTAGCACACCTTGGCAATCATGCAATCGAGAGCTATGAGCAATTTACCCATGCGATCACTTTGATGTTGTCAGTCATATCCTTCCGCTTATTTGAAGATCGCACACTTTTTTGTGAGGAAGCCCCGAGTGCTCGTCCCATTTTATCCTCGCATTTGTTTCCTCATAAACAGTTGGTTTACTGGCAAGGTATGTAACTATTTCTTGTTTATTTCTACAAAGTGTTGCTATTGTAAGGTCCTTTATAGATAGCTGTCCCATAGCAAAACAACAAACTGCTTTTATATTTGTGAGCTGTCATGACAAAATAAGTCTTGTGGAAGCCAGGTCAATTTGATATATTCAAGAAAAAGATTGAGTTTCAATTTCAGGGGCAGATTGCTATAAAACAGTCTTAACTGGTAGTCTTAACTCCTCGAGTAAAGCTGGCTTTATCACTTAGACGGTCTTACTAAAGTCACTCCGCTATGACCATTGCTATAAAACCATCTTCGCTTATACTGCGTTGGGTATTGAAATGCTACAAGGCAGGGATAAATTTTAACAGACAGGGACTAAGGCAAAAAAAATTGTATGATTATGACACCGGAAATGGCAATCTCGTACCTAAATTTTATTATAAATGTTTCCTTTTTTCTAAATTTTTTTTAAAAATTGTGAACAAAGTTAAGGGGGGAGGAGGGTTACCTGGCTCAGCTGGCCCCACTTAAATCCATCACTGTAGTCCACACGTACCTCAGCCCCACCATGGTTGGGGCTGAGGTGAGCAAATTTTACAAATTGGTCCCTCTAGACGCTCAGAAATGGCACTCTGAGATGTTAAAAATGCTTTCTCAAAGCAGTGTTCCTATACAAAATTATTGACTTCTTCCTGAAAGGAGCTATGGTACCCCTCCCGTGACACCCATCCCCTCATGGGCGTTGCAAACGTATAATCAAAGACTTTTTATAGTGATTCTATACTGAGAGTAGCAAAGCAAATTATGATTATGACACCTCTAGATGCCTGGAATTGGCACTCATTCAGACGTAAAATTTTAATATTTTATCCATTGACAAATTTAGGGGTTGCTGCCCAGCTGGGCACCTCACTCTCATCCCCCACTGGAGAAATATGACCCATGTCCTACAGTCGATGTCAGAAACACATGCTGTTATGTATCAGCAAAGCCCTATTGGCTCAGGGTGCTATAGAGCGAACACACAGGGGCACCGAAGGGGACCCTAAGGGTCAGTGGCACTACGGACCACTGCACAAGAGCGTTATGCCACTAAGCATGGATAGCTCTTCTAGCTGGGTACTACATTCCATAATAATGGCTAAAAAAACTTGTCTTATGTCTCCGTCTTTTGGCCTTTTTTACATCCTGATTTATGAAATCAGCGTCGGGCATATAGTGTTGTTGTATTGAGTTCGTCATCAATTAATAGAAAATCCAAAATTAGAGAGAGGTAAAATAATCAAGCTCTCCTAATCACCCATTGCTGGACCAGCCACTGAACTCATAGTTACACTGCTTTTTCCCCCTCTTTCCTCCCTTTATTAGCTTTTTTCAATTATTGCTCCCTCTTTTATTTTTTGGTGGGACTGACAGGGAGGGGGTGGCACCGGCCCCCGTGGATCCCAGCTGGATCCGTCCCTGCATTTATGCTGTTGTTTTGTTGGCAACTTGGCAACATTATCCAAGGACCAAGATTTAGTGGAATGGTTCATTTTCATATATCTAATTTGCCACCTTTCTCCTCAATCTGCATGTGAGTGTTAACCTTGGGACACCCAGTATCACTGGCTTGGCCAGCCATCCATAGCCAACTTGCCCATGTCACTATGTTCCATTCTATCATTTTTGTATTTAGAGGCTTGCTGGTACTGGTACTGGTACGGGCATTTATAATGCGCCTCTTCCTTGCGGTTATAAAACGAAGTTCCTTTCCCTGGTCATTGGGTCCACATGTTGCTGCTGCTAATCAGCGCAGGAGCAGGCAACCCTACCAGGTTCCCATTTATACTCCTGGGTGGAGAGATGCAGATAAAGTGTCTTGCTCAAGGACACAAGCGAAATGCACAGCGAGGGATAGAAACTCCGACCTCAAGGTTGGGAAACCAAACCGTTCCCACTGCGCCAAACCGCTTCTACACAATTTATATAAAAGGAAATTATAACTGCAGTACAAAAAAACCAAAACTATTGATAACAAATATTGGACTACGACTTCTATTATTTGTAAATTTCAGGCTTAAGTTGTCTTTTGTGTTGGATCAGTGAAGAGAACTTGAATCAACTTGGAAGCGAATTGCACTCAAATATCACCAGGATTTACTCAACAACTCTTACAGAGAATGAATTTAGTAAGTACAGTATCATGTTAGCTCTACAGAAGGCAATTTGGAAAGAAGAAGCATTTAATTATTCTTTGATGATTTCCAGTGGTTGCGATTTTGCGAACTGTATATATGGTATTGATTTCAGATACCAGCTGTATTGTTATTAATTTAATCATGTTGTAGCAAGGTTTTTGTTATGTTCTTCAAAAAATTTTTGAACAATGATATGTTACGCTGGCAACATCATGATTCACAATTGTGCACAGTCCGGTGTAGTCCAAATTTGAATTGGTATTTAAGATTTTTAATTTAAACTAATAATTTAATTTATTTGTGTGAATTATTTATTTGGTTTATGTGGCAGAACATCATTAACCAACAGAAATAAAATATTGTCATTCAGAAAGTACTGATGAACGCAACTCATTTTGGCCAAAACTTTTGGGCTTCCAGCAACTCATCGACAAATTGGGATTTCGTATTTGGCAGTATCTAAACGATGCACCAGATGTGGTTTTCAACAGTATCTTTAACCATCCAAGTGTCAGAAGTGCAGTCAGTCATCTTAAAATGTGAGGTTTTTCTTTTATTTTTTTGAATATGTCAATTTACTGGTATTGTAAACACAGTTGACTTTGTATACTGACTCTCTGCCTAGTGCCAGAACCAGGCCATCATTTTGATTCTTACCAGCATACAGGTACAGATCACTTTATTGTCATTTACATTGTGATTGAGATAAGGTTTCCATAACTGCTTCAGTAATGAGTTTGTTTTGAGCATTTGTGTTAACATATGGATCCATTATTTTTAATATTTTCAGGAGACATACAGCATTGGAACACCAACCAGTAAACAGAGTGCATGAGACAACTCCATATGCCTGGATTAGACCATTTGGGTCCTCATTGTTGGACTATGACTCCATAGCTAAACATTGTGTTACTATGGTGCTAGACATACTGACAAATGAAATGAATGAAGCATTGACTAATCAGATGAAAACTACATCAAATCAACCAATAGGAAATCGAGAACCTAGTCTCTACATGCAGCATTCAATTTCAATTTTGGTTGAGATTCTGGAAAGTCTAATTACATGTAACTTTTTATGTGTGTCAGTAACTTGCTTTGAAAAATGTCTTAACATTATGGTGCTCTTCTTAAAAAAGTTTATGCAACAGCAGGGATCTTCTCAACAATTTACAAGTTGGCAGTCATCTCCACTGAGATTTATCAGAAACCTTCTGAACATTTGTGTCAAAAAGAAGATCTCTTTGACTGAATCTCAGCTCTTAGTTAAAGATATTGATTCATGTACAAATTTTATGGATGTTGACCAGAATGTACTAAACATGTGCATACAAAATTTTGTGGGACAGCTACATTCTATGAGAATTGAAGATACAGTTAAGGTCTACAATGATGAGGGTGCAAGTACTTCAACAGTATTAGAAGATAACAAATATGATTGTACTGGTCCCTTTGAGCCTCTTGTTTCCATTGAGGATGATTTTCCTGGGCAAAGTCCGGATTATATGTTTGAAGATTCATCAATAGCAAATAATGTGGAAGTCGATGAAGTCATTGTTAGTGGTTCAGACTCTGAAGACGAATTGCCCGAGGCTACTGGATTGTTGGATGACAGAGTGATGGACAAAAAGGAAGAAATCCCAGACAATGATTTTTACGAGTCAAGTCCAGATTTAAATTTTGTAGAATCATTAAAAAATGAACACCAGCATTCTGTTGGAATTGAAGATAAAGTTAGGGGGGTCAGCAATGATGAAGGGGCAAGTACGTCTACAGCTTCAAAAGAACATGCTAAGGATTATTGTAGTTGTCCTTTTGAGCCTTTTGTTTTCATTAAGAAAGAAATCCCAGACAATAATATTTCTGAGCCAAGTCCATCCAAGAACATTGATGCAGGTAAGTCATTAGTAGTAAAAGGTTGAACTTGTTCTAGTAAGTTCTAACTGTGAAATTGAAGAAGGATTCCCATGTCCCATTAAGGGAAGGAATTAGTGATTGAATTTATGCAATTTTTTTGTACATAACATCAGCAGTTACTCATCATTTTCCGCAGGGTGTTGTTATTTAGAATAACAACTCCCTGTTCTGAGTAAATATGCATAAAAAATAATTATGATCCCCATCCAAAATGGAGAAATGCTATCTACCAAATCACAATAAGATTGGAGTTGTTTTTTATCCATTAAAATCCAGAATCAGAATAAAAATTGAATTTGTTTTTTACTCCTAAAAATCTTACCCTAAACTGTTCAGATTTTTTTTACCAAATATCCTGGAAACTTATGTTTTTGTATTTTTATAGACATTGAGCATGTAAGGCAAGCACCCTATACTATGCAAGATACGGCACCAGATACTATTCCAGATACATTTACTGAACAAAGTACTCTATCATATAGTGAAGCCCATTTTTCGCCGAATACTGGTCTGGACCCTGCACAAGACACTGCAATACATTCTGCACCATATCTTGCATTAGATACTGTACCATATTCTTTACAAGACAGTACACCAAATGCTGAACAAGACACACCACCAGATTATTTACAAGATACTCTATCACATACTGTAATGGATAATTCATTAGATACATTATCAAATGATGTAGCAGGAACTGTCAAAGACACTGCCCCACATATTTTAGACACTGGAGTTAACAGACTCCGGGAATTGATAAAAATAAGTAAAGAAAATACAAAAAAGGGTCATCAGATTGTACAACATGTTAGAGAAGCTAAGGAGACAGTAGGTCTGACTACTTCTGCACTAGATTTGACTTCAACACCAAAAAGGACTTCAAAACCTGTTGGTATTGATTCAAAAGTCAAATCAAGTTCAAACGTTGTTGGGAGTAGTGCTACTCGAGCAAGTAAGTGGTCACTTGACAAACTCCGGGATTCATTAAAAACAACTGAAAATAAACCTATGAATATTAGTCAGTTTATAAAAGTACAACAAACCAAGAGAGCTAAGAAGTGTAGAACGAACACAAGTTCAGCAGAAGGTCAGACAGTAAGTCAAGATGCTCTTCAAGATTCTTCAACAGATTGTGTACGAGCAGCACCTGATCCACCAGATATTGCACAAGATGTTTTACCTTGTACTGTGAAAAAGTCTCTACTATATAATGCAACAGTTACTATAAAAGACATTGCACTAGACACTGCACAGGAAACATTTGAACAGGACACTGTAAAGAAATCTGCAGCAAATACTGTAACAGTTACTGAAGAAAGCATACCGTATACTATTCAAGATACTGTATCAAATATCAAAGTAAATGATGCTTCAGATACTTCATCAGATGATGTACCAAGAAATAACAAAGGTACCACCCCCCATAGTTTATCTCCTTATAAAATTTCACTAGACAAACTCCGAGATTCATTGAAAAAGACTGAAAAGAAAACTATGAATTTTAATCAGTTTATTAAAGTGCAGCAAGCCAAGAGAGCCACGGAAATTAGACAGAACAGAAGTTTGACAGAAGGTCGAACAGTAAGTCAAGATGCTCTTCAAGATTCTTCAACAGATTGTGTACGAGCAGCACCTGATCCACCAGATATTGCACAAGATGTTTTACCTTGTACTGTGAAAAAGTCTCTACTATATAATGCACCAGTTACTATAAAAGACATTGCACTAGATACTGCACAGGAAACATTTGTACAGGACACTGTAAAGAAATCTGCAGCAAATACTGTAACAGTTACTGAAGAAAGCATACCGTATACTATTCAAGATACTGTATCAAATATCAAAGTAAATGATGCTTCAGATACTTCATCAGATGATGTACCAAGAAATACCAAAGGTACCACCCCCCATAGTTTATCTCCTTATAAAATTTCACTAGACAAACTCCGAGATTCATTGAAAAAGACTGAAAAGAAAACTATGAATTTTAATCAGTTTATTACAGTGCAGCAAGCCAAGAGAGCCACGGAAAGTAGACAGAACAGAAGTTTGACAGAAGGTCGGACAGTAAGTCAAGATGCTCTTCAAGATTCTTCAACAGATTCTGTACGAGCAGCACCTGATCCATCAGATATTGCACAAGATGTTTTACCTTGTACTGTGAAAAAGTCTCTACTATATAATGCACCAGTTACTATAAAAGACATTGCACTAGATACTGCACAGGAAACATTTGTACAGGACACTGTAAAAAAATCTGCAGCAAATACTGTAACAGTTACTGAAGAAAGCATACCGTATACTATTCAAGATACTATATCAAATATGAAAGTAAATGATGCTTCAGATACTTCATCAGATGATGTACTAAGAAATAACAAAGGTACCAACCCCCATAGTTTATCTCCTTATAAAATTTCACTAGACAAAATCCGAGATTCTTTGAAAAAGACTGAAAAGAAAACTATGAGTTTTAATCAGTTTTTTAAAGTGCAGCATGCCAAGAGAGCCACGGAAAGTAGACAGAACAGAAGTTTGACAGAAGGTCAGACAGTAAGTCAAATTCCTATAGTATATTCTGTACCAAAGAATTCACCAATGTCAACATCAAAAAGACCTGAACAATGTCCTTTTAGTGATTCCAATGGTAATTCAAGTTCAATCGATGTATGTAGTACAGATACTGAAGTAGAATTAAACTTTTCAAGTTCAGTGATGAAAACTAAATCTAAAGTAATTAGGCAGTCACACTTTATAACAACTGAGCAAAGACAAAAAGCTGAGACATTAACTACTCCAATAAGCAAATCAGGTTCTCCCATTGACAACCAAGTTGCATCTGAAAAGCATAATTCTTTGATCAGTGAAACAGTAACACAAACAAAAAATATTCATTCCAACCAAGTAGTCTTTGGAACTCATGAGAATCTGCAGGTCCAAGAAAAAATTATGATGGAAGCTGCAGGAAGGTCTCACCAGCAAATAACTTCCAAAATTTTAAAAGATGCAGCACCAGATACTGTACAGGTTGCAGTGCCAGATGCTGTACAAGATGCAGTGCTAGATACTGTACAAGATGCAGCACCAGATACCATACAAGATGCAGCGTCAGATATTGTGCAAGATGTTGAACCAGATACTGTAAAAGATAATTTTCTATATACTATAAAAGGTGTTCTACCAGATACAGTTCCTGGTACTGCTAAGTGCGCTGCACTAGATCCTGTAGAGGACACTGCGGCAGATCCCATAAAAGATGTTGCACCAATTACTGCAACATACACTGAACAAATTATTTTGCCGTATACTGTTCACAAGTCTGTACATGAAGCTGCAACAAATACTATGCCAGATACTGTAGAGGTGATTACATCAGGTCTTCCCTACATGTATACACCAGACAGAATCCGAGATATAAAAAACACAAAGACAGAGAAAATCGAAAATCTTACAAAGTTGATTAAAGTACAGCAAGCCCAGAGAGTTGCGGAAAGTGGTGTAAAAAAATCTCTGTTCATTAGTTTTGAATCAGTAGAATGTGAAACAACAGCAAGTTCAACATCTGATTCTGATGCAAGAATTCAGACATTGACAGATGATCTGACAGTTGTCCAAAGAGAACAAAGACAAGCAGTGGAGACATTAAACCTACCAGCAAACAAATCAGGAACATTAAATCCAGATTCTCCCATTGATGAACAGATTACATCTAAAAGGCATGATAACCCTCCAATCACTGATGCAGAAAATATGTCTCTAATCCAAGCAGTTCCTGGACCACATAAGAAACTTTCAGAAACAGCTATGATTAAAGCTGCTAATAGACCTCACCAGCAAAGAAATCCCAAAACTCACCAGGCAGAAAATTCTCCTGACCGATTCAAATCAAGAAAAGCATCATTTGCACAAGACCTTGAGGCAACTGAGTTACAAACCAGATTTATGTCTGTGACTCAACAAGAGAGATTTCATTCTGATGTGCCCTCTGAGACATTAGCCACCGGCTCGATAACAACAGCTGTTAGCAAGGAGACCAGTTCATCATCTAAAGCTACTGCAGTTCAAAGTCAGTGTAATCGTATCATTAACCTTGATCAGCTTATTGCCATCGTGTTGTCCTGGGATCCAATGTGGCTTGACAAGCAAGGTAATGTATTGTCTTGTAATTCTGGGTTCATAGCTGTGGGAGTCCTTACGCAGGGAGTATACCTACTCAATGTTGCTATTATATAGCATATCGACCAATATATTTAATGTCAAAACCTACCTAACCAGGTTTATACTGGGATAGAGAGAGAAACAGTTGTCAGTGAACTGCCTTTGCCCAAGAGTCACAAGCAAGATTTAATATGCTGCCCTCAAGGTTGAGAGTCTGAAACATAACCAATGTGCCAATAGTCCCAATAAATTTTAATTGATGATTAAATGTGTGTTCGATAACTAATTTAATGCACGCTTTTGCGTTTTTAGTACATTTTGATGGTAAATTATTAGGTTTTAAAATGCCTATTCAAGAAAGCCTATTGTAAACCATTCAGATTATGAAGTCATTCAGGCGTAATGAACGGTAACCAACGTCTGGTTGACAACAAAGGGTGCCACCTGGTGTTGTAACGACATGACTGTTGAACTCTATATGGGTTTGTAGACAAACCCATATAGAGTTGAATAGCTTGGTAGTTAAGATGCTCACCTTCCAATCTCATGGTTCTGGGCTCAAATCGTGTAAAATTTTTTTTTTTTTTTTAATGTAATGTTAGATTTATATAGTGCTTTATACTGAAATAGTCTTGAAATTTCGCTTGAGGTGTAGACTAGCTACTCTTGTCTATCCACAACAGGGGCTAAATGTACCAGTACACTGGGGTAGGTCCCTACTCTTCTCAAAAGATGTACTGGGTTCACATGTACTTTAAAGTTCACATGAGCCAAATTGTGTACATTGTTTATAGTCCTAATGTAAGACTTTTTTTATGCTTTGTTTCGCGAACTTATTTTTTTAAACATTGTCAGAGTAGGACGAAAAAAATAAAAATAAAATTTTGTCTTCATATTTAGCAAATACGTTTGCCAAAAACATCCAGATGGAGGAGAAAAAAAAGGGATTTTATTGGTGAATGTAAAAAGTGTAATAATGGGATGGTTAAATGCTTTAAATTTATATACTGTAATTAAGAAGAATTACATATCTTATTTTTGGAGATTTCAAAGCAGCGGCAGGCATAATAAAAATAAGAAAACATTTTTTTTCCCCTGACATTTCCATATTTTTATGGCAGTGAGTGCGCTAATTGGCCACAAATTAAATTTATTTTTATTTGAAGTCATTATTGGCGAGCGGCTGGTTCACTAAACAAGGTATAAAAAAGTCTTTCCTTATCCGAGAAATGTTCCAGCACAAGAACCATAGACAAGCATTCTGTTCTAACCAGCGTTGATGGCTGTACGCTGGGGCACCCCTGCCATCTAACTCCTCTCCATAAGCCTTGTTATGAGACTTAGTTTATGTAGAGCAACATCATGTTTGTCAAGTAAAGGGATTTCCACCTATCTAATAAGACAATGGTAATGAAACAATTCATCTGTAAATCAATGAAAACTAAACTTAAGTTTCATTAACGTTTGATACTTGATCCTTTTAATTTTTGTGGTTTTTCCAGATTTCACCATCAAAGACATAATCAAAATGGATCACTATGGTAATTTCTTGATTTAATTTATACCTTATGTTGAAGTAGACTAAGAACCATTTGATGTTGATGTGATGTCTCTAGATCCTTTTCCATATTTATTCTTTATGTATTAATATTTACATTATATACCGGATAAGACGACCCCCAAGTTTGAGATTAATTTTTTTCTGTATGTCAGCCGTATAAGTTTTTCTCCTTTACCTCCTAAAGTAAAACCTGACCAAATTGGTGGGAAACTGAAGAGTGGCTTGATGAAAGTTCCATTGAGGTTTGACTCCATCCATTCCTACATCAACATCTTTGTTCCTCTGCTTTGTCTCGAAAGTTGGCACTACGTAAGTTGTTCATCCTTTAATTTATTTAGATTTTTATGGTCACACATGATCATATGGTGATTCTGGGCAGGACTAGGTATGACTTAATAGCTACACCTTATCTGCCATGTTGCAGTAATGTGCAACAGAGCTTCAACTGTTTTTTCCTTTCACATACATTGATATAGAAGTAAAGAGGGAAGCATGCGTATCGGCGGCACCAGCGGGGCAGGGGGCCCCCATCGGTCAGGTCAAGTCCCTCCATCGGCCAAAGCTTGTCGGGCAGTCAGACACAAAAAAAAAAAAATATAGGCCTAGTTTTCCCATCCCAGTACTGTACTGCCTACACCAAGCCCAATCTGTCTCAGCAATCGCTTTATCTGGGTTTGATCAGTCAAGCAGAACATAACAATGGTGTATACCATACCCACCCCCGACTGTTCTGACTGTGTCATTAAGAAATCGAACAGGTATTGTACAGTAAATGTAATTAAGATGAATCTAAAGTGCATTCATTTGTACATCTTTACATAAGGTTCTATAACGTTGCACTTCGGTTCTCTATAAAGATTTTTCAAGATTTTAACCCAAGTCCCTATGTCATCCTAACCGCCAAGCAAAAGCTCCAGTCTTATGCCATACTACTTCTTCTTTTCTTCTTTTTGTTCTTAATAAGGAACTGACTTCAAACTTTAAGACTCTGCTACTCCAGCTCAGTTTTGCATCTAAGTATCAGGCTGTGTGGTATTCTATTTTTTAACTTGGTTAGGTATGGGGACACAAGGCTTCCACAATAAGATTCATACTATTGTATTAAAAGGAAATCCCTTAACAGTTCTTCTTATATTGTATTATATTTTATTTTATGTATTTATTATTTAAAGGTTCTTCAGGAATATAAAAAGAATAAAGGAACCAAGGGTAACTATATGAGAATGGACAATGTGATCATGTCTGGACATTTCTTAACATGCAAACGTAAGTTTTTTATTTTTTTTTCATTCGTATACCCACTTATCTCTCTGAAATACCTAAGTCTTAACTGGTGTTTTTGCTTAGCAAAGTTTTCTCACTATTTCAAACATCAAAGATAATTCATATGGACAATGAACCTCCACTTCATTCCTTTAAAACTTAGTGGTGCTTGTCATCATGGCGATGAAAGCAGCTGGGAATCAATGAATAGATAACATTATAATAAATGGATCTCTGTCGTACCTGCTTCCAATGTCATTAACTATGCTATTTCGGGGTTGTCTGTTGTGAGTTCCCAAATAAAACCATAGTTTTCTACTGAACAGTTAGATAGTTTCTTAAACTAAGTTTAAGAAACTATCTAACTGTTCATTAACCACGCAGCTTAGTTTTCTACTCATCATAGTTTTCTATTTCTGTGAAGTTGGTGGAGTGGACATGCATCAGTCTTTGTCATCTTTCGACTTCTTCCCTTAATTTTTTCTGCTCACAACTTTGTTGAAAACCAAAAATGAATAAACAATAAATAGAAGACAATAATATATAAGTAACCATAAATATATAACAATAATAAATAGAATTTTTAATTAAATAAATTTTGTTTTGTGAATTCTGTTGAAAAACTGTCAATCAAGGTAAACAAATCAAGTCGACATTTGAACTGTAATCTGCCTTGTATCTTTTCAAATTCCAGGAAAAATATTTTCCAAAGACTCAGAGCGGAAATATCCCTGTAAAGAGGATTTGGTGATCTTGTCGCTTAGTCTTAATACGGCTACATCAGGACAAAAGTTTCCAAGCTATCGAGTATTTGCCATGGTAACAAAGACAGGCATCCACTGGAAGAAGTCTTAATATCGGATAAGTTTCGGCCTTCCAGGCTTCATCAGTGCAGCTAGGGTACAGAATCAAACGAAATATTCGACCAGCTTAAGCAGAGCCCAGACTAGCCAAACCACCACTAATGATTACAGAGCCAAACCTAGGCAATATTATACACAGCCCATGTGTGAATGCAAATAGTGGAACACAAGCTATGCGGCTCGATTCCAGTAGATACAGAAGATATTTTGTCATTCTTAACATGTCCTATGAAATTCTTACACACAGCACTAATCCGTGAATTTATTTTTATTACCAAATTGTTCATATTTAAACAAGTACATGTTTCTATTTGTTTGTTTTGTGTTTAATTATAAATAAATAATTAAAATAATAATATTGATGATTATGAAAGATCAAACAAATGTCTGATGGTATATAATTTGTTTGCCTTTTCAGCATCCCAAGGGATTTCTATGTTAGAGGTGAAGTTGCAAGTGAAGGTACCACCACAAAAGGAGAAAAAATTCATGACATACATTCGAAAAAACAATAACATACAAATACTGGTAAGTTTGTACTTCGTGGTCGGGGGTTTCGAAACTCAGGCTGTACAAGTCGCGTGTGTCTTTGGGCAAGACACACTATCGGCGTTCGTCACTCTCCCAGCAATATCAATAGGTACCGGTATATGCTGGGAAAGTAAACGGACTCCAGTCAAATCCATCAAAGCATTGAACATTCTGGCCCCAAGAAAGGGAGATGGGCACTTCGGACCTGTACAAGCTCAAATACACCTTTTATAAATTGTAAAAAAAAAATCAATTTTAAGGTTCACAAAATACATCAGATCTTGACATCTCCATGAAGGCATACCAGAGATCCAACTAATTATTTCTATAAAGTAAAAATATAGGACTATGTGAGTTCCTACCTTTACTCCTAGATAGGCTTTGAGTTTTCAAACAAAGGCTGGCACTGACCACACTGCTTGCGTTCCTGGACAAAAAGTTACTCTTCTTCACCATGAATTGGTGCTTGGTAGGAGGTGAATGATTCAGAATGAAATTGGTGGTGCTTAGCAGGAGTGAATGAGGTTACATTATTGTGTATGGTATCATTTATTCAAACATCTACTAGCATGTTCTATTTTTTTGTGTTAGGTTGTTACTAGTATGATGTCACGTCTTCAGCTTTTCATGTGTTTCAAAATTCTACAGAAGCACTTGTTGTCTGGGGATATTTTGTCTCCCGGCGTACCACCAGTACCACAGATGATTGCTAGCCCTCAACCATCCAATTTGATAACGGTTTGTTTTCAATTTCACAATATTATATTGTATATATTTTTATTATACTTTACTAGTGCACTGTATCTACTTGTCTTTTACATACTGTACTTTGTTTGAATCATGATGTAAATTATGCAGCATGATTGGCTTAGATACTATAATACATACTCCCAAGTATCGAAATGCACACCATCAGGTCGGGATTCAATATTTCGACATTAATTATCAGGAATAAAAAATTATCCATATTTGCAAGCTTATATGCACAAGTACCAAACAAAAGTGTTTGAACAATCAAAACATTACCCCATGTAGGTGACATAGTTATGAATAAACTAAAGATCAAAGCATCCTTACCCTACTGATCAAAGTTATCTACAAAAAAGAAAGCTCCTTTGAAGCTTTCAGCTCATTGTTAAGCAATAGGTGTAGCCTACGTATAGCAAATGCTTCTATAAACAATAGTATAGACCATATTTTGCGAACTGTCAATAATGTTAGTATTAGAAAATATTAAACCTAATAACATTCCCCATCTAGAGTATTTAACAATGACTACTACTCCTTGCTTTCACATTCAGAAGCTGGATGAGTGTCAGTCAGAAGCTGCTGATAAGATTTTTACTTGCATGGAGACAGAGTTAATGATTCCAAGTATCAGCCTACTACATGGTCCTCCAGGGACTGGTAAAACACGGACCATTATCAACATTATTGAAAGAATTTTGAAAGTAAGATAACATTTATGTATATGTGTTACACTGTAATAATTGATTCCATGCACTATTTGTATAGCTGGCACATCGACTCGGAAACAATGGCATATCTGGAGATATTAACATGTGCTAGGCTGATGGATGTGCAGGATGAAAATGTGGGTAGCGTGGTGTCCTGCAGTAATTCAAGTGCAATAACGTAATTGTTATACATGCAATTATTCAGTAGGATGAGGTAATTCATGTAAAAAAATCACCCGCATGTCATTGACATGCAAGTATTATAGGCTGTATTTTTCAAAAATAAATATAATGAAATAGTATATGATTGTATTTATAAAATATGTTGTGCTTAGACAATTTTATAATGTTTTAAAAATAAAATTATGAATTCATAAGCGAATGAAATTAATTTTAACAGAAAACAAGACCAGTAGACAACACCAGGCTACATCAAAACATCAATATGGAAAACCGTTCCAGAATTATTGTGTGTGCTCCATCCATTATAGCTGTTGATCGACTGATGCTGAAAGTTGCAAAGATGTGTTTGGAAGACGAGGAACAGTTTGGCAATGGAATACGTTAGTTCTGTTTTTGTTCTGTAAGAAGCAAAATAATAATAGTAATTATGTTTTGCTTCATATAAAAATAAGTATAATCTTTATTATAAGTCAGTGGTGATATCATCACTTTCATTTGCACTGAATTTTCCTATCCCTGACTGATCACTAATTCAATTTTTTGCATCTCATGTGCAAAACGCTCAAAGCTGGGGTGATTTTGCTACAGCACATCGCGATAGAATATTTTGTTGCTAGGCCAAGCTATGAATGCACACAGCAAACCTAAATCTTGCTCTACAGCGCTGGTTAACATGAATGAAGCCTAGACCATCCTAGGCAATGCCTCAAAAGGCATAATGGTTATGAGATAACCAGGTGATTGACTTACAAAAAACTGAAAAATAAGACAACACTGAAATAATTCATAAAAATTCATTTTAATCTATTAAACAAATGTGTACCAGAAGGTTAGGCCTACCTAATAAACTTCATTAACCACAATCAATTTATCAGTCTTCTTTGTATCGCGAAGATTTGGGAAGAGCTGTGTGAAGAGTGTCAGTGCGCGTACTAACAAATCATTCTAGTATGTGCAGATAATGTACACGTACAGTGATCACTTAACCGGCTACCGCAACCAGCCGTTTGATTTATGATTACCATATGTAAGGCAACCGCTTTGCAACACAGCATGGCCATACAAAGGTGACTGACCTTTTTTTGATATTTTTAAATGTTTTTGTTGCAAAATTTTAAAGATAATTTAAAGTATATTTATGGTCATTTATGTTTTAGCTTTTAATTCCATTCTGTAAATGGCGGGTTTCCCGCTGTTAAATGTGATTGTAAGTAAATAAATGAATATTAATGTTGATTACCTTATGAGAAAATACTTATATTTTAACATTATTATTTCTGTATAGATAATCCAAAATTCAACTGTGGTTCATACAATATTGTGCGTGTGGGTAACAGTGTGGATAACAGGTGTATGCGATACCAGCTCACCACTATTGTAAACCAACAAATGCAACATGGTAAGTTACAAATGCAACAAGTGACTGAGAGTGCGTTCACTTGTTATTAGATAGATAATGTAGACAACTTAGATGTTCAGAGAATTTTGAGACCGAGGGCAAGTAAGATATCAGTATTCAAGGGCTATAGTAAAGTATTTGCTAGATGCAATGTTCCCTGAATGCACTTTGGCTAGAATGTGCAAAGCAGATTCAATTAAGAAATTGAATTTGGTTTCCATATTTTCATGTGCTCGGCTATCACACTTCATGTTCTGTCACAAAATGTATGCCTACTGTGTGACAATGCATGGTCTATAACAATAACAACTCTCCCTGACTGTGGCCATGTCCAAAATTCTATAACAAATTTAAGATGGCTGATGGCACCAGAGGCGGATCCAGAGTTGTCCAGAAGGGGAGGGGGTGAAAAATGGGGCCGATTGAGATAATACTGCCCCAGGGGTCCGGGGGAAATGTTTGTGTTCCAGATGCCCGAAAATAGCCTCTAAAGGCGTTTTAGGCGCTCAATTTTTTCGTTTTCTTTCTTCTTTTTTTTCTTGTTTACCTTCCAAAAGGAAGTGGGGGGGGGCCCTGCTGGCACCACCCCCCCCCCCTAAATTCGCCCCTGCACACGATCATCTTAAAATTCCACCTCCCCATAACGCACTATTAAATGCCAGAAGGCTCTCTTTGTTTTACCCTATGTCTTGTAACAACCAACTATTTTGTCTAAGCCATCTTTTTCCCACTTTCATGTGCCATGATCTTATATAAATTGTCACAAACCTCACTCTAGTCTTTTTTGCCTCCTGGTAAACATATTCCCTATGAGGATTGAACTTAAATTGGTTATGACAATTTTATAGTCTATGCAAATGTACAGGAAGGGCATCAATTAGCAAGAAACTTTTTTTTTTTATTTTGAAGCTATTGAAGTTTTGAATCTATGTGTGTAAAATATGTATTGATATGAATTATTATATTTGAAATCTAGCAATTAAAAAAGATAACAATGTGGAAATTGCTAATTGCCAGAAAAAGCTTGATGAAGCAATATTACGCAGTGCATGTTTAAAGCTCAGTTCTGAAGCAAGTCCGGTAGAGGTAGGTAAATTATTTGTTGTAGTACGGTAGTCTAAAGCAAAGATGTTGAGTCGCATGGGTGACATAAGACTAGCCTTATATGTTGGTTGGCTTGCCAAAATGTTTTCTGTGAGACATGGGTTGTTTATTGTCCGGTTTTCTTGCTTTTGTAATGTAGTTGGTTTATATAGTGCTTTATACCGAAGTCTCAATGTGCTCGAGGTGTGGATTAACTTGTACAATAACTTGCTTCTCCCCTAAGGGTTTCTTTGTGCCTGAGCTACCCGGAAAACCTGCACCAGCTACGTGTATCTCTTGTCTGTTCACAACAAGGGCTTAGCTCAATACGCCGGGGTAACCCCCTACTCATCTGAAAAGATGTTTTGGTTCTTTAAAGTGCACATGAGCCAAACTGTGTACATTGGGCCTACGGTTTAGCGTCCTTATCCAAGAAGACTTGTTCCACCACCAGAACCAGATGAGTATGCTGTTCAAACCAGCACCAACCAATAGGTGTTTAGCTTGCCTGTTGACTAAGAATCTAAAAAGAAAAAGATGTTTTATGAGAATCTAATGATCAGTGGAAGTTTGCACTCATTTATATCATGGAGGAATAAGATGAAATAAAGTTATTCCTCTATGTTTATATGTAGGTATACCATCAATAGCAAATCACAAGAGAGATACCTCAGGATTTTTACACTTACTGAACAAGTGGCATAGTTAAGCATGAATGCATGCTCATTAAAATCTGTAACCAAGTGTCATTTTTCTGATTTTGTACTTTATTATATAGTGTAAACAAGCTGAAGACAATATAGACTGTTTAGAAAAAGAGTTAAAAGATTTGAAGAAGAAAAGCATCGAGGCAATTGTTTCTGTAAATAAACAAAATATGCAAAAAGAAATACTTAAGCGTGCTGATATCATTTTCTGCACTTTAAACGGTAGTGGCTCCACCTGTTTGAATACACTTAAAACAAGTCGACATCCACATTTCAAGTATGTGATCGTAGATGAGGTGAGTAGGATATTCTGTAATTATAATTTTCATTGTAATTAGTATTATTGATGTTACCATTCAGAATTTTGAGCTCCCTTCTGACATCTGGAATATTAATAGTTTGACCATCACCACTCATTAAATGATTTTTTAATTTCTTTTTTCTAGGCATGCCAGTGTACTGAATTAGACACACTGATTCCACTACAGTTTAAAGTGTCTAAGCTACTACTTGTTGGTGATCCTCAACAGCTCACAGCCACAGTGTTGTCAGAGGTTAGTGTTCTTAAACAAATAAATATAATCATTAAACTTTTGGTAATGTAGTTTTGTTTCTGACCAAACGTACCTCTTCCATGACTTCTGGAAAGCGGACAATGTTACTTCAAGCAAACAAAATCTTCTACAAACAATTTTGTGTTGGGTAAGCTGTTAATTATTAATTAAGTTTGCATTGTCCACAGAAAGCAAAAGAGTTTGGCTTTCAACAGTCTCTGTTTGAACGTATGTATAAAAACTTCAGAGGACAGCTGACTCTACAAAGGAACCCAGTGCACCTGTTGAGGACTCAGTATCGAATGCATCCAGAAATCTGCAGCTTTCCATCAAAGCACTTCTACAATAATAAATTAAAAACCTCTCTGTAAGTACCTGATTTACAATTTTTCCTGTCTTCTAATACCTCCGAACATTGTACTGAAGCCAATCACAGATAATTTTATGTCACTTTCTCTATTCTCCATTTTTCTTCTAACCAACTGTCCCTTTCTTCACTGCTGCTCTCTTTTTTCCAGTATTCTTCCAACTCTCCTAACCTTACTAAGCAGAATTTGCCAGAAAACAATGGATATTTCAACCGATAACTTTGTTATTACAGGCCTGAACCTACCAAAAGAAACTATGACTCCTTTCCATTTAGACCTTACTTGCTATTTGACATCATAGAAGATGGAAAAAGGTCAACAGACAAGTGAGTAAAGCATTATGCTGTTTCAGGGCCTGATATGTTAAACAGCAATACATATTTATAATGCCTTTAATTGATGCTGATGCTAATATGCAACTGCTACTTTAAATATATAATTCATTGATTGATGATTAGATAAAAGAAGAATTTGTAATATTTATAGCTAATTCATATGAATATATAAGCTGCCCTAAATATTTTTTTAGGAAACTTGTTTAACAAATATCTTAGGGTTTAAAGCCCCATTCCCGGCAAAATTTCAGTTTTTAAGAAAAATCTAATTTTTGTATAATGTTATAAAGATTTATAAATATAATACGGAATTGCTAGTTTAACTGAATTTAGACATTCCTAAGAATGAAAAAAATGTAAAATAAGACTGAAATTTGATTTTTTTTGTGTTCCACACAAAAAAAAAATGCGGATGAATTTTTTATTTTGATTTTGCGATAGGTCGTGAGAAGAAATATCGTAGGCACCGAAAACATTTGCCTATCCAGCGCTGCTAGGCTAGGCCTAGCCTTACCTCGATTTAGGTTCTGTTATCACACATAAAAACGGACGACATGATATTTTCCGTTGCTAGTATTGACACTTGTGAAATATAATATTTCATAGGAATTATTTCAAATTTGTTAAAAAACTGATTCTGACTGAGATTTTGACACTTAAACAAACATATCTCAGCCTAACCGAACGCTTAAACAAACATATCTCATCCTTAATCGAACGACCGCATTGTGCGAGATACGAAGTACAAAAACTAATCTCATTAGAGAGGGCGCACTTTATTGACTGTATAAAAGTATACGTAAAAGCGAGAGTATTCCAGTGGATTTGATCTACAACCTCTGAATTTGCCTAGTAACGATGAATTCGTCCAGAAAATGGTAATATTTTATGAGAAATAGACTGTATTTCTCATTTTTTTTATTCTTTTGCGTAAAACTAAAATTCATGCCAATATTTTTCCATGATTTATAATAACTGGAGTAATGCAAATGAATATTTTCTAAAAAAAGTCAGTTTTTAGTGAAATTTTGCCGTGAATGGGGCTTTAAGAATAAAATTACATTTTAATTAGAGCAGTCAATCCATAGATTGTATATCTCCGTCTTGTGCCTGATGAGTGTTTCCATTATTTTCTTTTATGTAAATGTGCCTGATGAGTGTTTCCATTATTTTCTTTTATGTAAAAAATCAAATTTCTGTGACCATGAAATTCCTAAGTTTTTACGTAATCTTGCTAACAGACGTCAGACAGACAAGTAGCGGTGATTACAAAGCCTCCTTGGCGGACTTAAAAATGGTTTTGCCATAAAAGTATAATTTTTGAACGCATGAAATGAAGTGAAGAGTTCCTAGTATTCCATAATTTAATAATAATATGAATCTCAAATTTTTTTGTTTCAAGTTATAATACAAAATCAAAGCCTTTTTTTATCAGGCCTTTAGACTATCACAGCTAGCATACATTTAGATGTACTGTAAATGCAATGTTTTTATTTTTGTTAGGGATATCATAAACAAAGCAGAATGTCAAATGGTATCCGCTTTAGTTTCGCTTCTGGTTGCCATTGAGAAGTTTAGAATTGGCATCATAACACTGTGTGAACAACACAAGATTTTGCTGAACGAAAAAATAAAAAGGTAAACACAAGTTTTTGTTAAATGAATATTTGCAATATCCAAAGTTTATTTGATTATCCAATAAAATCAATTGTAAGAAATGAAATAAAAACCTTAATTCAGTTTTACTCGCATTCCAAATGTATGGCCACAGAATCCTATTTGGATACTTTATAATACATTCATACAGGAGCGGATACAGAGATGTCCGAAAGTGGGAACGATAAAGGTAAAACTACCCTAGGGTCCGGGCATGCCCCCGCGACTAATTTCTGTTTTCTAGACGCCCGAAAATACCTCTGAGGCATTTTTGGCGATCAATTTTTTCTTTTATTTTTTTTTAGTATCAAAAGGGGGTGGACCCGGGGCCACCCACCCCCTCCCCAAATCTTCCCCTGTCAAATTAACACTTTGTAGATACATTTATATTTTTTTGCGCTGTACAATTATTATAAATAGAAAATGATTCAAATTGAATAATATTATTTATTTTCAACATAATTGTTGTGTGTAGTAAATAATCTTGATTAAAAAATATTCAAAATCACCTGTGAGGTTGAGGCTCAGATCCTGGGAACCAGGTATTTGGAATTGTTGTGCATATTAGACAAGGCAGGCTTAAACTTGCCATTTATCTTGGATGTAGGACATGTTTTTGCTAATGACACTATAAATAAAAATAATTTTGTATTATACAAAGGTTATTTTCTTCTTTTTTGTCTCTTTAAACTTGTAGACTGACCAACACTGATGAAAGTATTGGGCAAAATGTTGAGATTTCTACTGTTGATGGCTTTCAAGGGCATGAGAAAGATGTCATTATTTTGTTTTGTGTCAAAGCAAGAGGGAGCGGCATTGGGTTTGTTTACTAAAATATAAAAAACATAAAGCTCTTTATCAAATTTTGTGAATTGTCATAAATGAGCATGATGATGTCATACCCATATATGGGTGTGACATATATAGATGTCATTATTTTGTTTTGTGTCAGAGCAAGAGCTGTCTCTTATACACATATCACAGGTATTTGACACATAAAATTTGATAGTGTTGACTGAGCTTTAAATATTTAGGCTATGATTAGACTGCTATCCTCTCTATTTGGGGAATTGTTTAATCTGAACCAACCTGGGTTGGCTCATGTTTATCATGAAATCGCTCTCAACCCAGACAACTTAACTCAGTCAAAGTACCCGAAGGTTCAAATTTTTGACTTCTTACTCTAGCTTTTGGTCACCATTCACATTTAGCGAAACAAGCTCATGATTTTACTAGCTAAAAACCGAAAGGTCCACTGATTAATCTCAGATAAGATAGTATAATACATACTCCAAGTATCGAAATGTACGCCATTGTGTTGGGATTCAATATTTCAACATTAATTATGTCATCATCAGGAACTGATTCCTAATGATGACATAATTAATTTTGAAATATTGAATCCCAACACAATGGCATACATTATACAATTTTACTAGCTAACTTTGGTCAAATTTATGCTCCCACTGGTCAACATATACGTAGTGTGCACATTTAACTTGTTTACGGTACTAGAGATATTATTGTACACCAGACTAGAAGAATTATGAAACAAGTCATTTGGCACACTGAATTCACACAGTAGTTCTAAAATCCTGCTCACAAACTGACAGAGAGACAGTGATGAATTCCTAACTCATTGGTGGAGGTAATAATAAGCTTTTTATGTTACGATAATAATATAATGGTGATAATCATCTGGTTTTATCTGTTTTTTTTTATTTGGTTGTAGATTTGTTGGTGATTGTAACAGAATGAATGTTGCCCTTACTAGAGCAAAAATGGCCCTCTACATTGTAGGATGCTTCAGGACCCTCCAGGTATATAAAAAAATCCCATGATCTCTGTGAAATCAATTATTCCATCCATCAGTTCATTCATCAAGCCACCATCCATCCGTCCATCCATCCATTAATCCATCCATACATCTATCCATCCATTCACCCATCTATCAGCTCACCCGTCTACCAACCATTCAGTCAATGAATCCATCAATCCATGAATCGGGATTGTTCATCTGTTATTTTCTGTATATTTCTGTTGCCTAAGCTGTTGTTTTGTGTATCTTGTTTTCTACTTTTCATTGCTGCTATTAGCAGAGTATTTGTTTTCATTATTAACATGTGTGTAACTGTGTGAAATAACAGTGTATATAAGTTTGTTTGTTATATGTATTCATTGTATATTTTCAGAAAAATAAAGATTGGGGAGAGCTACTGAGAGATGCAAAGCAAAGGAAGCTGGTACTCCCTGTACGTGTTGGGCAATATGATGAAGTTGCAGAACTGTGCAGGAAGGACCCTAGGTCTCCCAGTGGTAAAACCAGAAGAGAATGTAGCTTTGAGAAAGAAGCTAAGGAAAAAGGAAAGCCTTTTGCAGAAGATAATGGGCAGGGAAAATGTCAAGCGAAAAAGGCTAGGAAGGAAGAAAGGGTGCTAGAAGAAGGTACTGGTGTACAAACTAGAAAGGAAGGTAGCCAGATAGGAGGGAGTGGGAAGGCATGCCCATGTATAGGTTCTAAGGGCCATAGTGTGGAGCCAAGGGAAACTTTGAATCTTCCCTCCTCAAGTAGGAATGTAGAATCTACATATGGAAAGAATGCTAAGGAGCTTGGTGAGGTCATAAAATCTGTAAGTTTAAAGCATCAACATGGCCCTCTTGTAAAGGAAATCTCAGGTCTACTTCCAAACCCAGATAGGAAACGAGGCAGAAGTAGTAGCCAAATAGGAGATCAGCAACATAAAAGGCAGAAACGAATTGGGACACAGGATGGAGGTACAATGCAGCAGTGTAGAATTGACACCCAAGTTGTACAACCATTGCAGAACCGTAAAAAGCATGTTAGTTGTGGCGATCTGCAGCCTAATCTAATGCAGGAGCATGGGGATGTCATGCGTGGCATTCAAGAGAGAGAACTAGTGCAGAAACGTAAAAGACATATCAGTGATGGTGATCAAGAGACCAGTCAAAGGCACCGAAATGAAAGAAGTGGCAATACTGTCAACCAGGAATGGCAGGACACCCAGAGAGACAGATCTTCAAAAAGAACTACCACTACCGTGACAGAACCGAAGCTACAACCACTCCAGCACGGAAAGAAGCGGATAGCACACAAGCCCAGAGGACAGTCGTGTGGACCCACTTCATCATGCTTTGACAGAGAAGGCCAGGAACCAAAGCCACACAGAAATGAAGGATTTCAAATTGAGGCAAGTAGATCAATGCAGTCAACATGCTCCTCTGCTAGAGTTAAGCAAGTTACATTTTCTGAAGAGACCCAAGTTCGTTTTATTGAAAAAAATGACAAGCTAGACATGAATGTGTAAACAAGTAAATTCTCATATAATTTTATATTTTAAAAAGAGGTTTGACAATGTTTGTATACTAGATATATACAGTATTTATGTGTGTGCCGAATGGTTATTAATCAAAATGTTTTCTTTTTTAACAAACCAATTAATATGTACTGACTTTTACTGACATTTTCTATGTTCATTCATCATTTTCAGAGTGACGACACTGTTGTTAATTGGTTTGTTAAAATAGGAATTTTCTTACATCGTATCTACAAATGAGATGAATGTTTTCAACTATATTAGTAACTGTTCAAATGTTTGGACTGTACCTAGGAGTATGTTAAAATCAACATATTTACATTACACTTTGGATTAAGTATGTTAGAATGAACCAGGGGCGAATCCAGAGATGTCCAAAAGGGGGGGGGTGCGAAATCGGGCTGAAAGTTGTGCCGATAGAGACAACACTGTTCTAGGGGGTCTGGGGTCATTCCCCCACAAAATTTTCGTGTTCTAGACGCCCGAAAATAACATTTGAGGCGTTCTGGGCTATCATTTTTTCTTTTTGTTTCTTTTTTCTTTTTTTTTCTTCCCAAAAAGGGGGGGGGGGCCGCAAAATCTGCCCCTGGTGAACAAAATATGTTATAGGCAGATGAGGACAAATACATTGTTCTGTTGCTCAACAGCTGTGATTAGAATATCAGGGTCGGTCAGCCAAGGAGAAATTATTATATTTTTCTGTACTATAGTGGACTTTTCTTTTAAGCCCCTTCCCTTATATTGTTACTATTTCCACAAAACGACATTAAGGAGCTTTCGATTGCACGACGACGGTAGGACGTACAGTAGAACGTAATGACCTCACTAAAAGTCATTTGCGCATGCGAGAACGTTAAAGTCACCTCGTCGAGTAGATTCTGCAGAGAATGTAGGATGCCAGGTAGGACGGTCACGCATGAGCGATTCCGTTCTAGCGTCGCATCGTCGCACTAATCAAAAGCTCCGTAATGTAAAAACATAGGTAAACATGTATTTGTGAGGCAACACATTTGCTTGTTGGACGTGCGAGTATTTCTAACACTGTTCTGATTGTTCAGTTGCTAAGTTGACACAGAGACCTCAGAAAGATCAATTGTGTATTAGTGTATATAAATGTATAACTCATCTTGAATGCAAGTAATATTAGTGGATGGCTATCCATTGCAGTAGCAGATCCAGGATTTTTTCACTGGGGTCGGAGATATACAGTACGTAGTAATCATGGACTTATGGTCATTGGCGTACTAGAAGTCTTGAAATGGGGGTGCTGATGCAGGGGGTGCAAAGGTGAAGTGGGGGGGCCCGCTCGATTATCAGTTGAGGGGCGCTAATTCACAAAATAAGGTGATTTTTAACTACTTGACCGTGATTTGGGGGGTGCGTCTTTGGTAGCAAGTAATTTTTGGGGGTGAGGGTGTGCGCACCCCACTAGATACGCCACTGCTTATGGTCTAATGGGTGGGTTGGTGTGTTACCTATTACTGCATATCCCTTATCTAAATGATTTCAGCCAGTGGTGTAACAATCAGTCACGGAGTAAGAAAATGTTGGGCCCTATGTTTATTATATCTCGATTTGCAGTGCCATGAAATTATCTAAGGATCCCCTTCAAAGTAGAATATATGCCCTACCAGGAATTACATTGTTTTCATTTGCTATTTTTAGGTGTAAATATCTATTAGATCTGTTAAAGCATGCTGTGTCTTTGGTGCCCCTTTGGACTTGATGCCTGGTGCTCAAGAGAACCCATAAGCATTCAGCGCCACTGTTTCAGAGTTGGTTAGAGATTTTTTGGCTAGTGGGGGCTTGCGCCCTCATTATCCACACTAGATCTGCCACTGATGAGTATGTAATGTAGTTTTGTATTGATTTTTCTAGTTTGATACTGCTATCTTTCAATTATAAGCCAGAGTCACATCGATTTACCCCCTCATTTATCTCTGTATATAATGATCATATAGTGGGTTTGGTGCTGTTCATGTCAATTTCCCTAAACGAGATGTGGGAATGACATAGGGATGGGCATGGGCAAAATTTCATGGTCTGAAAGTCTTGTGACACTGGCATTATGGCTCTTTTGCCTGCAGTATTTGTATAGAACGGTCTTCACACTTTTTAACTTTTGATACATTTTATAGCTCTTTTGCATGCAGTATTTGTATAGAACGATCTTCACACTTTTTAACTTTTGATACATTTTATGGCTCTTTTGCCTGCAGTATTTGTATAGAACGATCTTCACACTTTTTAACCTTTGGTACATTTTATGGCTCTTTTGCCTGCAGTATTTGTATAGAACGGTCTTCACACTTTTTAACTTTTGGTACATTTTATGGCTCTTTTGCCTGCAGTATTTGTATAGAACGATCTTCACACTTTTTAACTTTTGATACATTTTATAGCTCTTTTGCATGCAGTATTTGTATAGAACGATCTTCACACTTTTTAACTTTTGATACATTTTATAGCTCTTTTGCATGCAGTATTTGTATAGAACGGTCTTCACACTTTTTAACTTTTGATACATTTTATAGCTCTTTTGCCTGTAGTATTTTTATAGAACGATCTTCACACTTTTTAACTTTTGATACATTTTATAGCTCTTTTGCCTGCAGTATTTGTATAGAACGATCTTCACACTTTTTAACTTTTGATACATTTTATAGCTCTTTTGCCTGTAGTATTTTTATAGAACGATCTTCACACTTTTTAACTTTTGGTACATAGTTTAGCTTTTGTTTTTATATGCATGCCCATCATAGACTTAATGTTAACTACTGTATTTTTACTGTTGTACTGTAAAGTATCTGCCATTAAATGTACCTGATAACAAAAGATATGACACTCAAAAACCTATATTTGCACTTTATGTATACGTTGTTTAGCTTCCGTTTTTATATGCATGTTCGTCATAGACATGTTAACTATTGTTACTGTAGGCTGTAAACAAAACCTGCCAACAAAAGATATGACACTCGGAACCTACATTCGAACTGTATATATATTTTTTTTAAAGAAAAGAAGATTTCATGACACCTAAAACATACGTAAAAAAGCTGACATAAAGTCAAGTTGTCAAGAAATAGAAAATTTATTCCATCACTGAAAATATAAGTTTACTAACACAAAAATTAATTACCAAATCAAAGGAACCAATTTTATTCAAACACCTCTTCAAAATAACACACTTAACTAAACTATAAAAAGGAGATCTAAGTAGAGATTTTTTAACTTCTCTAAAACCATTATTACAAAAAGTTAGTAATCCATAACAATACAAATATACCTGCAGTCGACTACGTACACCAAACACTCCCACGGAACAAAAACGTCACAACTCATCTAGAATGGACAATTTCTGCTTCAACACCCTCGAATTTGAATGTACCTGTAAAGAAAATTCCGCATGCCAAGAAAATCTTATACAAAAAAATCTCGGTATACTCAAATACAAGAGACAGATGCACTTTTAGCACCTTTTTTTCTCTCTTTTGTGGTACATTTACCACTATTATTCATCCATAACATATGTTTTACATATCAGATATTCCGTCAGAGACATACCAAGGGTTGTCCCCTTACATAGTCGTTGTAATAAAAGAATATATTTACAATCAGACAAGCATATTTAAACCGCTCATATAGTGGTATAAACAACATCAGTTACTGACTCGTATAAACATGGCATGACTTTGCTTTGGCTATCAATTTTTTTTTTTAATTTATAAACGTGATGGTTGTTTTCATAGCCTATCGTTCTTCCGATCACAACAAAAAATTCACAATTTTTTTTTCTCCTTTTGCATGAATTTTACATATAAGTAAATCGTAAGTCTTAACGTACCGTTCAATACACATAATTCCATCTGACTTTAAATCAAGAACAATCATACCAGAGCCAGTGGATTTCTGATCAAAATGGTACATACGCTATGTTTATATAGGCCCTATGCATGGGTCCTTAAAATATATATATTTTTTATTTATATATCGTATATATATATATATATGTATATATATATATATTATTTATATATAGTATAAACCTAGATATATACATACATAAACACATACATTTATATATAGTATATACCTAGATATATACATACATAAACACATACATATAGATACATGCATACATATACATATATGTACATACACTACCTACACACACAATCCCACAAGTATATTAAAATATGCATACATACACACAATTACATACCGTACATATATCAATGCTTGAAGTTTGAATTGTTTGAGTTTTATTTCATAGATTTTATCAATTTTCTTTTTCCAAACACTTTTCCATTCAATAAGGTCATAGTGTAATACGATTTGCCAGTACAAAATTCCTTTCGGCATAATAATATATTTTTGTATTATATTTCTATATATAATTTTGTTACTTGCCTTATATAATGGTATCGCATCCAAACTATTATACTCCAGCATTTGAAAATCGTTTTTGTTGTGATCTACGATATTACATTTTGTAAAATGATCTTTTTGATTAGTCGACCATTCCTTTGGAATAGCGTTTTTTAGTGCCCAATATATCATGAACCAAATGCAGCGGCGGTGAATAATCACTTTTAGGACTTTGCATTCCACCAAATGGTAGGCCTACAACAGACAATTAAATGTGATAATTATAAAATATATATTCTACTCCAAGTACAACAGACAATTAAAACTTCAAGCACAACACAACACAACACATGGCCGGCGCAACCGGGAGTGGGGAGGGGGGCGGCACCCCCACTTTTTAGCAGAAAATATATGTCTATGGAGACTTGTATGATCGGAAAGAAATGCAAGAAAAGAAAGAGGGAAGAAAGAGGAGAGGGAGCCGAAAGAGAGTGTATCCAGTTCCCGACCGAGTTGCATTTTCTCGCAATTCACATTGGCGGATCTGGGGTAGGGGTTAGGAGTCCCTTGGACAAAAAAACAAGAAAAAAATTAAAAAAAATAACTTAATTCTAGACCTAAATTTTCGTGACCCGTGAGCTGAATTTTTTTTTGTTACAATAAGAAAAATATAAGTCGGGGAAAGCTCATTTCCCGCCATCTAGGAATTAAAATTTTGTCGGGGCACCCCCTTTTATTTTTGGGGTAAATCTATTCATGGGAAAAAGATTACGTATGCAACGTATGTATACCGGTTCGCACATAATAGTCCTATTTTACTGTAATAAGAATGAGAAAAATTTACCTGACCGTTTTCAAGGGGAAAGCCTTGAATTTTGAAAAACTTGAAAGCTCATTTCCCGTCATCAGGAGTCAACATTTTCCCGGACCCCCTTTCTTTTCGGGATGATTTATCGATTCGTGGAAAAAAGAATACGTAGGCCTATGCGACTACTCAATTTGTTTATGTATACGCACATAAAATAAGAAAGAGAAAAATTTGCCTGACCGCTTTCAAGAGGAGAAAACCTTTAAATTTGAAGAACTTAAAAGAAGTCGGGACTTCAGAAGTCGGGAAAGCTCATTTCCCGCCATTTGGGATTTAACATTTTCCCGCATTAGACTTTAAAATATCGGTTTAACTACTGTTTATAAATAAACATTGGCAACAATATAATGAAATAAAAAACAAATAAAAAAAATAAAAATATATCAAACAACAATTATTCCTTAAAATTAAATTGAATAACACGAATAGACACCGTCCATAAACACTTCGACAATACATATGCCTAGGCTTATGATATGAAATACATTAATTAAAATGATAGATTAAACAAATCTTTTGTACCAGTCTAAATTACATTCAAAATTATTTCCATAAATTGTTATGGAATTAGTACTGGTTACTTTAATGTTATTTAATTAATTATTTATTTATTTTTATATTAATTGAATAGGCCATACTGAATACATTGAATTGAACATACTGTTAGTATTTTACATGTTTTTATAGTGCAATAAGGTACTGTATAGAGAAGCAGATCCGGGGCGGCTTAGAAATGTATCAAAAATTATATACAGTAAACATTTTATATTTATGAAAATATGATTAATACTGTAGATAAAATTAATTTAAATATGTATAGTAATTCCTGAAATGCAACATAATATATAGTCAGTATAATAAGGTAGAGGGCGTTCTTCTTTGTTTTCACACTGGCGCAATGGGTAACCGGCAATGCAACAAGATGAATGCAGTGTCCTTGATTTTGTTGTTTATTACATTACTTCTAGATATTCCATGTAATATTTTTGCAAAAAAACATTTAAAACTGAAACAAGTGCATGTTGTAAGTATCATAAATGTATAAAAGCTTTTGTTTGCAGGAAGCATTTCCTGCCTTAACCAGGAAAGCCGAGATCACCTCTTTCGTTGAACAGGCACGGCACATTACATTTGCATGGTCCTCCTTGACAGGCCGAGGGCGAGCGATCAATCGTGTTCCTGCTTTACCGGTACCCTAGCCACATAGGCCTATATTGTGTACACTGGATAAATCCTTGTCCAAAAAGGCTTGGTTCTACTACCCGAACCCTGGGTGGGGAGCGACTCGGACCAGCACCACCTGCCTTAACCCTCTGTCACTTGGCTCGCATATTTATATATTCATACACTTCAGATATCATTACTCGGGTTAACCAGTGTAGTTATGAGACTTTTTTAACTGCAATCATTTTGTTTTTGTCCTGAAGTTATATCGCCATGGCAGTCGTTCTCCATCACACAGATATCCGAATGATCTGTATGACGAATCTACATGGCCTCAGGGATATGGAATGTTAACACAGGTAAGATATTTTGTATTGCTCATTATTTGGTACTAAGTTATTCAATTTTCTATATAATGATTATTCTTAGAAATTAAAAGAAATATTTAGAGGGCTTACAATTTTGTTATTAGTATAGTAGGCTAAATATATGTGCATAAATAATTATCATAAAGATTTTTTCTTGGATGCATCTACTATGATAAGGGAATTTTTTTTCAAAAGTTGGATTGAGATCATTGAGTAGAAACCGTAGAAATTAACTTTATAACTGTAAACTATAAAGGCCAATAGGGTTTGTCAAAAGCAAAAGGCAATAGAGTGCTTCTTCGGAGAAATGCAATGCATCTGACAGACTGCCAGTCGTGGATTTTTTCCCGCCCTCACTTTTCCTCACTCATAGACTTCAATCATCACTGCAGATTTGTGTAATATGTGTCATGAAATCATAATAATTATTTTGCAATATTTAACAATTTTACAGAAAGGCATGAAACAGCAATATCTCCTTGGACAATGGTTAAAAGATCGTTATGTGGACAACTTCGGTTTTCTCAATCATACATACATTGCAAAGGAAATTGTTATTCATAGTACAGATACACATCGCACTGTTATGTCCGCTCAAAGTAATCTTGCAGGTTTGTACCCTCCTAATGACGCCCAGGTCTGGAACGAAGAAATACCTTGGCAACCAATTGGGATTTTCACATACCCGGGTGATCAAGACCGTGTAAGAAGACCACATTTTTTATATAGTATATCAGACTAGCTTTTCAAACTAAATTTTTTTTTTTTTAGTGATTGAAGTTGTTTTTACCTTACTTTTAGTACTGCTTTTCTCTCCTTGCTGTAGATTGAATCTTCACCTTTTTCTTTCTTTTCAAGAGAAGTTTGATCTGCTTATTTTCCTTTTGCCTTCTGAGGAAGTTAGCTGGGTCTATGGGTGAAGTCCTGTTGCCCTATGGGACCTAAAGCAATTTCTCCACTTCTTGGTTTGACGATTGTCTGACAGGTGGCTTAAACCCCCAGTGCTCCAGCTCCTCCCTATCTGCCAATGGCTCCATGTAACTGAAACTAGCATAATTTTTATTGGGTGTTTTTTTTTCTTTTTTCTAAATGGTATCAAATCCACCAAGTAAACTGAGTTATATCCTTTGGCTTCTTTGTGAATTATTGAGGCACTGAGAAGTCATTAGAAGCTATCACTTTGTAGCCTTATTTACGATTGCCTGTGGGTATTCTTTTTCATATTTTCTGATATCATGAATGTGTGTGGCCAATGGGAACATTTTTCCAGTTGTCCCTGTTTGTCACTGTTGCGTCACTGTTGCTTCTACCATTGTTCCATTTTTTTTTAGGTTTTAACATTTCATGCTCCATGTCTGAAACGAGATAGACTGATGGAAGAAAAATCACATCCGCTCTATAATAAATTCATTGAAAACAACAAGGTAATTTTTGTATCACATTTACATCTAGTTCATACATTCAACTATATAACATATATTGTAAATATTATTCTATATTTATTATTCTTTGTATTGTATTATATTAGTATAGTCATGAAATCATAATGAAAAGAATATATTCCATTTATAGTTTTATTATTCCATTTAGTGGTTATGTATCATGTCATTTTCTTACTACAGGAAAAAATAGACTACATCATTGCTCATGCAGGAGTTGACAGGAATATTAAATCGTTAGGACAAGTTGCTGATGCATTATATTTTGAGGTTTGTAATATTGGATCCACTTTAAAATGCTCAGTAGAAAAATACTTTAAAAGGACCCCAATCAAACATCATTAAAATGTATTGTATTGGACATGGAAATTAAAACTTACAATCTTTTGGCTCGAAAACCCTTTGTATTTGAAAGCCCAATGCCGATTAAACCTCAGCATAAAGTGGAGTGGAGTTGAATAGCGTGGTAGTTAAGATTTTTGGCTTCTAATCGCACTGCGTTAAATTCCTGTCACAGCAGAACTTTTTCTCAAGATTAAAAAGGAACTCCACTCCATAAGCCTCAATAGCAGACTTGGTTTATAAAGCATCGTTCCATGTTGTAAGTGGTACTTGCTTTGGATGTGAACGAAAAAAAAAGTACACTGGAAATGTCACTTTATGCCCCCCCCCCCCAAGAAAAAAAATCCTGCCTTAGATGCATGGTATTGCTTTTGCTTAATACTCTGTAATAGAAGGATACACATCCTATTATGTCTACAATATATGTATAACAATTCTCAAATTTCACGTATGTTAACCAATTCAAATTTTGATTTTTATCAGAATGAAGATGGTCGTAACTTACCTCCTTGGACATTAACAGATGTTGTTGGATGGGATGGTACTTACTATAAGTGGTTAATGATGCTAAAAGACTTCCAGTATTCTGCTATATATCAGAATACAAGTACTGAATTGAAAAAGTTACTTGGGGGTATGTGTTAAAACATCTTTTTTTCAAATCATCTTTGTCTTATGTGCGGATCATCTGTAACCCGCCGATTTACTACTGAAATAAAGGTACAAACTGTAAACAGGAGATCTTATACACCCGACATACAAAAATTGTCCTAAAGTCTTCTCAAACTCAGGGGCCGTCTTATACGAGGATTGCTTAATACACAGCATATACGGTGAATAATGTATGAAAGTTAAACATCATCCAAACAAAATTCCTGGAAAATGTTATGTTTTTAATTTTAAAATTCCTATACTTACTGTATGCTACAGCCGAGTTCGCATAAGTCGAATCTAATGGGACTGGCATAAAAAGTTCGAGTTATACAGATTTCGACTTGCACATTTTCGAAAAAAAAATATTAACATAGAACAATACTATGTGTACTCAATGCCCACAAAATCGAATTTCACGCAAAACCGAACATTTTCTTAAGTCCCAAAATCATTCCTATTCTTCTTTTAATAATAAAATACTTTCCGAAAACATTAAACTCCCTATTCCAAATCTCAGACGATTTGTCCAATTCAGGACGGTAACACTCACTCGAAAAACCAGACGATAGTTTAACAACATCGTTCAACGACAAGCATACCAGACGCTGTGAAAACGAGACGCTTAGCTATACTCGCATTACCATGGAGATTATCTGTTAATTAACACGACACACCAGTAGAAGTTTTCTTGGTTAATTATGAAGTGAAATTTACGCATTCCAGTGTTTTAATAAGTGTATATTCTTGCTTTTAATCCTTAAAAACCATTTGGAATCAACCTGCAATAAAGACGGAACTCTACAAAGCAAGTTTCTACTGGTTACTCTTTTCAGTAGACGTCTAATTCAAATTCGTTAGATTCGTCGGTGTAAATTTCAAATGCACCTCATTCATTCTTTAAAATCAAGACGCTTTTCAAAACATATTGCTAATTTAATTACGGAGGAAATTTGTAGAGAATAAAATATAATTTGTTACGTTTATTTAGATTTGATTCTAAAATATACCACGAGGGTTTCTTATTTGCTTTTTGTTTTGTTTTATAAATTTGTTTAATTAAAACATTCTTGATTACACCGAGTTTGTTTCTGTCACGCACTATGAAACTTTGGGCGATCTGACGTCATCATAGCCGAAGCACATGTCTAGTCTGCAAAACACCCCACGAAAATGGACCAATTGGCGGGCAGGCAGAGTTTTTGGGGGCGCAACCTTTTCTATTTACAACTAGACTGCCGACCAGCAAGTGGCATTGCCCAACGAAGAATGTGTGCTAGAAAAAACATAATCAGACCTAAAGAAATGCACGCAAAAACAATATAAAAGTCGCATCAGTTTTATTGGTAATAATTAAATTTGCTGAGCAGTACAGCAAAACAACAGGTACTGTACGTATTATTAAATAATGTGTTGAATTTGCGTAGGCTAGGCAGTCAAAAGTATCCAGGGCTTTGATAAATTAATTAAATAGCTAGGCCCTGACTACAACAATCTTGTTCGAAATGGGTTCAGTACAAGTTTTACAAACTAAACTTGACGAAAAACTGAACATTAGAGCCGGTCCGGAGGGGTGTCTGTATTGTGAGAATAGACTGCAACTTACGACATACGATCATGCGAGCCAAGTTCCACAGCGCGCTGTCTGAGATGTTAGTTTGACATGGCTAACTTGTTGCCGTACAACAAGGATTGAACTTCGTATTTTCCCACGGCTGTGTATTTTTCCCACGTGCGCTACTAAATTTGGAACTTCGACTTGCGTGGTTGAAATTACTTTAAAATCGGCCTATCCCTGTCTCTTATACACATCTAGATGTGTATAAGAGACAGAAATTCGACTTATAAAAATTCGAATTAAACAAACAATTTACACAGTAATACATAGGAAAGAATTGGGACTTTTTCAAAAATTCGACTGACGCGAATTTTCGACTTAAACAGAGTCGACTTTGGCGGACTCGACTGTAATAACTTTTCTTTTAAAACAGAACAAGTCTTTATTAAGAAAACATATTTAAACACATTTTTACTCTTTCCTAAGGTTCTCTTTTGGGAGCAATGGCCTCTCACTTCCGTGATGTTGGAATGAATGTGCCGTCACCCAAGCTTTACATGTATTCTGCAGTAGGTTCTCGATGTCATATGCTACCTCATCACAATACCATGTGACAATTAAGTTACTACCAATTGGCCATTATGACTGAGTTTATCATACCTTTTGGGATTATTATTAGTCTAACCCCGGTATTCTTAAAACGAACTTTACTTGTAGTTCGACTAAATGACGCGAACCTCCACTAAAATGACACCTCCGCAGGCCGATTTTTTTAGTCAGCCTAGGGTCAGGCTAAATCGCCGACTTGAAATATTTACCCCACTAAAAACATGTTTTTTGTAACTCACTATAAAGTGAAACGAAGAAAAACGATTGTATACGCAGGTTTGATATATCTTCGGTGTGTTAAACAAAAGAGACATTAAGTTCAGCTTCTAAAAGGAGAAATTAACATGTTTCTTCCAGTCACATGCGATAGTTCCTGATTTGCACGAAATCCCCTCGCGCTGCAGTCACGTAGCTTCGCCATAACAACAACAAAGATGGCGCCGCCCTCGCTCGGGCTCAACTATAACAACTATAACAGTTCTCCATAGAAAGCAAATTTTCAGTGACTGTTCAAATTCGAATTATGAGGAAATACGTTTTTGAACCACAGACGGCAGCTTAATATTCATCCGCATTATCTCTAAAATTTTGTCTGCTATTAAAATTAGCTCTTTTCATTGGTTAGTTTGATAGTTGTTGCTTGCCAGTCGTCTTCAGTTTAACTAAAACTAGGACTTGATTTAGTCGTAGTTAAAACTTCGACTACGTTGTTTGTGAATACAAATTGAGGTTGAAGTTGAAACTAAATGAAGTTCTAGTTCGAAGTTCGACTAAAGTTTGTTTTAAGAATACGGGCGTAAGTCTAATGTTTTTTTAGCTAACCATCTTTTACCACGTTTTTGTCTTAATTCAAACCACTGGCCTAGAATCAGTGGTTAAAATATCGATAACAGCTTTAAAGTGGCCTTTTTTCAAACATCAAGTATTTGGGGTCTTCTTTATCAAAAAGGAAAATCTGAACCTAAACTTTTTTAGGTGGTTAATCTTTGTATTAATATTCAAACTTACTTAACTGTTAATTTTCCAAATAAGTTCATTTAATAATAAAAATAATAAAATCTTTCGTTTCTTCATTATAGATATTTACATTTAATTACAGTACTAACATTTTAATTAATAGTTATTGTATTTTTCCAGCATGATTCAAGTGTAAGCAGTCTGCTAAGCAGTCTGAATTCTTTTAATGATAGACTGCCTCTGCCAGCATCGTGTATTCTTGTTGAACTGTATCATAATGTTGCTGAAAAGTGAGTATTTTTTGTTAAAGTATTTGGTTTATATACAGTAGAACCCCTATAGAGGGTAGGAGAATAACCTATACCGTAACTCACAGCGTCATTTTGCTGAATTGTGGTAAGTAACCCCCTACTCTTCCGAAAGATGTAATGGGTTCTTTTAAAGTCCACACAAGCCAGATGTGTACACAGGACCTCCATTTTAAGTCCTAATCCGAGATGACTAGGTTCTACTAACAGAACCCTGAGCGAGGACCGGCTGTAACCAGCGCTGATGTTAAGGCTGTAGTTAGCAGCGCCCTTGCCTTACCGCTTGGCCACTTGACTCAACACCTGGGATAAAAATGTGGGGGTCCCAAAACTTGGCTTCTATTTATCCAACTTGGACATAGAGACAGCTGTATTATGTGCATTGATATCAATGTAGTGTATGCCAAATTAGTAATTTTAATTGATAAAAGGAGTTGGAACCTGTCATTGATTCTTTGTGTCGTGCAGTGTTATTGATTCATTCTATGTTATTCATAACCAAATATCATTTATTCTTTGTATCTGCATTGCAGTTCTTTCACTGTAGATGTACTATATAGAAATGAAACAAATCGTTTAGTCGAACTTCAGATAGGCCCAAATGGAAACAAATGTGATAAACACTGCCCGCTGGAGGAGTTTTTGAAATACGTTGATTCAGTTACTCCTCATGACTTTGAAAAAGAATGCAAGATGCATATACATCATGCTGAGCCTTTAGAATGGAACACAGGTAGGAATATTGAGGTGCAGTTCATAAAGTACTTACTTTTTACTGCCACTACTCCATAGAGTTATAACAATGAAGTTACTACTCTGTATGAACTAAGCAAACTAGGTGTTTCGTTTAGAGCACTCAAATTATCTGTAATATTGCTCCATAAATGAAATTTGCAGTAGATTCAGTTCAATTCAATATTGCAATTGTTGTAGATTATAACAGGAGTCCCAGTTTGGAAGAAAAGCCTTCCATGAGGTCTTGTTGAGTGAGCTATTATAACATATTTAATTTTGTTTTGCTGTGCATGATCATACCCATCAGCACTGATATTAAAGTAGTAAAAACATGCAAATAATATAAATTTGTGGCCGATGGGTTATTTTCCCCGTGGTGCTTGCTTGTGGGAGTCCATGACTCCGGGAGACTTGGGACCCCTGCTGTAGTTTACCAGATTGAACTTACTTTTTCTAATCTAAACACCTATAACCTATATTATAGGTACATTAATCTTCTTTACACAGCATTATATTAATATCTAATACATAATATATTTTAATTCGTAATTAAATTATATTCGTAATTGAATATATTACGGTTGAACTTGCCTAAGTCAAATTCAAAATGCCATTGAAATATTGTTCGACTTGGATAAAATTTGACTTACAGATAGTTAGTTAATGGAAAACACAACAATTTTGCATGTAAAATAAGTTCGACTTAGAAATTATTCGACTTAGGCAGTCGACTTAGGTAAGTTTAACCGTATTTTTTAAAAATCATTAAGTTTGTAGATATTTAAATATTTGATTAAATGATTTGTCAAGTATATTTTAATATGTATTACATCAAATTTGTTTTTTTAACACTAGGTTGGTTGATCTTTAGTGTGGTTTTTACGATGTTCCTCATCCTAGCAGTTACAATGTGTATATTAACAATAATAACGGCATGCAAAGGTCCAGTTTACAAGCCGCGAAATCGACTTCAACCAATTGACTTTCATTTGCTGGGCAACGGGCTGAGTGAATCAGAAGATGAGGCTGTGTTCGACGCTTAGTATCGTTACATAATTTCCATCTACTGGGGAACGGACTAAGTGAATCAGATGAGATGAGGCTGTGTTCAACGCTTACATTATGTTTAGTGCGCTGCTTATTCTGAAGAGTAGCTAAATGGAACATTTAAAGTATTTATTACATTACAGTATATACCTCCACCACAAGTGTTTTTTGTACCAAATTTTCTGTGGGACAAATCTAGATCTTTCCCTTGTCGGCCAATGTGCCAAAGTATATTATTTCATGAAAAAAGGGTATTTTCTGGTCAAATTAAATTTTGAGATTGAGTAATTAGAGATTTGAACTAAGGAAAATTGACTTCCACAGGGTGCTCAACCAATTGTTCACAAATTCACTACTATTGCTACCATATTTAAATACAATTTTTCAAATGGGTGATAATATGGTAATTATTGGTTGTAATTAACTTATATATATTTTTACTTTACCATGCAAACCTTCAAAGAATAATTAGCATATTGCTGTTTATATTTGTATGTTTGTGAATTTTTCATTACCTGTTTGATGTGATAGTATGTACTTTGTGTAGATAGTATGTAAACAGTTAATTTTAGTATTAATATATTTATAATAGTTTGTCATTCCTATTGTTAGTGTGGTAAAACTGTTTACTACTTAAAGGTGATTTTGAATTATCCAGAGTTGTTGTAATTCATTATCTGAAAAAACAGCATCTGTAAATAATGTCATTAGGGAAAAGTATAAATATATGCTAAAGGCAAGTTGTATTTATGTAAAGTAGGGGTACTCTTAAATAAAGGGCAACAAGGTGGGTAATATAGCATATAATACAATGTCAAGAAAGCATTTGGTTTGGGGGTAAATACTTAATATGTGGCAAAGACAAACCAAACCAGTCACCTGTTTTTGACAAAATTTTGGAAATCTTTTTTATTGTACTAAACTAACCTTTATATATCTATACATAATACTATGCTGTTATTGTCCCCTTCTTCAATGCTAAAACAAAAATTTTAACCATTTGGTGATGGTCTCTGCCTAAGACGTGCCCAAAATGGTAAACTTTGAAGGCTGATTTCTCAATTATTATTTTTGAAACAGCTGTTCGTTTAAACTCTTATAACTTCATAATGAAATGTCGGATTTAAATGATTTCTTTTACCATTTCATCACTCATTTTACTTTTTAAATCTGTATTAATAACTAAAAATCGATTTTAGCGACGAGTGACTAGTTTGGCTTTTCCTTGCCACATATGCTGTTTCAACTTGTAATGATGCAAGTGTCAAATTTTGAAACACTAATAATCAAGGTTTTAAATGTAAACTAAAAAAAATGGATTATTGTGACTTAAGTGCAATATTAAATACAGCTTCCTTAAATAATTTGGACGTTATTATAATAGTACTGTATTTTATTTATGAATTTATTGTAATTTAGACGAGACTTTTTTTATGCCAAAACCCACCGCCCGCCAATAATGTTGTTTGGGCAATTAGCGCATCCGCCGCCATGAAAAAATTTGAACTTCAGAAAAATATAAAAGGTTTTTTTTTTATTACGCCCACCGCTGCCTTGAATTGCCCAAAAATAAGATGTCTTGCCTAAATTTATTCAGATATGTAGTTGTATAAATTCTGTTTACATTCAACAAAAAAAATTAATTTTATATTATCACCAATAAAAATTAATTTTATATTATCCTCCATATGGATGTTTTTGGCAAAACGATTTGCTGAATAACAAAACAACACTTTATTTTTTATTTGCTCTTCTCTAAAAGTATGTTCACGAAAAAAGGTATAGAAAAAGTCTCGCAATATAGGTTTATGTCTTTAATTTGGACGCAATTCTGTTAATTTGGCTGACACAAGATCCAGTAAAGCTTTATTTTAGCATTCTCATTAAAAAATAAGTACAGAACTAAGAACTGTTCATGATCTCTCTTTATTGCTTTAGTTAAATTTCATAATATATCTGCAATATTTTATTATTTTATAATTTATTTTGTAGACATTGTCTTATCCAACATTTGAGTCAACAATTGCAAACAATTTATGTGTTGGGATATTGTGGTCTGTCTTGGTGTACATCCTTACTGTCTCATTAATCTGTTCAAATCGGAGATCATTAGTAAGTAGTCTGATAAATGAAGGATTGTCCAGAGGTGCCGTGATATATAGGGTCTCATCCGGAACAGCTGATATCAAAGCTAAAGTTAACACTTGGGCTACAGCGGTATTGAGAGCATAAAGCGGGCCAATGCGATGACATTTTGCTTCCTGTAGCGGTCGTAGTACACCATATCCCATATTATTTCCATCTGGAAAAAAAATAAAAGTGATGAGTTACTATGATGAAATTCATACTGTCTGCAAGTTGTTAAATAAATATTACATTAGTTGGGTGTTCTTGGTGTTATCCTGATGCGTAAAATGAGATTTGCAAACCTGGAATGAAATCATTTTTCTCCTCTGATTTTCATTTGAAAGAAGTGCATTATTATGTTACTGATCAGAGCTAACAGTTTACAACATAATAAATATATATAGCATAATACTGCATGTCAAGTTGAGGGGCTTTGATAAATTATTCCTTCCCTCACTTTTCTTTCCACTTGCCAATAATGTTCATGTTTTTATCCATCAGGAATTACAACATATTTGGATTTTGGTTGTGTACCATACACATTATAACATTCCCTTACTTTCTGTAACCAGTAAACTTGTTCCCTGTCTATCAGTTTTAGTCCAATTCATAACAAATCGTCGTCTTTCAACACCAAACACTTCCGTATCATATTCCACAACTCTTCCCATAGGTCCGTCTGGAATTGACTGTATGGATGGGTTATGACCCAATTCAGGAAAAAAGGGGGTTTTGTCTGCTTTGAAGCATCCATTGTGCCATGCTGTGATAAATCCTAACTTTTGAAATTGCTCCACTTCCTCCGGTTGAAGTTCAATGCCAAGCCATCGCTCTTTCAGATGCTCTAACGCAACATCCAGTAGTTCCTTATCGAAACCCTGCCCTTGCTTCTCCTCCGCAACATGACGGAATCCTATATAACCAAACGAATCATTGTACCGTATCCCTCCTATTGTAGCAATGACCTCCCCAGAGTCTGTCAGTGACATGTAGTACCCTGATGGATCCAATCTATGAAACATTTTTAAATCTGAAGTCTTAACTCTACTGCCCTCTAGTGCTAAACTGTTGGCTAGAATGCCTGCTTCTCCTTCATGGATTTTCCTTGTTTTCACTGTTCCAACCTCTGAGCAAAGTTTCCTTTGGAATTGGCGACAGCTTCCTCGAATGGTAGTCAGAAATTTCATTGACAAACGGCCACTCGACATTTTTCTCTGGGAAAAAAATAATGAAATACTATGTCAACTTTGGCTTTTATGCTAATGGCAGCATATTATCACAGTATGACTAAAGAGGCACCAGAATATAAAAGCTTTTCATATCCATTTATTAGGTCATAAAATGAACAATCAGTATCCAGTAGTGATGTTGTTAGTCTGTGAGTGAGATACCTGGATAAACTGAAGTAAACAAGGATATTGTTCATTCACACAGGGCGTACAGGTGAACTACTGTAAGGCGATTCCATTATTATCCTTTTATCGAGGCAATTTTCAAAGGGAACATTGGCATTTATCAGATTATCCAGGTAAGTATTTACGAAAGACTGCCTGACACTTATTTCCATTTCATTTTCTTATATTATATTGTTATTGCAAAGCCAGTAGGAAAGTTCCAAAGACATGATGTGACATGCACCTCGTTTTCCATGTTATGTGCAGTTTGTTGCAAATTACATTGTGCAGTTTTGAAACTAAGAGGGTGGCACTATCAAGGCTGGCAGTGCCTGGAGACCTTAGAGGAACCTAGTACTACTGTATTTTCTAGGCTAGGCCTAGTGCCTTGCTAGCCGTGGCGCAGGATAAGGAGCATAGCATAGGGTTAGGGGCCTACTAGCTAGGCCAACACCGGCCCAGCCACTCAACCAGAAGCATAATATGATGAATATAAATATTGTTTTGATAAAAATGTCAAATTATGATGTTAATTATTTCGTCTGCTTCCATACAAGGCTTATTCCTACACTAACTTACGATATTGAAAAGAAAATATTATGCAAAACCACCACGTTTCGTACACCGCGCAACATGTAAACCATACAGCTCCAATATAAAAATGTATGAAGTAAATTATATTCTAATCGTTCCAGACCGCATTGATTTCGATTTTACTCATAGTCAATAACTGGTAAACAGGAAGTTAGAGAAACTGGAAAGTAAACATTAACGTTTCAGTTGTCCTTCTTTATCTTTAATAATATGATACGTTTATATTGAAAATGACTAATGTATGAGCAATACCTTTACAAATAATTTGTCTATATTAATTTAAAGGTGTTTGGTAAGTATGTCAATATCGCAATATATCATTTAAATCGCTGTCGTAAGAACCAAATGCTGAATAATACAGCTAGGCCTACAGCTAGCTACATCAGTAGCAGTACTAGTAGTAGTACAAGTAGTCGAAAGCCTCATTTGTGAGACAATATCGACGCCAGCCAACTGGCATATTACTTAGATTGGTAATGGTAACCCTACGCTAATCCTACCTTCCATCCTTGTAATTTTATGAGGATTTTTAATGTGGGTGCTGGGGTATTTTTTGTGCGTGGCTCAATTCCCCGGCCACTTGAAAATCAAAATTTGCATCGTACTAAAGGAACTGAAAACAATAATTTTTATTTTGCAGTGATTCATTATTATTGGCTGCAGTTGTAGTGGGTAGTATGTGTGTTGTTTGAAAGTTAGGACATGGGGAAGACATGCAAGATTGTAGTGTGTGGAGGTGCATCTGTTGGCAAGACCTCCCTACTTCAGCAAGCTCTGTATGGCAAAGTAGAGGTTTGTAAAAACTAGTGACAATTTTATTCTGTTCTTGATTTTTTAAATTCAAACATTGATCAAGGGAAAATATATTAAGATTTTAAAAATGTGATTTTAAACATGAAAATGCAATATAAAAAGTTTGCAAGTACCATTCATAATTATCAATGTTGTTTATTTCATCATCATCCTCCTAAGTCATCAATTTATCAAGTACTGTATAATAAGATACAATAAGTCATTTTTGCAATTGTAAAGGTGTAACAAATTGTCCCTCTACATGATGACCATGTTTACATATAAAAGAAATTTGTAACTTAATTATTTGATATCAAATTCAGTAATATTGTGGAGCTAAAATAATAATAGTTATATAATAATATAATTATGTAATTTATTATGATGTGGAATGACAGAAGGTGATAATAAATTTTAAAACAGTTAAAGATATCTGCAAAATAATTATCTATTCTTCTTCTTTAAAATGCTCTGTGTTAACTAGTGAATTATTGTGGGATTTAATTTGTAATCAATTTTTGTAATATATTAGATTCTATGCCAAATTTTGCTATTGTTTGATTGATTTTTTTTGTGTGTTAATGTAAGACTTTTTATACCTTGTTTGGTGAACCTACCTACTACACTGTACATTCACCAATAAAAGTGCATTTTTTATTTTTTCCTCCATCTGGATGTTTTTGGCAAAACTATTATTTATTATATAAATCTCACATGACCAAAGGATTGAACAAAATGTAATACTGCCCTCTATGTTTGATTAAAATTTTTTTCTTCAAGTATTTGAACAAGGACTTTTTAGCTTGGTACTGGTAATTGTAGTGCTCTACTTGTAGATATTTTGACATCTATGAACATTTAAGTTGGCATTTTGAGACTGCATATTGTAAAAAGAGTAAAAAAAAAAAGAATAAAAAAAAGTAAAAGAGTACAATGACAAAACCTGGACTATGAAAAACTTAGTGTTATTTTGCACATTTTATAGATAATTAACATAGATCGAATACTTTGTTTTTATTTCATAATTTTTAAAACAGTATATCATTTTCACAACTCTGTATTTATATATTTATTTTATTTGCATTTACCATTTTTATAATTTTAGGTGCTATGCAATTTCAATACTTTGTCTTTTGAAACTTTATTTATTTTTAATATTTAATATGATAATATGAAAAATATTAAGACACTGCTATTTATGAATATTCTATCAATTATTAGATGTGACCTTATTTTTCAGACTCCACCATTTCAGACAATTGAAGATATTCATGTTGCAGTCATTGACACGGACAGAGGTGTAAAAGAGAAAGTTCGTTTTTACGACACTAAAGGTTTGGTGAGTTAATGATACAAAATACAGTAATGTGCTAATTTTATAGAAACTTAGATAAATGTAAAATGCAACTTTATATTTATCATATGCGGTATGTATCATATCATTTATGTCACCAAATATAAAAACAGTTTTTCACTCACATAAGGGAGGCTGAATTATTAGCTGCTAGCCATATGGCTATGTGGCTATGAACAATATACAACAATACATTGATTTGAGTATTTTGTTGTACCAGCAACTCATCAGAAACTGTGAGAAAGTTTGATTGGTTCAAGTGATTGTTGTGTGACAGTGTAGTAGAAGTACTGTACAGGTGGAGGTAAGATAGAGGGCGCAATTGAGAGATGTGCTAAATAGAAATTGCATTGTTAAGTAAATGCTTTTGTGGTGTTAAAAGTTTCTGTAAATCTTTTAATAAACTTGGAACTTGATACACGATTACTGTAGTTTGATAAAAAATTAACTTATTTATTTGCTTGTTTTTCAGAATCCCTCAACAAATCAAGAATTACCAAAGCACTATATATCAATGGCAGATGTAAGCCAAATTTTACACCAATATCATCAATCAAACATTAACTTAAAAAAAATGAAATGAGAATTATTTTGTTTTGAGGTCATTTGCAACAGTTTGACTGAATTTTTTATTATCATAATTGATGTTAAGAATGATGTTTGTCCTACCTGACGTGTTATCGTTTCCCAAATACGGAAGTGAAGTGATTCAGGTTTGAATCGAACCCACAGCCTCCAAATAACGAGCCTAGTGTCTTAACCACTTGACTACCGAGCTTGTGCTTAGTGGCTAGTGTTGTATCCAATTCCCAAGTAGCAGCAGTTCTGCTTACTGTACAACTTTTCCATAAATAAATTGATATTTTATTGCTAACAATTTATATAAATGTTATTTTATTGTTCAATGTTTGGCTTTTTTGTTCTTGTAGGGGTTTATTTTGGTATTTAGTCTTGGCAACCTTGATTCATTCCATCAGATTGAGCAGCTGAGGAAGAGTATCAGTAAAACTCGAGATTTTAAAGATAAGGTTGGTTAACAAAAACAAACTACTTAATTTATTAATTCTTTGTGAATGCCATTTTTTAAAAAGATTTTAACGTCACCTATCTTAAAGCACTGTAAATAATATATTATTTTAATCATTATTATTATTATTAATATTGGATGATAAAAGCATGATGGGTAAAAAGAATCATGTAAGATTCTGATGGTATACGACAGGGAAATAATTATAAGCCTAATAGAAGATTTATTCATAAAACTTGTTATTTTTATTACTATTACTTTTTACTCTAATTCTTAGGTGTGCATGGTAGCGCTTGGCAATAAGTCGGACTTGGTTGAAGAAAGACAAGTTAGTGCTGAATCTGTAAAAGCATGGGAAAAGAAACAAAAAAATGGTAAAAGAAATATATATGTATGATTGTTTACTTTTTTATGGTTCATCGATCACCATTACGACTGAAAGATACTGCTTAATGGTCAGCTTTCTTTTGCAAGTCACTGTTTAGTTTGGGGAAAAAATGGTTGCTACTATGATTGACATCTAGTTTACATGCCCACCAGTTACTGACCTGCCAATCAGAATGGTGACTAGATTTGCATATTTGAACTTGCCTCCTTAAAGTAATTTTGCACACTGAACGTTCAGCATACTAAAAGAAAAATAACAACTACTTTACAAAAAAATAATTATTTAAATTTTTATGCAACAATATGATATGATGAGGATGACCATGATGATGATGAAAGGATGAAGAGGATGATGATGATTAAGATGATGATGATGAAGATGGTAATGATGATGAAATAATGAATAGGATAATGATGATGATGATGATGATGCTAATGAAAGGATGAAGGTGATAATGATGATGAAATAATGAAGAGGATGATGATGAAGGGATGAAGTGGATGATGATGATGATGAAAGGATGATGAAAGAAAGAAAAAGATGACGATGATGAAAGGATGAAGAGGAGGATAAGGCGGAGGAAGAGGAAGAGAATGATGATGAGAGTGATTGTGATTGTGGTTGTGGTAATGATAATGATGTTGGATATAAGATCATGAAGATAATGATGATGAAAGTAAAGATCATGAAGATAAAACTAATAGAGTTAGAGATAAAATGGGCAATTTTAAGTTTTTCTGACATGAGAACATATTATGTCCAAAAAATTACCCTGGATAATGTGAGTTATGGCCTACAGAGGGTGCTTGGCTAGAGAACCCACCCTTCCCCACTGACATTCCCACTGCTCTGGTCGTTGGATCTATATTTAAGTTGAAGTTTCTCTTTATTGTCACAAAAGGTTTATGGTATATGAAATTCTTTTTCCACACAAAAAAATAACAGTTACTTATTAATATTTTATTTAATAATAATAATTAGTACTCTCAGCATATATCTGATAGGTTTGTTTCAAAATTTTCTTATATAATTGTTGTTTGTATTTCAAGATGATTTGATTTTCAGCACTAAGAAAAAATGCATAGAAGGAAAAAAATATATGTGTCCATGCTCCACCCCCCTTCAAAGAGATTTTAAAAGTGTGCTTATCGCAAAAAAAAAATCTAATCTTAGAAGCTATACTATCCGATAATCCTTTAGTTTGTTAAACAGTCAAAGTTTATTTTGCAAATCCTCTCTCGAGGTTCATAAACTTGACCAAGGAATTCCCAGGCTACAAAGTTTTAAAACCGCAGCCAACATATCCCCCAACTATGGAGGTTCAAAACCGGGCCAGGAGAATCCCCAGCTGTGTATAATGCAAGCTAATTAGGAGTTAAATCAGTGGATGTTTAGGGTCTTAACAAGCATATATTGACCTTCTACTTACATGACAAAGTTAAGCTGCCTTCTTCAAAATTACCTCTGTCAGAACATATCAGCATATCACGGTCTGATTGGATATTGAAGCTGTCGTCTAATTGTCAATCATATGGAATGCTGGTGACAGATAATCTAACGTTTGGGTAAGCTCATGCGGAACTCTCCTAGTTAACAAATACTGGCTCCCAATGTGTAGCCGTCAGTCCATGTTTTTTCATCGCTAATCCGCAATTCAAGTTTTGTCACCAGTCATGACATGCTTTGAAATATCTTTCTGCCAAGCAAAAAATCCAATTTGTTCGGAGATCTTGAAAAATTTCCTGCTTTGTAGGGAAACAGACGAAGGTGCTCTTAAGGTTTGTCTGCTATTTTGAACAAAAATAGATTGAAATTGGTGAAACATTTAAAATGTGCTGCATCATCTGTCTGATAATTGATACAGTAAATTGATGAAAACTTTTTTTTCATGGCTTTTAAAGATATGTCACAGTCTGTTTTAAAATCTTAAAATATATGAAATAAAAACATTGAATTGCTTAAAAGGATCTTATAAGTTATCAGCTTGAAATGTAAAACAAAGTGAAACAATTAGTTTTTTTGCTGATTTGCATAATTTTGTAGAGATCAGTACCTCCACTCCCACTAGATCTTATCAGATAATAATATGATATAAAATTTTATACCATGCATTTTGCCCAAGTATACAAGCCCTGCTTACTTGTCTGCCCTCCACCTTTCACTAAATGAAATTTGCTGAGCAAATAAATTACCTCATATTACCTTATTTTCCCAGTCAGCTCCCCTTCAGTTAATTCTCCAGGCCCCCATACTCCCCATTAGCCACATGACACATACTTTACATACTGTAGTGGCAGCGTCAGAGAAGGTGAATTTCCCCCATCGGACAGGCCCAGACCAAGAGATTCCAAGTTAGACAAATTTCTGCAGATTCCCCCCCCCACCATATGACAACACAACAAGGTCGTTGGACCAAAAGTAATTATTTGCCTATCCAGATAATGTTATTTGGGCCTAAACCATATGAAGATTTTTATTTCTGGACCGTGAACGAAGCTGTAGGTGGCCACTTGTTTCAGACCTCTTTGTCGGACATCCCATAATTGACAAATTTTTTGAGCCACTTTAAATCTATGTATTTTACATGTACACATAAAATAATTTTCAGTTTACCATCCACTAAATGTGTCACATAATGAAAATTACTGAGCTGGTAATTCATTGAGATTTGAACCAAAATGGGCACTGTGGTAGTAGATTTGTTGTAGCATCTGGTCATTCTTCTCTCATGTAGCACATCATGATGCGTCACCTCAACATTATGTCAAATCATTGTCCTGTGTTGCCTTTATCATCGCATTCTACCTTTTGGTCTTGTTGATAATCTTGCACATTATGGTTTTATTATCTCCACATTCTTATCCTACTCCCTGAGGTAAATTCCCAGTCTGCAACACCCATTTACACCCTAGAAATGTTAAGACATGTCAGGCTGGGTTGATTCAGTACTTGCCATGTATGCCTAGAATTGTTGGAACATAATTTGACAAGTCCCAGGGAAATTAAGATGGCACAGGTTTCAGTGAAATGTTCAACAATTGAAATGATGAGTTTATATCCTATTGTAAATATTTTATATTCGAATGGTTGGTTTGTCTTTGAATGTAAGTTAAGCCACAGCCCAAATATTTCACCCACAATTTGGCCAAGCAATCATACATGGGGGTTGTAAACACCTTTTGTTTCATAACATTTAATGCCAGGCTCTGGTGGAACTTTATTTGCTATGTTATACAACTGATTTTAGACACAGAAGTATAGCTGGCGGGAAATGGGTGGTTACGCCTTGTTTTTCAGCACCCAGGTATTGGTATTGCGCCCCTTCCCTCCACTGGTGCCACCACTATGCTAGAACCAAATTTTCTCAGATCAGGAAATTTGGTCTTAAAACTGGAGGTCCAGTGTACACATATGACTTGTATGTATTTTAAAGAACCCATTGCATCTTTCATAAGAGTAGGGTGTTACCCCAATGCCCTGTTTCAGCCTGTGACGTTGTGGAATGATGTGAATATGAACAAACTAAGCAGTCTACAGCTGCTACAAGAGTCATGAACCACACCCATAAGCAATTTAGCTTAAAACTTTTCTCCCAAAGCCAGATTTACCAGCATTATTTGTTAGAATACCAACAGACCACGAGTAGAAATAACAAATAGGGCCTATTTGATATGAAAACCGTTCAGTTTCAAAGCAGAAGAAACTGTGATTCAGTCTTTATGTCACTTTGACTTGTTGTTTGTGTACTTAGGCAAGGCACTGTATTCCAAACATTTACCAAAACACCCATGAAACATTTTCTAGAATCAGTTAAAAGCTCAACTTTTCCAAGAGCAATATTGAACAACCACCTTAGAATAATATTTGAATTTGGTGATAAATACATGTTACTGATTGTTACTAATTTGACATTCACCACAAGACGTTAGTTAGTACTTGGAGGTTCAAATACCAGTGCCATACCATTATGCAATACTTCCTCAAGAAGTTGAGTGTGTATTTCATAGGCATTTGTTCTAATAGTGTGAAGTAAATAGAGGCCTTAATTTGATGTATTATATAAAGCAGTCAAAAATTTATTTTACTGATTAAAGAAATATTGTTAAAATTATCAGAACATGTGTTAAGATTAACCCACCATTTTTAGCTCATTATTAGTAACCAAATTTGATTTCAATTTAAATGTCATTTTTTGTGTCATTTTTGCATTGTCATTTGCCTTGTTTCTTTTTACACACTGTCAAATTTCTCCTGAATATAATTATGTTAAATGCCAACTCATGTGAGTGCTCAACACATGCAAATAAATGATGCGTTCAAACAGATACAGGCGATCTATCTCAACAATCATTTTATGTTTGTAAAGCCTTTATCATGTTTAATATCTTTTCTAGGATCTCACTGTTTTTAATTATATGGATTATTGAACTCATATGTTTGTCTCTCCATGGCAGTATCTCTATAATACCTTCTTATATTTTATATAAACTATTAACTACCAGTAATTGCTACTCTGTTTTTTTAGTTTTATATATTTTCATACATTTTATGTTCCATTACCATAGTATTATGTAAAATTATGATATTTAGTTATGTCTTTGATAAAATTCCAGAAAACCTCTTTCTAAATCCTTGTTTTTAGTTTGATAGTTTTTCAGATTGTTTGTTGTTTAATTCGCATAGACGTATGCAGGATGGTAATGTGCAGTAGTAAAACAGAAACATATTGAACTAATTAAACAAGTTTTTTTTTTACATTTACCTTTAAGTGCGGACCTACGAAGTTTCATCGACTGACCGGAATAGTTTAGCCGAACCACTCATCTACCTGACATCTAGGTTAACGCAACCTCCAGGTAAGAATTTATCCAAGTAATGCCACCGCTATCATCCTAATCTCATGACTCAACACTACTTCCTGTCTGCCATATATTTTTCATGCCTATTTTTGTACTTTTATACTGATTATAACTGCAGATTTTATCTAAAATATTTATTTATATTGCTAGTGGCAAGCAGGTTTAAATTATATATTTTTTTAATTATTTAGGTTAGTATTATAGTACAGTATACATTTATGTATTTACTAGACTCATCTTTTTTAAGTAAACAACAGCACTATTCTATTTTTAAAATTCAACTAAATGAAAATAATTTTTCATGATTTTTAAATTAGTATTAAGACATTAAAAAAATCAAATAATAAAAATTACAGATGTTATGTAAACATTATTATATTATAATATAGGATATAAAAATTATATAATGTATAACAACACTATATAATATAATAATAATTATATAATATAATGTTATAAAAAATCTATGTAAAGTAGTTGTTGATAGAAACATGTCAATTTACATTCGAAAGATAAACAGGATGAGTAAAGCTAGTTTCTATTTGCTGTTCACGTCACATGTCAAATTTGACAGTCAGAAAACGACCAGGAAACAAATCTCAAATCTACATAATCTTCTTTGAAATCTGCCGTTACGAACCCAAAAAAGTCTCGTCGCGGATCAAAATGTTAAATTGACCTATATTCCATGATTAGCAATCACCCAATGCCTTTTAAGTAGCGGATATGATTCGGCGTGTCGGGACCTACGAACTTGTCAATCGTGTTCCCAGAATGCTTTACAAAGTAAACATTACTTAATCGCGGTAAAGCCATGCTGAGAATTGTCGTCCGCTGCAGCATTTTAGATAGTGTACATATTTTCCCCTGGAGGTATGAATTGCTCAAATCAGCGGGTATTGCAAAGCAATAGTGTTAATGCCTATGTTTTCCGTATTGATGTAATTTGTATGATTTTAAATTCTATTTCAAATTTGTTCTAATCCTGCTGGGCCAAACAGATTTGGTAATTATCGTATTGTTTCTGTTTTAGACTTTCTTTAAAAAAAATTTACATTACAAGATAAATATTCTGACCCATTTTCTCTATAATATCCCTAATTATTCTTATTTGAAATCAACTTTAAAGGATTGTCGTGTAGTTAGTTTTTTTTTCATTAAAAAGGCACGAAAATAAGAAACAGATTATGTGAATACAATTGTTATTAATTATTGTATATTACCTTTATATTTTTAGAAGATTTTAGTGATATAAATAATATTTTAGTCATCTTTTTTCGTGTAAATATCTGTTGAAAATAATTATGGTTTTGAAATATCATAAAATATTGTTATTTTTTGGAGATAATAGAGAAAATATAATTTGTCTGTTTGCAGTCATCAACAAGGTTTTAACTAAGTTTCCTTGTGTTTGTAAAGATTACCAAATGCTACTTTATTTTTTTTTTTAAATTATACCTAAAACTGTCAAGTAAAGTAGAAAGTGCCAAGATAAGAATTTCACAAATAAAAGTTGTGTTCACAAAATCAAAGGATTGGATTTCTAATTCCAAAAAAGATTGTTCAATAAGGCCCTCTGGGGGACCCCTGGGGTGCCCCCTGGTTATTAGGCGACAAGAAAATATCATGAATACGTAGATAAGCCTGATTTGAGTGTGTTTACCTCTGGCTTAGAATGTAGGACGTTAAATCTTAAGCAAGTACATGTCTACAGGAACGGCACAAGTGTCTAACACCCGCAGATAAAAAAAATGATTGACTTTGGATGGTGTGTAATGTACTCCACCCATATTTCAACACACCAACACCAACAAACTACTTGAGGAACTGTTTTAATACATTTGTCAACACAAAATGTTTGAGTAACGCATACTTAAATGTTTCAAGATCCAAATGCACAAAACTCAACAAAAGATTACAGTATTTATATATACCATTATTGGAATAGCTGCTTTATGATAGCCTATAGTTTCCTGTTTGCTGAAGACAACCAATCTCGGCTACACCATAGACGGTTGCTGTTTATTTTGTTGTCATCGTTGATGTTTTTGTTATTATTAATAGTTATGTTATTATTATTATTGTTACACAATAACTATTATTATTATTGAAGAACTTTTTATTATTATTTATTATTATTATTGTTATTATTATTAAATATTATTGTTATTGTTATATATTGAAGATTATTATTATCTGGGAAAAAATAAGCATAAACATTTTACACTGTAATTGGACATGGAGAAAAGATTCAAACTTTGTTTTACTATTACGAGTTGAATGGCTGCTTGATTCTCAATAATTTGATTAAAGTTGATAAGTCTATTTCTTCAGGGAAAAGCATGAAATAATTAGGCATATTGAAGTTGAATTTGTAGCAATAATCAAATTTGAAATTAATATCAATACTTCTATCCTAAAGGAAAGTGGTAAATCAAAAATGTAGGTCTATATACACTTAATAATTGGAGTTCAACGTGAAGTACAGAAAAAAAAGTCCCCATTTCCACATTCCTTTTTTTTCAGTTTTGTGTCTCTTTCAAACAAGTATTCTTAAACATGGATAAAATTAATAAAAAATGTAAATAGCAGGTGGAAATATTTAATTGTCATAACAGGGTGGAAATACTCCATCCCCACCCTGTGGGTGTACCAATTGATAAACTTCCATTAGTATAGTCACGATCATTGTTATAAGTTGAAAAAAATATTCTATTTATAATAATGTTTTTTTAATTCAACATTTTTAATGAGTTTTCCAGATTGTGTTTTTAGAAGAAAAAACAATTCTAAGTGATTTCTAAGATCAAAGTGTCACTGTACTATGAATTTTGTTCGCTTTAAGATGTCTGAGTTTGATTGACAGCTGTCTTAGAAATCATTGGCTCCTCCCACTTACCATCAAGGAGTTGCCCTTGAAAAGTTTTCAAAAAGTTTACTTATAGATAAAAAGCAGACATTTTGATTCCATTTTCCTACAAAAGGCTTCCAGATAATTTTAGTAGAGTTTACAATAACAAAGCTCTGTCTACTCTATGAAGTTTTATGTCACAAATACTTGTGATTTGCCCATGAGTGTGATACGACATAATCATGCCCATATACTGTATGGGAAAATCACACAAATTTGTCGCATAAAATTTTATACTGTCAACCGATCTTACCCTTCATTTTTTAAGTTCCCACAATCGTTCTACTGATTATCTTTAGATAAAGTACTAATGTAGGATATTCAAATATGAAGAACACTCAACTCATAGCATTTTATGCATTTGGTGAATTAGGTGTTTTTTTCAGTTGATTTAAAAAAAAAAAGTGGATAAAAATGAAATATAATTTAGGAATATTTTATTTTCGAATGGCGCCATATATGTTAAACGATTGATTGATTGATTGATTGGTTGAGTTTATTTTGCTTAAAGGTCTTAGAGGTTGTATATGTCTAGATTTTTATTTCAAGTACTGCCTGTGCTTTATGTACCATCACAAAGTTGCACTCTGGCCAGAAACATTAACAAAGTAATTTGCAGCTCCTTGACTTTAGAATAATTTTCAATAAATTTTCACTCTAATGCAGTGCCCTCAAGTTGTGTCTGCTGTGATTTGCTATAGTGGATGTAAACATGAAGTTTTTGTGTTTGAGAACATAGACTGGGTAGCTTTTACACCTTAAATTATTAATGAGCAGCTCAGTGATATTATATTTCATATAATTATTTGAGTTAGCAATTACATACAATATGTCTCTTTGTTATACTGCATCATGTGTAGCATATTCTCCCCAGGTTACATAAATAGGCTAATTGGTTGTTTATTCAGTTGGTTTTTTTTTATGTGTGATTATTATGTGATTGCATTTTCATACCTAGACTCAATGTGAACTACTTTTCGGCATGTCCATGTGTGTTCATTCAATGTGTAAAGCATATTAAATCATGTCATACAAGTAATAATTGATTATCATAGTAGGTGGTATGTCTGACTAAATTTTTATAATTTAAAAATTTAAAAATTGAATTAGACATCCGTGTGATCGTTGCACTTGTGTGGCATAGCCGCGTGATTGTAGCACTCATGGGAACTATTGTGGGTATTGGCTGATATGTATTGTAATTGAATACTAATGATATAGGATGTAATAATTGTAACACTTAAATTAGATTAAAGTACTTGTTTCTCTGATAAAATCCCAGTGTTCGCTAAAGATATGCTTTTTTTTCGTAGTCTCAATATTCGGAATTTATAAATTAATAATATAGACAGTTAAATGAAGGATATATTTCGCTAGGGATACTATGCCTCATTATTAAGTTATAATATATTAATATGTACACTTGCCAAAATTATTTTCTGCTGGGAAAACACCAGCACTAGCATGTGTATTGCATTCTGTACAGTATTTGTATTTGTATTGCTTTACTTTTCCTTAAAGATTTGGTCACGAATATGCTACAAGATTCTGTCTGTCAGATTAACAGATAGTGTGTGGTCAGAGAATGCTTTTCCAGATATTTGATCAAACAAATCCTTGCTGTGCCTTTATTATATTCTGTTGAAATTAAGGCAGAGTTTGGTCAATCACATGTTTGTTTAGTTTTACCAATAACAAAATCTAATATTGCTTTATATAATACACCACCTATTGTTTTTGATCCAAATTTCATCTTTTTACAAAAACAGACAAACAAGAAAACAAGTCACAAATGACCTAACAAAGTCATCTAGTCACCGATCATTTTTGATGTATGTTTTGTTTTATATTATGATTGTTGGTATTATTAACATTTTTCTCTCTCTGTCTCTCCAGCAAAGTCATCATTTCTCAGTGGTGGGAAAAAAAGCAAATCTGTGGAGCCATAGTAAGACATTTGGGGTGAAATTCTGTTGAAATATTCATGCAAGGTCCTACCAATAAAGAAAGAAAGATACTCTTTATTTTATATAGCTACTGGACGAATAAGTTTACCAATCAACTTCGGCTAAAACGTTATCATGGAAAAGCAAATAAAGAATATACATGTCTACATCAACCAATTGAAAGAAGACAAATTATTGGAGAGTTAAAGAAATAAGGAATCTAGGTTCAATAAGCGTATGTTAGACACCATGACAGGCAATCCATGTGTCTGAGGTAACACGTCACAATTTGGAATTATAGAATTTCCTTCAACAATGGCTGTACACTCTTTACTCTGAGATTCGTTTGTAAAAATCTAATTAGTGGGTAAGAGTTTGTTGACCTATGTTATTATATTAATTTCATCATCTTGTGATTCGCACTAAGACCTATCAATCAATCAGTCATATTTCTGATTGACAGTAACGCAAAGAGAAAGTACCGTTATAGCTTACCAAATCACGCAACAGGGAAAAGCATTCTAAACACATACCCTTACATGGCCTCTATCAACATATGGGGAAAAAATCGGGGGAAAGGAAGGCGAAGAAATGTTTAGAGGAGTGTAGAGAGTGACAGAGTTGAGAGAGCAGCCGGAAAGAGAGAAGGATAGAGTGGTAAGAGCAGCCGAGAAAATAGAGAGGGGACGAGAAGCCAACAAGAGAGTGTTTGCAAGGCTTGTGTATGCACACAATGTTATCTATGTTTTCACAATTTTATCTATGTTTTAACTCCTTTGACATAGTTTCACTCATGTATTGATTTTGATACTTAGAAGCATTTGGTTATCAAATGTCTACTGGTACAGAAGATGGTTCTGATAGGGAACGTATCATTACTGTAAGGTCTGTAGATGGTCTAGTTTAACCATAGAGATATTATTTCTAATAATAGGTCTGTAATTCAACATTTCAGCCCCTTGAAACAGGTAGAAGATGTAGTGGAAAAGATAAAGTTCGTCGGCAAAGCTGTTTTTTCTTAAAAAGTATACTGGTTTAGAGTTTAGAGGAACAAACAGGGAAATTAGAGGAACAAACATGGAAGGATGTGACATACAATTTTGAAATTTAATGAACTTTGAACCTTGTATGTGTTGCCCCTGTCCCCTTTCAGTCAGGATAGTGGAAATATTGGAGTATAATATTAAGTTTATCCATAAATATATTTTAATATGCTAGGCATTTAAGTTGCTGAAAATTATATCATAGGTTTAATATTGCTGTTCAGAAATTTAATAAGGTAGGGAAAGGAAAGTGATTATAATATATATATTTATAGCACAGATGCACCTCATGCTTTACCAAAGAACTTAAAAACAACAACAAAAAATTAATGCTTAGGTACAACTACATTCCAGAGTATTTCCGAACTTTTGTATCTAATACATCAGCAATTTATTTATATGACCAGAGAAATTACAGTATGTACCTTAACGGTCTTGCCCAGATATTTAGAAAAGATGTAGCAAATCTCATTTAAGACTTTTTGTTATCTTGTGAATCTCATTTAAGACCTAAGGATTTGAGTTTAGAGTATACAAACAGACACTAATGAAAAATTAGTGCACTTTGGGGATAGGAAAATAACATTGGGAGTTACAGTTATGACATCCCGATTGAGTCATAAAAATAATTATCAGGTCGTGATTTGGTGGTGATGATGGCGTAATTTGGTTCTTGGTTTTGGTATGGCCATGGAGGAAATATATTAAGACTATGATGCCTTTTTCCACTACTATTTTCACTTGACTCTCATTAATAACATTATAAGCAATACAATAAAAATATGACAGCTTGATGTTATAATACATTTGTTATTTTACTTGTTTCATGATGTAATGCATTATTTAGTACCAGTGGCATAACAAAGAGGGCTGTAGCCCCTGGCTAAGGCTTCTGTGGGCTGGGGTTGGGTAGGGAGTGTGTTATTGGGCCAAGTCTCCACGTGCTTATGAAGTTTTAATGGTGTATTTTGATTTTGTATGCGGTATGCTCTTGAGGGGCCATGCTTGGACGATTTGAGGCACATGTACTTAGTCCACAAATATTCCAGGGCCCTTATGGTTTGGATTCCCTAGCTTTTGCCAGTGACAATTCATTGGTGTTACGCTACTGATTAGTAATTTGAAGATAAATTAATTTGAAAGAGTATAACTTAAATAGTAACAATTTATGATATAAGTTAAGCAATTGTTAAGATATTGTAATATTTAAAAGTACCTCGTAGTAAACAATTGAAAATATAATCTTTGCATCTTAGATTTTTTTTTTAATTGAGTTTAATGAAATTATTTATCTATTATCTTACTGTATTGTTTATGATATACAATCTATATTATCTTCAGTCAGCTGGAATCTGACTTTTTAGTGTATAAATTGAAGAGGTCCTTATTAATCGAGGATGCTCTTATATAGAGCAGGTTTGTGGCGTAAACGTGCCTGAATTTTAATAATGAGATAATGATAATTGAGAATGCTTTAAGCATCTTTGTTTTGATATATGATTATGTTGTATTTAGGAAAAGTTAATAACAACACAAGTTTATAGTTTGTAGTTTTATCAGTAATATTATAATATGAAATTTAAAATATGAGAATTGGTTTAGCAAGAGTATCAGAATTTTAGATAAAATGTATTTCAAAGTTTTATCTCAATATTAACAAAAGTAGAAATCTCCGACCAATCTGCATTCCAGACATTGAATTCCCTCCAGCTGCATAGTTGCTATGGCAATAGTTAGCGTGTAGTGTATGTATATAAAAATATATAATTCATTCGTGCCTGATAACAATTTTTCTAATTGTTGATGATATATTTTCTACATTTTCCACACATTTTTGCACTGATATGTGATGCTAGTCTAACTTGTATTTCTCAATTTGTGATGTTTGTTGAAGTTGGAAATCTTACATGCCATATTATTTTAAATTCTACAATGGTGGTGTTCATGCTTGTTCAGGTAATAGTTGTGTATTAAATTAAGTTATACGCATTGCACAACCAATCGCAAAATGGATAAGCCGAATTACAAATTTTCAACAAAGTATGCATGAAGTTTGTTTCAACACTTAAAATAGTGATAAAAGAATACCACTGTATTTTTCTCATAATTGAAATTTAATAGCAATTAAAAATATCAGTCAAATGAGGTGAAATGAATTATTGCTGCCCTCATTCTCTTATATAATCACATTTAGATCAGTGATTACACTTGATTGTGAAGAGTATAAAATAATGTATTGGTATAATGTTATTATGTTTTATGTATTTGAAGAGAAAATTTGATTATGATATTTTGAATATTCCTCTGTCTGTCATATCAACCTGTTTTCGAATTGAGTTGTCAAAATATGTTACAAATGCGGAGTTTAGTAGTTTCAAGATTTGAACTTAAACCATCAGTGTCTCAGTGAGGTGATTCCCAACATCAACCATCAATTGCTTGTCATCAAAATAAGACAACAATTATTTTGAATTACAATATATGGAGTTTTTTAATTAAAAATTGGTCATCATCACAAAACTTTCTGTGTATACATTTTTATAAAGCTGCATTTACTAATTTTATGTGGTGATTGGAGATAATTGTTTCCGGCTGATCATTCCCACAATATCTCCATGTTAATAAGAATCGACCTATTGCCTCCTTTCCATAATGTGTTTCGAAGTGGTAATTTTACCCATTTATTGTTGAAAAGACAAGCTAAACCAGTCACTCGTTGCAAATTTTGGAAATCTATTTTATTGCAATAAACTAAACTTTAGATATATACACATCGTGCTATGCTGTTTTCTTCCCCATTTTCAATGTTAAAACAACGATTTTTAACAATTTAATGATGGTTTCTAAGAAATGCCCGAAGTCATAGGCCTAAACTTTGAAGGCTGATTTCTCAAATATTGTACTTTAAACAGCTGTATGTTTAAACTCGTATAACTTCATAACAAATTGTTGGATTTAAATGATTCTTTTACCATTTTATAGCTCTCATTTTACTGTGCAACAACTGTATTAATAACTAAAAATCAATTTTTGCGGCGAGTGACTTTAGTGTTTTGACAAATACATCAACTGAAATGAAGGTTTGAAAATGCCTAATGCATTCCATCACGTCTTTTTGGTAAACAATAAGATCAAAATAATAACCCAGCAATATCATAAACCTGTAATTATGAGAGTATGTAGATTTTTAGATTTTATAATATTTTAATTAACAATTAAGCTTTAATTAATTATTGCAATCACCAGTACTTTTGAATGGTTTTGTTTTCACTTGCCCAAGATTTAATTGAATAGTAGAAAAATAGTGCACTTACATGAAATAAGTAATAAAGAAAATTGTAACTAACAATTTATGTGTTTGAATGTTTTTTTTTTCATTATATATGCGTTTTTTGGGCTATTTTTCACCTAGTTGTTTTGTGGCGATTCTTACATTTGTATGGTGTGTAGGTGCCCCAGAACACTTTTGTATGATCTATAGGTGCCACAGAACAGAACACAACCAGAAAATGGCAGTGTTGAAAATACCATAAGCTATACCCTTTTTTTTTTTTTTTTCAAAATGTTGTGATTCATTCCAGAACATAAGCTCATCTCATAACCGTCGGAAGCATTTTGCAAGTGGTCCGGCCATTATAAGAGCGCGATGGGGGATAGTCATACCCACCTCAGCCCGCAAGCCATGGTTGGGTTGAGGTTCGAAAAGTTTAGGAAATACTAGGTGGCAGAAAATATAGTAAAGTTCATCATAACATCACCATTATAGTCAAAATGAAGCGCCAACAAATTTCTGATGTACATTTATCATCGATTTTCGGCTACAGATCATTTGTATGTGCCAACAAATTTCTCATGATCTTTTATTATTGATTTTCCGCAACCATAGATATCTAAATAATATGCATGATGTAGGCCTACCATAGAAAAAAAACCTTTAAAACATTGTCTTTTTTATGTATTCACTTTACTTTACTTACTTCAAAGCCGTTAGTCCACATCCACCTCAGCCTCATCATGGTTGATGAATAATACCTCAAGATGGCCGGAATGACACTCTTATCAAAGAATATTATATTCTTTGCTATAGTAAAATTCATCATCATCACATCACCATGATCTCTTATCTGCAATTTTCGGCAAAGATAGAGATCTAATTAACCTCTGTATTGTACCATATAAAATAAAACTGAATTGTCTTTGATGCATTTACTTTATGATTTACCTACTTTCTGTGCCGAAAACCAATATACTTGTTCTCATACTTCTCAAATTATAATAAAGGCACGCGCACTCGAGTCGTGTGTTACAGATAATTCAGATGTTAGTGGGCAGGGATACCGGAATCTTGCTATAAGAAGATGTACAGAACTCTACTTTGGCTGTACAGCGCTCTTTCGTTAAAACCTGGGTCATTTTTATTCATTTCAACAACTTTCAGGCATCTTCTTTACTTATGAAATTACATTGTGATCGAAAAGTTAGAGGGACCAAACCCCCTTAAAAATATGTGGGGGGACGTGTCTCCCATGATCTGCGCCCTGGTAACTAGTACAACCACTACGGTACCCTCAAGGGGCGGACACAACACCATGGTTGAAGAAATGGCTCTTCTGCTGGGAAATAGCACATGCATCCCTCACTTTAAAGGGTGATAAATTTAGATTGCAAGTAATTAGGGCCGGCTTGACCATTAATGGTCACATAACAGTCGATTCTTATCCTACAATCATAACATAATAATAATAATAATTATCGACAACATCATCACCTCCATCATCATCATCATCATCCTTAATATCATCATAATCACCACCATCATCATTATCATCATCATCATCATCATCATTATTATTATTATTGTTATTGTTATTATTATTATTGTTATTATTATTATTATTATTATTATTATTATTATCAATATTATTACTATTATTATTATTATCATCATCATCACCCTCATCATCGTCATCGTCATAAAGGAATGGCGCATTAGAAAAAGAATAATTGTTTTTTTATACTACTCCAGGTGGCGTTTTACATATAAACAATGCATTACTCAATGGACTACGAAGTAGACTTTATAATTAATAACAATTGTGAGTACAGTATTGAACATTTTGCATCGTTAATTCACTAGTTAAATAGGAATTCTGTCATCATTCTATGGTTATTATTTTTACTACGTTCGTTAGGCAGCCGCATTGAAGGCATTGACAATTTCCTCGACAGAAGCATTCACTGACATGCTGAATTCCATTCAACAACATACATTCCTAGTGACTCGCTAAAACCATCTAAAACCACCAAAGACCTGAAACTGGCTGAAAACGTTATTTACTGTAATTACAGCTTGGGGCTTGTTAACTTCCGTTCCTTGTTTTCATTGTAGATTCGTATTTGATTTTTGTAAACAATATAGTCCTTAATTAGAGGGATCATGGGATTAAAAAAACAAGGATAATCCAAGTTTGTATGGCAATTAGAGGAGAAATATTTATTAAAAAGTAAAAGACGGCTAACATATCTTCTGACCTCCAAAGGGAATAAATTAAATAACCTCAGCCTGTCCTTATATACTCCGCATAAGTTGGTATAGCTGGGGCCAGATTTATCAAACTAGAAATCCGAAGTCCATTTATTTTTTGCTTACGTCAAATTTATCAATATTGCTTAGCTCATGCGCAGCTTAAAAATAAAAAGTCGACTGTACGCAGCGCCATCTAATAAGCTACGATTTTGCTAAGATTGTTTGATAAATCAGCTTAAGATACTTGCTTTAGGGACATATTAACATTTTTGACTTGAGACATTCTAAGCTGAGATTGATAAATCCCGAGTCTGGGCCCCAGTAGCACATGTTGCTGTAATATAAACATTATTTTTAACTTGAAACGCAATTAGCGTTGCTCATGTAATCCGAGTTACCATAACTTATAAACTAACATCAACTCCCTCGTCCGACTCTAGGACATTAATTTGCTGATCCAAACAAATATGTTTTAATAGCGAATCCAATTGTGGTCAAAAATCACATGGGCGAACATGTACCGTAAGATTTCTCCCTATGAACCTCACCCCATTGATTTTATCCTGGAACCCTGAACAACCCTTTGTTGTAGACCCCGATCAGAATTGTTGGACCCCTATCAACATTTTTCCTGATTTTACGAACATTTTACTACAAAATCCTTAAATCGACAGTCTATAGAGTTATGTATAAATAAGAATATAGCACTGGTATAATTCAATTGTCTGTTAATTGACAGGAAAACAATTTTGTCATTCATATATTTAATTGTAATTTTGTAACTTACTTAAATATAATTATTCAGTTGTGGAATTAATTTGTTTATCTTTCAGCTCAAGACAGACGGTGCCATTTAAATTGGACCTCATTGGAAATGGGCTGGACTCCGGCCTAATTGGCGTTCCTGATGCTCATTACGGTAATTTTCTTGATCTCAATCCATTTTTTATCTTGCTTATGCATGTTGAGCATCTAATAAATTCAATCAATCAATCAAAAAGTATTATATCATGGAAAATGTTTGTATGAAGATTATAGTTATAGTATTATGTTTATCGTTTGAATATACTGTATTTATGAATCTATATATATATATATAGTACACTTTTTATAAATTTTATTTACCCATGACAGTCGGAATACTAACATAATTTGTTTGTGCTATTGCGATTTACTAGACCTACCCAATCCCATGTATTTAATAATCCTAACATCATTCCGTGGTATGATGATACTATAAATAATTGATATTTAATATGGTAATGCTGATAAAAAAAATTGTGGAGTACTATTATGTTGTATCAGCCACATTGTCCATTGCGATAACTAAATACGATAATGTTGAGGTTGGGGTGCTCCCGGGGAGGGGTGTGTCAGCAGGCCCTTCCCCAACCACCCTAAATATATTTTAATGGTACGGTAAAAATTGGAGAAAAAAAAGAAAATTATATTCAAATTTAAAACCTGAGAGTGGCATTTCTGGCCATTTACAGGTGCCATAATCGAAAAATTTCTTACCTCAGCCCCAACTATGGTAGGGCTGAGGTGACGGGAACCCTTCATCTGGCAAAGTCCCTCCCCGTGGGCTCCTCTACTTTAAACCACTGGCTCTGCCTCTGTATTTATTAATATATTATGTTTTGATGATACTGTACTCCATTATAATTCTTTCTCTATTTTCAAATCTTTTCTCAATATTTTTCTATTCCAGTGATGTAGACAAAGAAGCCACAACTATCAGGATAGAATGTTCGGACTCAATCGTGAAAGGGCAATAGAACTTACCAATTATTCATAGATAGCCAAAAATTGTGTCACTCATCAAGCTTCCTGCCAGCTGGGCTTTCCGGGCAAGAAATTCTGGATTGAAATTAATTAAAATATAGTGTAAATTTAATTTTTTAAATGTTTCCTCTGCAATAATCTCAAATATAAATGTTAGCAATATGTAGTAATTCTTATAGGCTTTATGTTTATTAATATTGTATTATTACTGCTAATGTTTATCTTATTAATAGAGAAAGTAACCCGTTTGTTTTAAAGAATATAGACATGTAAGATAATAAGATATAACATTTTGAGGATTAAAATCAGATTTATTAATTTGTGCCGGATGTACATAATATAGGCCTACAGTATATTATAAAATGTATATATAATTATATCACAACTTTATTTCAATGCTTGAAAATAAATATCAAAATGGAATTGTGCATTTCTTCTCATCTTATTTAATGTCTATGTTTACTGTAATAAATTCAATAACTAAAATATCCTTATTATAATAAGCTTATACCAAATGTGAAGAATTGCTTCATCAGTATGTGCTACTTTATCTATTAAACTAGCAATTCTTTCGAGGACACCCTCAACAAAAACGTGAAACCGGAAATGACGTGGTTGCTAAGCAACAAGCTCATGCATAATCATGAATATTCAGTGACACCTGTTCTAATTAGACTAACAATAAAATCTTTTTGGTCGATTTTGTCAAAACTGAGCTAAAAGTTTTTATTGTTAGTCTAATGAGCACAGGTGTCACTGAATATGCATGAGCTGTAGCCTAGCGACCGACGTCATTTCCTGTTTTGTAAAATTGGACAGCACCTTGCTCTGAAAAGTTTTGTAATTTGTTGGTGTCATGTGAATATATTTGGATAGAGTGTTTATAAGATATAGTAGCCTGTAATAGTGCTATAATCGAAGTGATTGTAATATATTTAATTCGATTATATAGGCCGACTGATTAATAATCATGAAATATATAATATTATTATTAATACAATTACGGCAAAGGAAGTACACACAATGATGTTTTATAAATATACAATTTACTTTTATTTCTTACACATACTCGGAAATGTTACGTCAGAACTATATAAACGTAATATAAATATAATATAAAGATTCTAGTTTTATATAATATAATATATATTATGCTTAGGCCTAATTATATTTAAGTATGTAATATCGTTGGAGAATTACTTGTTCGTTGTATAAGAAACATAATTGGCAAATTTGATTCAATTCCGGCGATCCAGTGATATATCCTAATAAATATCCGCGCGCGATTATTTGTAGAATTAAGACCACATAAATCCGGCTATTGATAGCATCTTGTGTTCCGGCAATTTAACACACATCGTGTTCCGCTCTGACAATAATTGTACATCGACTTCGCACTTATAGATGGATCGGTAGATTTAACCTGAGACACTGTAATAAAAGACATTGAACTAGTGAAAAAATACATTCAAACCATTTTCATTTTGGCATCTGTGTAGTTAGGCCTAATTAAGTATAAATCTTATTAGATTAAAAACACTTTTTGGAAAATTTATGACATTCATTCATGAGGTATAGGAATCAAAATTCAGAAAATAAAATTGATTGTTTGATTGATTTAATACATTATGTGAAGTGTACATGTTAATATAGCGTTATTTTAATATGAGTGGGTGAGCACGCTTCCCAACATCCCACCCCAAATCGAAAAAGGTCCAAATTTTAAGACAGTCAAAAATGTACGGAATACACACATTTTTTTTTTTTTTGTGTAAAAAAAGCGAATATTAAATCTTAACATTTGAACCAATACTCCATCGGACCCCTGTATCGCCCCTGTCTCTTATACACATCTAGATGTGTATAAGAGACAGGCTTAAGATACTTGCTTTCATACATACATACATACATACATACATACATACATACATACATACATACATACATACATACATACATACATACATACATACATACATACATACATACATACATACATACATACATACATACATACATACATACATACATACATACATACATACATACATACATACATACATACATACATACATACATACATACATACATACATACATACATACATACATACATACATACATACATACATACATACATACATACATACATACATACATACATACATACATACATACATACATACATACATACATATTCTGTATAGAATACACAATGCAGGAAATAATATTAAACTGTGTAAATACACCAAGAGTTTGAGAAAATTAACGGCCACTTTATGCTGCATTTTTACGAATGTATATTTTTATGCGATTGTTATCGGCCTATTTAAATCGTAAAAACGCATTTTACGACCAAAGGATCGTTTTTAAGTCACTATATAAATAATATTACACTTTAATAAATTAATTAAAATGAATTTCACTTAGCCTACTTTTAAAGAGTACTTAGATTTACATTTTGAATGTATGTTGCAAAAACATGTGCCTACGACCATGTCATTACGCAACAACAAATCTTTAGCTCTGTTTTTTACTGTTGTTTACATTTTCACTCAGATATTCCGGTTTAATGCCATTGTATGAAAATAACTCAAAAAAAAAATTTAGAGCACAGTCTCCAGTCTGAAAACGTAGGCCTGAACAACAACACAACAATTTGGATACCGCAATTAAATCTAACACTTTGAAGGCAAACAGGCTTGCACAACTGCAGTATGGTACACTCTCTACTTACTTTTTTGAATATTTTCTTAGAAGAAACACCATTCCAAAATTAAATATTTCAGAAGATGTTTTTGCGACGACGTGTCTACGACACAGTTCCGGTAGTTCACATACACGCTTGCTTCTACCATAATTTGGATATTATGAGACAGGTGCACAACCAACGAGGTATCTGAAGGAAAATTGCTGCCAAGGACAGTAGTACTCTACCAGACTAAACCTACAAATTATTAGTTCAGCCCTCACTCCTTATTGGTCTAGCACTTGGGCCGAAACGGTATCCGACCAGTTTGCCGAAACCCATGATTGCCGAATTAATGGCCTCTTGCCGAAACCCGGTTTGCCGAATCCAGTTCACTTAAATCATGACAACCTAGTTTGCAGAAACCCAGCTTGCCGAATCATTTTCCGTCGCCATCGTACAAAATACAGCATATTGTGCTTTTGAAAACATGATGGGTGGATCAGGGAAGAGCCATATTTACATTCCCTATTTTGTACCCGTGTAAACGCTCCGCTTTCTAGAGCCTCATTTGGAATAAACGCCTCTTTCGAAAACACCCCGTGGCCGCATATTTTTTCCTCGAATAAACTCCTCCTTGACTGTAAATAGATCTAATGGAAACATCATTCCACTTTATACTAATGTTTTTCTCCAGTAGAATTACATTCAGTGGGACAATGAAATTTCCCGACTTCTGAAGTATTTTTTAATGACTTTAATGACTGTTCTCCCCCGCCACTGACGGTTTTTACTGGGATGATCAAGCCGTCGTACCGGGCTGGGTAATAAGAGAAAAGAAAGAGGGGAGAGGGAGGAAAAGAGAAAGAAGGGAAAAGGAAAGGAAAGGAAAAAGGATAAGAAAAAAAAGAAGAGAAAAATAAAAACAAGAATAAAAAGGAAGATATCATAATGACCAGACTCACAACACCCTGCAACCCCTTCTCCACTTCAAAAAGTGTCCATAGCTCCTTTGATCTAAACCGCCAAATATTCTCCGCAGTGGCGTAACTACCGGGGGACACAAGGGGACATTGTCCATCTGTGGAAAATCTTTCTCCACCCCTTTAAGATGCCATTTTCACCCCCTGAAAGTGCCTAAAAATCACAAATTTCACGCATTTCTTGTTAAATTAGGCAAATTTCCTCTAAAATTGCACATTTTAGGGAGTTTTGATCAATTCCGACGAAATTAAAATTAAAAACACAGAAACATTTTTTGCGCAAACACATAATAGTCCCAAACTCAAGAAAGAAAATTTAAGATACCGGTAGGTCGTTTTACCAAAAAGAAGGGCCTCAATGTGTAACTAATGGTGAAAGAATATATTTGTAATAAATAAAGCCATAATGAAAGTGCTTATATATTCAGTTTAAAAAAAAACGTGTGTAGCCATAACATAAGCCCTAAACTAAAAAAAAAAAAATTGGTTTTTTTTTTATTTTTGAGGGTGAGAACTTGTGCTTGTCCTCCTTTGCCTTCTAAGTTAATTGAACACATAATAGTCCCAACTCAAATCGAAAGAACATTTAAGATAGATCGTTTTACCTAAAAAAGGGGCCTCAATGTGTATTGATAGTGAAAGAATATGTTTGTAATAAATAAAACCATGATGACGTGTGTGGCCTATATTATAAATAAGATAAGCCCTATGTCGTATTGTTTTTTTTTATATGGGGTGGGGTGGGGGGTTGATATGATAAATTACTAACCGGGAAAATTATTACCTTTGCCCCCAAAGTAATTTAAACACAAATATAAAACTGTATATTGAATATAATTACATACTTGGCAATATCAACCCACAGAAAATGCAAAAACAAATACAGTAAAGGTTCATCAACGTGGGATTGGATTGGATTGGATTTATTCGGTGTAAACGCCAAGGATAGCCCACGAAAGTCTAGAAGAAGACTTATTTCCAGTGGGGTCCTTCTGGTGGTGATTGGGCAGTACACCGGGAGACAATCCCCTACACTTTTCCGAAAAGTGTACTGCGTAACTTTAAGTTCTAGCTGAAACACAAGGAGAGGCAGCGATGGGAATTGAACCGGGAACCTAGAGATCTCCACGGTTCAGTGCACACACAGTGACTACCACCAGATCAGCCGACTGAGCTAAGCTGTTCTCTCTTTTTACACAAAAAAATAAATGCCTGCCTCGAATAAACACTTCCCTCGAATAAACTTTTAATGCCTCAGGGCGTTTATTCAACGAAATCGTCCTGCACCAAAAATTTATAATTTACCTATCCATATAACGTTATTTTGATTGTCAATTTCTAATATTGTGGTACAGTATAAAAAAAAAACCTCCCAGCGCGAACACATGGATTTTTTTTTAATGCCGGGACGCTGACGCTCGATAGTCAGCCCCTTGATTCGGGTGTATAGTAGATATCTATTTATTTATTTCATTTAGATATACATGTTATTATCTTAATTAAACTTTATACACTTATTATAAATATGCTTATAAGACATTTTATCTCTTTTGCTGATAGCTAAATTGTTTGATTTACATAATAAGACAAAAATATCATTAAACTACAATAAGCAGTTATATACCAATAAACAGAGATCGTATTAGAAGGCTTCTAAATTCTCAATTTCGCAATTCTGGAATTTGCCTCTTTAACAATAGACATGAAAAAGAGTTTCTTTTTTTTCCGATAAATCATGTAATTTTCTTCTTTTTTCTTTGAGAGTGGAAAAGAACAATTTCCAATTACGGATGGATGAATAAATAGATATCTATGGTGTCTATACTCCATCACGAATGTCATGCTGTTTTTAATGTTTCACTGCTTTTAATTGACTTTCGGCAAACTGGGTTTCGGCAAAATGGGATTTCGGCAAAATGGACTAGACAATCTGTGATTCGGCAAACTGGATTTCGACAATATGGCGAGATCCGACGAAACCTCACCACCAGGCCCTCCCACAGCCCCAATCGGACGTAATGCTCAGTGACGGCGCCATTGATTTCCAGATATGAAGATCCAAATTTCTCGACAATCCATGCTAGGAAATTTCACCCTGAGACTGTAGAAGTATAGTGTTTGCTACGATTTTTTTTTCGATGGGAAGTACAAGATCCCGTTTCCCCAGATCACTCCCTCACCGACACCGATGTTTTCCGACTTCAAATATAAAATACTTTTTCAGGAAGTGCCCTTATATGGCATTTTCTTGATTTGAGTAGACATACATTACTTTATAAACAAAGGAAAACAATAGAAAGTTCACTCATAAATGCTGGGACGGTGTTCGGAATGGGTAGTTTTTACCATGTAGTTTAGTCACTTTTTAATATATAATTATTATTTTATAAAAAAAAATTAGAAATACCGGGGTGACTTGTGGGGGGGGGGGGAATTTTACCTGCATTATATTTATTGTATCTAATATCTTGTTTACAGTTTACTACTACATTTCCTACTCTAAGACGATCCTTACAATGCTATTTCAATGTAAATATTATGTTTACAAATGGCTAGGAAAGGATACTGAGCCAACAGCCTTACAACAACCCTAGATGCCTGGAAATAGCATCTGGCAACCAATAGAGCCATTTCCCTCCTAGTGGGCGACTATATACCCTACCCATGCTCTGCATGTTTGGGGCAAAGTTGAGCAAATTTTGCTAAAATCAAAGATTAAAAAAAAGTTTTCAATTAATTCATAACAGGAGCTTGAAATGCATACTAATAGTGCACTTCAAAACACGTACCGGTACATGGTGAAACATTCAAATGACATTGAGGTGCAAAAATTATTAATATATAGTAATTTATAGGTAAAAGTACTGTATATGTATTATTTAAAGTAATAAAAATATGAGAATAATTGGTCCGGCCAAAGACATTAAAATTATTTTGAGTCATTATCTCGTAGTAGAAAATAAAATCTTACGTACGAGGTATTACAGTACAGCAATAATTAAAACAAAAACATCTTTATCTTTATCTTCCAACATTTCTAATAATCGTCCGTCAGTCAAAACTGTTATCATCTTAGCTGAATCCTCATTGTCTGTTACCATTTCAGCAATTAGTAACTGGCAATCAAGGTTATAGATGGTTGGGGGGGGGGGCAACACCACTATGAGGTAGAAGATTCCTTATATCTAATCATTGGTTGAAGAAAACTCATGATGTTGGCATTTGAATGATGGATCACTGACAGGTTGAATATGGGTCCCGCACAAACGACATCACCCACAAACATCACACACACACCACACCACACACACACACACACTTAACAACTCAAATCAACAACATGAACCACTCAAATCAACAACATGAAAGCAAGACAAATGTGACAAACTTGTTTCTTATACAGATTTTATTCCAAGCAAACCATGGTCAAGGTATACCCATGAGAGGGCCAAAACTTCCCTACTTGTATCCAGCTTATTAACTGTTCATAACATGCTTTTTCATTGGATAACATCAGCATGACATCATCACAGACGCACACATTTTCTTTTTTGTTGTTTTTAGCAGAGATTGTGATACACTTTAAAAATAATTAAAAATTTATAAGGCATGGAATAATGACAAACCTACTAAGTTATCATAAATCATAAAATTATTAGTATTCTGCAGCTCAAAAATAACAATTATGAAAATAAACATTGTTTAAGAATACACTTTGAATACAGAAATTATATTTTCTATAATCTAAATTTTTTTGATTTAAAAAAATATTGAGCAGACTTTTGATTCACATGTATATTTAATTTTATGCATGTAAATGCCACTTGCATGTACACACACTTTTATGTGTACATGTATCAAGGTAGTTGGCTGAAAAGATGAATATATTTATATGATCTGAATACACACCTTAGATTTCAACTCCACTATATTTTTAGATAATCTAAAGTGAATTTGATATAAACAATCATAGTTAACACAAATGCATGAAATTAGCGCAAGTTATTTCAGAAGAATCAAATGTAAGGCTGTTCCTTGATATTTTGAAATTCATAAGTGATTAAAATGGATGATGATTTAAAGAAAACCATGACACATTTGCAAAAAATACCTTAAAACAAAATACATATGATTTAGTAGAGTATATAATAACCTAAAAATGGTAGTACAGTATTTGAGAAAGAATTTAAATATGGTAAATGTACATAAGGCAAAATCAGAAATGAATCCAAATAGAAATAAATGGGAAAGATAAAGATTGTTACAGACCCCTTTTCCCGCCAACTTAATTTTGCAACGGACAAAATCTGAACCGCTTGACTATATCATGGAATTGAATGTTTTGGAAACAAAGTTAAGTAACCAGTTTACTTGTCACAGCAACAGCCGTGTAGCATTTTTCTTCACACTCACCTCCTGTGAGTGTTATTATGCAGTTTTCACCGTATTTGTTATTTATACAGCTGTGTATGAAACACAAAATATCTACTTGATCCAACTCAGACTTAACCATATAAAACAGCACTTGTATTATAAAAACGAAAGAATAAAACTTAGATACATATTTACAAAATGAAATTATTTAAAAAGTTTCATGCAAGGAACACTTTTTGGAGTAACAGGCACATGCATCTACAGTACCAGCAGTTAAATTCATTCGTCTTTTTCTACTTCATTTTCTGAATTAAAAACAAAGACATGAATTGTGCTGTTTTAACATGATCTTGAAAGACCGCATTTGGTTTAAAAATGCTCAATAAATATCATAACATAACTTTGATAATTTTGAGTTGAACTTATGATAAAAAGGCTCCTCTACTACAGTACTTATAACAATCACTCCAAATTAATCAGGTACTTTTTTTAAAGATATATATTTGAAATATATATATTGACTCTGTTGATGGAATCTAACAATAATCAATATTACTGAGGACAAGGCATTTAATTAGAATGGAAAAAACAAACAGATGAATCAATAACTTAGGAGCAAATTCAAAATTCACACCACATTGTTTTTTTCCTTCCTCCATTTCTCAGCCAAGGACCTTTCATTTTTTCATCGCTTATGATAAATCTCCCAGAATAAAGGGACTAGTATCAAAATACAAAAGTTGCGTCTAAATGTTTCTTTTTTTGTTTGTAACCAAATACTGATAATTGTGGAAAGTAAAACATTTGGGATAGAATAGTTATTAGGAATGGATCGCTTGGGATTCTACCTGTCGTTTCGGATTGTAACATTAACATCTTAGGTGATTGACACTACATAATTAGATAGTGAACACCTCATAAACAGCAGATTGAAAATATTGCATAATCATTAGTTAAAAGTGTGGGGTAAAGGAATCAATTTCTTTCACTTTGTAGTTCTCACTAACTTTTTATTAAGCATTCCTAGTTTATGTTATGATCATCACATTTTCATGCTAGACTTTCTACATGTTCCATGTTACCCAATATTCTCACTGAACACATTTATAACATAAATGCATTATCACATTCATTAAATGAAGGACTCTATAATTAGAAAATACAATCAAAGGCAGAGTAGGAAATTGTTCTTTTCAATAAACTTAAGTACCAGCATTTTTTTAATTCATAAAACATCAATATTTATGTATGTTTTCTCGTGTTTCCTTTTTTTTTTGTAAAAATAGGGAAATTTCCTACTGAAAGATTGTTCATAACTATCTAACATTGTATTATTATTTTAATTATCATTATCATAGATTATCAATACAAAAATCTAAAAAGTTTCTTTTCTGTAGGAGCCTAAATACATAGTTGATATGTTACACTTTTTACAATACAAAAACACATCCTATAAACTTATCTCATTACGTTCTCGCTGTCCACATGCATTTTTGGAATATAATCCAAAAAACTAGTTTAACATTCGTGCATAATTGGGTATATAATTTACTACCTTGCATCTCAATCATTGGTTACGGTACAGTATATGTCAGTGGGGGCACACAGGTAAGACACTTGGACAGCCTTATGGGAACACCATTAGCAACAGGTAATAATAGTATACAATAAGACCAATCACTATTTCATTAGCAAACTTTGATCTATAATTGTCTCCATGACTACACTATATTTTATTATTAATATTAAATATTAATAAATAATTCATTTTATTATTTTGGGAATGAAAATCAACTTTGAGCAACTTATTCTTAAATAGTAAATATATTATAATATTATTGGAACTTTTTCATGTCTCAAAGAAATTTGAGAACACGCAAAACCACTGAACTAGGACATCATATAATAATAGTACATCACATGATAGGGAAAATCCCAATTTATTTGGATGGGAATTATAAAGTATTAAGTGATATTTTGACCAGTTGATTAAAAAATGATATATTTAAATACAATTTTGCAATTTAAATAAACTAAAACCAAGGTTTTTCTGCCGGCTTAAGGAGTGATTTTGTGCACTTTTCATGTCCTTTTTTTCACTGGTTCTTAATCAAGGTGAATTGGAAAACATTTGAGCAAAGTTAACCAAGTTTTGTAAAGGGAAAGTCATCAGAAGGACGGAAATTGATACGTTCTATTATTTTAAAATTATGCAAGTTCCCATTTTTAGTTTAATTTATACCCTCAAAGGTTCACAGAAATTATGAGAATGATTGGATTATTATTACTCAACAGAAAACAAATAATTTCATTCTCTCTTAATCAAGGCACTATTGAAGAATATACCGGGGTTTTAAATAGGCACCTACAACATCAATACACTAGATACTGTAACCTATTGTCAACATAGGACACGTTGGTTTGCTAAACTTATCAGTTTAAAGGCACAAACTTTTTAAAGCAGACTTCCTACCTATGGAACCCTGGCTGTGAAATGAACTAACCAATAATATTAACATGAAACAATCACATGACAACTAGCCTGTCATTTAATTGGTCACTTAAGGTCAGCACCTATCACTAACAATATAATTTCTATTGCATGATTCTGAATCTGGTAGAGATAAGGGACAATTAAGAAACATGTTTTGATAGAGATTAGGATGCGGTCACACCATCTGCTCCATCCACCAGATGTGTCCAGCTTTGAACATCTGCGGCAATTCTTTCTAAATTCCCTTGACATCGAGTTGACCTCAGCATCTGACCCAAGGGAAGCAAATCAAAGGATACCCACCTCCTCTTATAAATGACACTGCTACTTCTAGGGTATGAGGCTGAGCGTACATTTCCTGAATGAGCGAGGTTGACAATACATGTTCCTGGGATATAGAGGGCACCTTTCTCTCAAGGTACATAATGGAGATTTTCCAAAAAATAATTTTTATATAACTGCTTATATAAGCATGTACTGCAGCAAAGCAGATTTCTCAAAGAAATACACCACAGAACACTTGCAAGAGTTTATTCTTGTGATAGAGAATCATTTGACAGCTAGCACTTTAAGCCAGAGGCATCAGCTAATATAGTTGCAAGTCAACACTGTTTTTATTTAAATTTTGTTTAAAAACTTTCTTTTCACATTATCCGACTATTTGATCAGTTGCCGGGTAGAATAAAGATTTAAAACTTTGGTTGCTTAACAACCAGCTCTGAAAACTAGATGCACTTAATCCTTGACCAATCGGTAGATATGGTGTTGAGCTCCGTGTTCGCTAGTGGATACTTCAAATACGTATGCTATACAGAGTAATGTTTCCTGAGTCTCAAGGTTCGATACAACCTACAAGGAAAATAGAGAAACCCAATTCAATAAAGCAAGTAATATTTTTTAAAACTAGAGAGCATATGTGTATATCCTGGGGCAGATGCAGGGGGGTACCGATGGTGAGATTCCAACCCCACCCCCCCCCTAAATTGTATTAAGAAAAATAACTGTTGGGTATGTATTGTTGATTTGTTTTACCGGTAAAATTTTTGAAGTATGTGTGCAATTTCCAGGCACCTAGTAGTCCATATTCTCAAAATGTTCTCACCTCAGTCACAACCATGGTAGGCCTGTGTGACTTTCACACACCCCCTACCGCCAAATCCTGCATCCATCCCAGATATCCATACTCATGATGAAATTATATTCTGGATTAAGTCTGGAGATTGTATTGCAAACTATCTGATTTCTTTTGTCAACCAAGATGGAGAACTGGGTGAAATGGTATAATTTCTGTTACATTCATATGGACTAGAATCATGGCTTTGTGACTCATAACAACAGAATGCCTTTGAAGCAACAGATTTGGGTGACAAAAAACAACAGAGTACACTTTGTGTTACAAGGCAATACCAAGATACAGCATATGGGATCAATATCACCTAATTAGCTACAACATCGTTTTGTGTGCTTTGCAATACCCAGGAGGACCAAATTTTGATTACATCTGGCAACACCTGATCATCCTTTCATTTCCTCCTGTCTGCTCATCCCCTACCAGCAATCCCAGGGGGGCAAACATACGCCCTGCATTCTAAAGACTGGGGTCATTTTTGATCGACAGAAAAAATGTCAATGAAGCCATGCATTTTGTAAAGAAGTTGAGATATTCTTAGCTATTTTGTCTCATCACGTAAATTGAATTTAACAACAGGAAGAGGTTTGTGTCAAAATGATTTAATAAAAGCGATATCGACATTTAGTGTGTGCATGGGTGCACGTAAAATGGGTGCACATTAAATGTGTGCATTTAACCTGGAGTATGTGTGCATATCGGATTTTATCTATGTAAGAGACATTAAAGGGTAGGCTCTACATGTAAACTGGAGTATTTCTAAATAAACTGAAGTATGTTTATACATGTATATGTAAATTGAAAGTATGTATACATGTAATGTGAAATATGCATACATAGATCGGCCTGTTTGATGGGTTTTGATTGGCTTGTGCCCTCTCCCTCCCACCTCCTTGCCAGTGCAATCACTGAGCGTTTATAACAAAAATTAAATTGCAACAGGTGTCCAAATAAACTGATCACAAGCATGTATTAATATTATTATTAGCAGTAGTAGTATATAGTAAGATGTATGCACATTAACTTTGATGTATTGCAGAAAGGAAAGTGTGATATATTGTTTTGGTAATTCTGTCAAATATGATTGCTAAAACAAGCCAAGGAGGATAAATATTTAAGTTAACTAAACATCTGGGTTGCCATAGTACTCAGAAAGATATAAATTCAGGAAATTATTAATCAAGGAAACCAGCCATCCAACTTAAATAGCTATTTTCTTCAATTCCTAGTTCATATTTTTAAATTGAAATCTAATGGCATGAGTGAAAATGAATGAAAAACATTCTAATTTTTAATTTTTTTTATGAAAGCAAAAAAAAATTATAAAATGGGCAATATATTAATTAGCCTAACACAAGCAGCATATCTTTATAATTTAAATCATTTCAAAAATATATAAAATTCAAAAAGTTATTATTAAGGATTTTAAGTAGAAGATTTGTTGCCATTACCAATTAATATCTTCACAAGTATTAAAAGTCACCAAGTCTTATTAATAATTGAGCATTAGTATGGAAATCATTAACATTTACACTACATCACTACAAACCAAAAGTTAATAATTTAATTTTCAAAGAACATTATTTGCCATATCCAATTGTTTTGACATTCCTTTTCCTTAAGAATCTCAATCTTAAGAATCTCAATTAAATTGTAAATTAAGTATTTCCTATCGGCTGAATGAAATTACATGCCTCAATGCGAAGATAATCCTTAATATTTTGTAAACTTATAATTTGGTGCTAACAGAGAGTGAAGGAAAGAGAGGATTAATTTAAACATTTATAAATTATCATATTTTTTTTTGTAAAATTATATTATGTTGCCATCATTATAAAAATATAAATAAATTTATGCGAGTTCATAAATTAACAGATAGAAGTTCACATATTTATTGCAATACCATGTTTATGATACATAGATATGGAGAATTAGGGAAGACCAGAATAATTGAAGCATAATCTAACAATAATAAATCCAGTTTTTATATCAATAATGATATAATTATAGCATATTGAGAAAGAGCAGGTTAATATCAATATTTATATGTTAACAGTATATCATCATTTCTCAAACTGTTCTTTCTGATTTTCGTGCTGGTTGGCTTGGTCAAAATTCATAAGTGCTGTATTCCACTGCTCAGTGCTAACCACCATAACTATACCCTGCTCATATATCAAATGGGCCAAGAATTGCTAAGTATCACTGCACTGCTTCTCTCCACCCAGAAATAAATGGGTACCTGGTGTGGTTGCCTGCTACTGTGCCAATATGGCAGCAACACTTTGGCGTGCAGACCCAACGACAAGGAATAAAAAAGCGTTTTGTAAAGGTGCTATAAAAATACTCCACAAATAAAAATAATAAAAATTTGTGGAACAGCTAATGGGGGGCTTACCTGTAAAATAGTGAAATTTTCTAAGACACTGTTCATCATGTACTTCTCTGGCAGGTGCTTCAGTTTATGTATGAAGTTGATCATGTATTCGCACATAGGTGACCGGTGTATTCTGAATACAAAACGGTTGTTCTCATATCTTGCATATTCGGTCTATAATTAAAATTAACAAGAAATTATTATCAGCTGATTGGAAAAAAATATCACTAGGAAGAAGCTGCTATCAATGTCACTACAAACTAAAAGTCATCAATGTCACTAGACCAACCAATGTCACTACAAACAAGATGCCATCATTGTCACTAGATCAATGTCACTACAAACAAGATGCCATCAATGTACTAACAAAGAAGCAATGACATCACTATGAAGACGATGCCATCAATCCCACTAGGAAGAAGATGCCATCAGCATCACAAAAAAGAAGATGCCATTAAAATCACTAGAACGATACCATCATTGTCACGAGAAAAAACATACCATCAATATCAATACCATCACAATTATTATAATCTGATAATTTCCAGCTATTCTTATAATTAGCAAACCAAACACTTTAAACCAAACACCCAGATAAGTTGCAGATCTAATGCAGTACACTAATAGCCTACAATAGCTGCGACTTTGATTGTCTTTGGCTGTAATGCAATTAGGTATCATATTAAATTATACGCATTTACTGAGGTTTACAAGCAGACAGATCACTTCGACTGCCTGCTTGTTCATGTCTGTCAGTCAACAACTATGTTCTTGTCCAGTGAAATAAAACAGAAACTAGCCTTCAATTCTACTTCTCCTATCAATGTTGATATTAATAGACTGTGCAATGCATCAGTAAAAAAAAGGTTTGTTTCACATATGTTCTGTGTCAACCCATCTGGCTGGTGTGAGGGTACTGTTAGCATAAGGCTTGTACTGGCGGAGAAAAATTGTTGAAAAAGCGAGGGTTGGAGGACATGTTGTGGCATGATTTCTGGGCACGGTTTCACACAAGGGAGCAATTGATGCGTGTCTTGTTTGTAATAACTGCTGATGGACAAGCCTTCATCACTGTATTGGCAAATCAATTTGAACATACATAATAATTCTTACACAGCTTGCACCATATCAATAGTTCTCATATTCAATACTCCCGTCTTTCATCAACTCCTTCAATCTCCAATTTTCCAATTAAAGCATTGAATTGCTCATTAATAATAATAATAATAATAAATATAATAATCATAATACATGATTTACAGATTTACTATACTACGAAAAATGCATAAATTAATTACCAGTTAATTTAGGGTCAATCTTTTTAAACAATCATTATATAAAGCACATATTATACAATTGTATTAATGCACTGAATAAATGTGAGTGCTAGACAGCACTTAATTAAAGACAATCCAAGCCAGTCACTCCTTGTAAAAGTCGATTTTTAGTTATTAATACAGGGCTAAACAGCAAAATGAGAGTTACAAAATGGTAAAAGAATCATTTAAATCCTATGTTTCATTGTAAATTTACAGGAGTTTAAACATACAGCTGTTTAAATAAAAGTCTTTGAGAAATCAGCCTTCAAAGTCTACAAACCATCACCAAATCGTTCAAAAATGTTGTTTTAATGTCGGAACTGGGGAAAATAACAACATAGCATGATGTATACTATAGGGGTTAGATTATTACATACATAAATTTTTTAAATTTTGACATTTTAAAATTTTAGCCATTATCTCAGAAACATGATTTGCGAGGAGCGACTGGTTGGCTGGTCTTCGCCACATATAGAAACAGCATTTTATAGGCCCCTATGCCTATACCATACATATTTTTAAAGTTTTTTTTAATGGAATATAAGATATTAAAATAAATGTATTGCCCTCTTAACTATTTAATGATTACAGATCACTAATTTAATTTACTAGTAGAAATTTCTACCAATTATTGGTTAAATTTTTATGGTGGCACAAAAAATAAATTACACAATATAAATTCATCTTTGAGTTTATCTAAATATGATGCAAACTTTAAAGGAAATAACATTAAGAAGAAATAGATAAGAAAGGAAGTTTAAAACCACAGAAAATCAAGTCAAGTTTCAGTTTGGCAAAGTATCAGTAAATGTTACATCTACCATCTTTACATACAATGTACATAAAAATATTAAACAACTACTTGTGAAGAATATACTTAGACCTGAACTAAAGAGAAGTAGGAGCTGAACAATTTTCCAGGAAAGTTAAAAGTTATTACAAATAATCTCCATATTCCTGATACACAAAAAACAGATAATACTAAATCGATGATATAACTCATCAATCACTTGAAATATCGTTTCTTTTGACTACTTGTGGAGAACGTTCTTGCAGCTGGACTGAGGGATGTGTTAAACAAACTTCAATCATTTTAAATATCTTGTATCCGATTAGTTTGTGCTTTGATCAATACTGTGTATAAATTATTTTGCAGTGGTGTGTGTATGAGTGTGATACAAAACCATAAGACAAACACCAACATTGCCACCCCGCCCCCTACAAATAAATTGTCTGGATACTATAATGGTGTACGTTAGTCTCTCGTTTAGAACACCCACATAACAATTACAGCATTTATGTATATCAGTTTTTGTAATCTTGTCCACTTCCACATGAACAAACAAATCTTGATGCTTTGCAAACAGAAGTGTGCATGGTCTTGATGAAGTCATCATTTATAATTGATGATGTCATCCTTTATAGATGATGTCATTAATGTTATGGTTACACTCACCTCAACTTTTTCAACCACTTGTTTTCCAAAAGAGCATACTTTAGTTGAACATTGGATTGTCATGTTCTCCAAACTTTCATACCTGAGAGAATTATGAAAAAAAATGTTGTTCAATAATATTAAGAATAATTACAAAAAATAACCATAAACATATGCACTATTATTAATAATAATAACGCTAATATAGCTATTATCAATTAACTAATTTAGTATTAAGTATAGGGACTTCCATATTTACATACAAGTTAACTATGCAAGATATAAAATATAAATTAGACAATTCTGTAACAATTGTAGAAAATTTAAGAGAGATAATCATTAGTCCCAAATGTAAACAATCAGTTTAAAAAAATTTGTTATGCTTTCCAAAAAAAAATAAAATATATGTGAATTTATGCAATACTTCCTTTCACATAAATATAAGCAAGTACATACAAAATATAAACAGACACAAATTCTTACTGGCTTGTTACTCCATAAAATGCATTGCCATCTTCCGTCATATTTGAATTAAGATCAGCCTAGTAGAAAACAAAAGAGAAAGATGAAAAATGTTTAAGAAAAGGTGATTCAAGATCTGGTCTAACTACACTGTTTTAGCTGTATATGATAATGTATTTAATAAATCACTTATTCATTTTCTGATACATTTGCTTAACATATAAGATTAAGTTGTTCAAATTTATAGCGCCATACACAAAAACCAAATTGAGCTAGGCCTATATAAGCAAGCAAGATAGATTGGCATATATTTGGGGAAAATATTTATTGCTTTATACTGTATTAGTAAGTTTAGCTGTTCAAGCTACAACGTTGTGGAATTGGTTTTCAGTTGTAAAATAAAGTCGCTATTTTTGGTCAGACTTCTTTTTCTTCTCCTACCCCGTTCCTATGCTACACCTTGGTCCCTTTATAATAATAATAATATGTCGTTCTTATATAGCGCTTCATGCCTTTACAAGGCCTCTAAACGCTTCACATTATGTAGTTTTATGTAGTTGGATCTCCAAATTTTGTCCAAGCAATAGCCAATACAATCAGTGCCTAGTAAAATATCATGTAATTCTACATAATCTACATTTAATAAATTAAATATTTGAATTAAAGTATTTGTAAATCAGATAACTGTTTTTGATCCGAGTGTCATAAATCATCTGGTTCTTTTGAACAGCAATTCAATGCGATGATTGATTGCATTTTTGAGGTTTTATCCAGATTTTGCCAGGAATAGTATCGTAAAATTAAACCAGTTGAGCAATGATGCTTATAGCATTCATCCCGCCTTGTTGTGAATGACACTAATACTCTGTGACATTTAATAGGGGTTAGATCTGCGGCTTCACACATAGTTGTCGACACAGCTACAGTCACTACGATCGCCACCTGTGCATACCAGTCTAGCGAGACAAAATGACCAGGTGTTATGTTGGTTAGGTTTAACTACTTCCTGTTGCATTGCGATATAACTTGACACAGACAGGAAATGACAACATTGCCAATCCAATTACAAGAACATAACCACCGAAGGTCATCATGAAATTTCACGCGTTAGGTCAAACAATTGACTACTATTAATATAATCGCTGTCATATTTAACATCACCATAGAAACCTTAGCAAATTAAGTTAGAGTGATGATTTAGAAATAGCTGAAGATCGTTGAAAAATAACTATGGCTTAGGATATACTACATCAATCATGCGTACCAGTGATCACCGTGAAAACAACTGCGAACATTGGTAACCACGACATGAAATTCCATCGTAAACGAAAATATGCATGAACAAATATTGTTACTTAAGCCACTCATAAGATTTGCAATAAGTTCATAATGTACGGTCTGATAACCTTCCTCCTCAATAATGCTAGGATCTTGAATAATATTTATTCAACATATTGTTTTTAAATAGTGTTGATTAATGCAAAAACAACGGCCCACAAATATGATTTAAAAAATACTTTTGCGGGTCGCAACAAAATTGCTGTTAGGCTCTACAAACTTACCCAAAACTTGACTAAATAAAAACCCTCCTGTGGGCCTTTGTCATAGAGTTCTTTTAGCCCTCCTTTCTTCTCTGGAAACTTATCATATATTTGACGGATATCAACAGACTACAAACGGAAGGTAAAAAAATATGGAAGTTATTAATACTGCAACAGACAGACTTAAAATACCAGACTTGAAATACCTGAGGGCCAGTACAAAAATATTTTATTCTTGACTTTATATGGGAAATGATCAGTCATGAGCAGGGGGGTAAAAAGGGTGAGGAAGGGTAAAAATGTTATTAGTTTTTATGTTTTATTGACAGTACCGCAAATTGATTGACATGTTAGATATCATATGCCTTCATGTGGTTGTAATCATAATTACGGGGCAGAATTGTTCGGTTTCCGGTATGTCAAATCAAATTCCAGAAATCACAAGTCACGTATGTTGTCAAATGACATAGCAAATTCTCTACCTCCTCAAGCAGGAAGTTGTACAACTTACCCCATTGTCTTTTTTTTAAAATAAGGGACACAAAAACAAGCTTCTAACAAAGCTGGTTAAAAAAAAGAGGCGCAGATGTGTCACCTGTTCACCTTATACCAACCCAGATTAGGAGCGGACTTATCTGGTAAATGTGACTAACTGGCGCTGGGATACACTACGCCACCTGGTATAGGGTGCAGTTTATATACATACCACAATCAATGTGATATAATATTAATTGATAGAGCATTTAATTAACAGCCCATTCTTATAAAAAAATTTTTCTTATATTTAAACAATCTTTGAATTTGAAAACCCAAGTTTATTCCTCATTAACAGGAATCTTTAATAACATTAAACAATTTTTTGTTTACTATTTTGGTTTCCATGCTACCCTCAGGTATATAAATATGTATACCTCAGAGAAGAAGAGAGGTTCACAGATACCAAAATAATAATAGAGGAATCCTAATTTTTATATATAAATATTAAACCTATGTTTTTTCAGTTGAATTTAAGCCACATTTTTTGACCGAAACTCCCAAAATTGTGGTTTCACACACCAATTTAAAAATATCCAAGATTGTTAGTGATTCACGGAACGTAATATTGCTAAGATATGTGTACGGATGGAACATGACAGGCCGCTCAGAGGTACAGTGTTCGGCTGAAATTAATACCACATGATAGTGATATAAATGGCAACTTTGGAGTGTTGTAAATACATTATACATGTTTAAAATAGGTCATAGGTCATTAAAAGTGTAGCTCGAACTGAAGAAATCTTTATTAGGAACATAAGCAGACAATTTTCAAAATTAAGACAAACTCATCCTGACTGTACAGGCAAAAGATATTTGATAGTATCTTAAATTTTCCAAACATTTGGTTGTTATTTGACTTGCCATTTGATAAAATTGAAATTTTAAGAAGTAAATATAGGCCTATGGTATTAAATATACCATGTTATTACCTCCGATTTACTGTATTAATAAAATACTACATAAAAAGGAATTAAATAGGGGAACTTACTTCTAGCATTGGGTCCGAATAGCTGACATTTGAACCAAGGTGTACAAAAAGGTGTTTCGCATACTGCAATAACAATAGGTAAAAGGTTAAATTCAAAATTTGTGCAATCAAGTGGCATAAATATACAACTAAGTGCATGAATTTTTAATGACATCACTCAAGATCACTGTATCAACAATTTCATCTTTGTAAGTGGATGTTTGAACTGAGTAACGTTTATTTTGATGGTGAAAAGAATGATCTTATTATTACTGATAAAAACAAGGGCTAAGGTGACGGTGGTGAATATGATGATGATAATGATGATGAGGATTAGGAGGAGGAGGGAAGGAGAAGAAGGAGGTGAAGAGGGAAGGTGATGATGATGATGACGATGATGATGATGACGATGATGATGTTAGTATTAAAAATAATGAAAGAATTGATAATGCTGGTGGTAATGATGGTGATGATGACAATGATTTTTTTCACTTTAAATCAATAAATGGTGGCGAAAATGGTGATAATGAGGAAGAGGAAGATGACAATATTAGTATTCAAAATAACGAAAGTAGTGATTATAATTGTGGTAATGATGGTGATGACAACAACAATGAGGATGATGATTATTTTTTCACAATTTGAATTAATAAATGCCCTTTATTGTTTCAATTGCAATTATGTATCATTGAACATTTCAAATACAAAGCTATGATAATGATAACGATGATACTGATACAAATGCGGTAGTACAGAGAACTCACATTATCTTGATCTCTTTGATAGTCCAAAAATGCTTGGAACTCTACAAGTCGAAGCTTGCGTGTACCTATGGAACGACCTTCCCAGGCCGGGGGTGCACTATTTGGTGGGGGTGGTGCAGATGTATACTCGGTTGTTTGTTGTGGGTAAGGCTGGAAAGGTTTGTGACTGCAAAATAAGAGTAATGGAAGTCATAACCTTTAACTTATTTTCAATTTATTAATACTGTACCATGTTCTGCTATAGAAATGAAACAAACGTCTGTTTAAAGTAATTGTTTCCACAAACACTAACTGTAATATTGCCTCCTCATAAAATAACCAATCCACTTTATCAATGTTTAACTTCTCCAGTGCTAGTAAGACATTTATGTGTTTGATGTTATCTGAATTATTTTCTCAAGTTTTATCGCCATCAATGTATGTACATTACATATATTATTGGAATAAAACTGCTACTACACAATTTCATACATGTACTGTACTACTACTACTACTACTACTACTACTACTACTACTACTACTACTACTAATAATAATAATAATAATAATAATAATAATAATAATAATAATAATAATAATAATAATGACATTTCAGGGACTATATGCCGGTAATCCAAAAAAAATATTATGTTTTTTTTCTTACTTCTATAAATCTATTTTATATTTCATTGAATATTATGGTGAACAGAAACTGAAAATTTGCTTAATTAATTTTTATTTTTTTCTACTGACTTTATACTAAAACCAAAGTAAATATTTAACCAGGAATCCTCTAGTGTTTAGAGAATACAACTTTTTAACATGTTGGCGTACCTGGAAAACAAGAGTTAATGATTGTGTGAAATGAGATTCTCAAGGTAGACTACTTACTCTTGTGATGGGCCTGCTTGGGGCAAAGCTGGATTCCAAAGCTGTAAAATTATATAAAAAACAGCAAATTAAATAAAATTTTATACTTTAAAATACAGAAAGCACTGCACAAATGTACTTAGATCATGACAGCCTTTGTCATCAAAAATTTTCTTTTTATTTAAAATGGGTGTTGTTTTTTCTAATCATAGATTATAAATTAGATTCTGTTGTGCAAATGTTTTTTTAATTTGTATCTGGTCATCAAAACACAGGGAGAGAGAAGTTGTGTAGAACACAGCTGGCCAATTCTAAGGAAACTGTCCATTTGGTCAAAGGAAAAACAGATGTTTTCTAAAGGAAATAAAACAGGGTTTTATTTACTTTATACCTGGGTTTAGTTCCTTTCTGTCCAGTTATAAATGCTTTAGATATTATCATTTGTGATTTCTCATCTTGTGAATCTAAGCTAGTTTACAAGTGCAACATTAATACAAGATGATGCAAGATGCCAATTTAGTAAATCTAGTACAACCAATGTTTATGAGAATGCAACACAAGGTTCACTGACTTTATGGTTGTTGTTGTTAGAGGAATAAGACCGACAGGGGATAGGTGGCGTCACAGCTTAGACATATATATTAATTAGCTGATGTTGTATAATTATTCCCTTAATGGATGATACCATTATGATAATTGTGTTCCAGATACTGTTCAATCTGAGTTACACTGATTTCAACTCCCTTGTGTTAAGGATTTTAAAATTTGTATTCAAGATTTCAATTCATCATAAATTTGGGATCATAAATAATTTGTAGTACACTTATTAATAATGAAGTGCTCTACAGAATCACATACACGGTCTCTCAGCAACGGCCTACTATTGGTATTATGTGTGAAACAAATGTTTGAATTTGTACAACGCAAGTTGTATTTTGATTGTAAACAATTATCTGCACATGAATCGAAAGATGTTCGTACCGGTGCACCAGTGTTATAAGGTGATCGTAAAGGTGACGGTCCAATAATACCGGGTAAACTGTGCGGTACAGCTTTATTATGAATGGCGGTAGCGGAGACAATTTGAGCAGACGACATTGCAGCCATACTTTGAAGAGCTTTATCTTTTGCTGCTTGATCCTACAAAATGGAGGAAAAACATACAACAAACATTGTCAGTCAGTTATACTTGGTGCAAACATTCAACGTTATTTAAAAAAATATAGATTTTCAAATTTTTATTCTTTTCAGAACAATGTTTTCTTGACCAGCAATTTTTTAATTGATATCATTAATAGCATTAACAATAAAGATCATTTTCAATATAACCTTAAACATCAGATTATTTTAACTCATCACCAATGATCACAATTTATCCAATTCTAAATCAAGAGTGGCATCACGATTTGCCTGATGGGACACATCTAATGTCCCCAACTGAGGGAGCCTGCATCACCGAAGAACGCATAAGTGTTTGTGGGCAGTCATAAGTGTTTGTGGCAAAAAGCTGCCCAATGGATGGGGTCCAGGGGACAAAGCCCAGAAAGCTCTAACAATTTCGGAATTTTAAAGGCTTATTTAATTGGTATTATATTCTCATTATAAAAATTGCATTGAATTTTTTTTCTAGACTTGAGATTTTACTCCGTGATGAAGGGGTGGGGGGCGGTTCCTGGACTCCCCTGTTATAAATTAAAATGAACAACACATATCAGGCTTAGCCCTTCCAAAAGGTCCCATTCAACTCTTTAGGTTGATGGTTGTTTTCCTTCAATAATTAGCAGAAACAATTGTATCAATGGTCTACATAATGTGTAGGCCTACCACACCTCTCCTGGTACTATAGGCTTGGAAGTACCTTGGCTGCCTAGACCTAGGCTCATTTAGTTTTGTTTTAGAGAAGTGAGACAGTGTAGTGTTTCAAAACTACAAAATTAGCCTCACAAATAAATGACCAAGCTTAGTTATAGATTAGCGGCCGCTCTAAATATTTGATATAGGCCCACACCTATTTAACATTCCCATGACTGTACACACAATGGTACATCAAGCCAAGTATTTATGTATGCATAAGTCAGTTTGATTAAACTTATCGTTCCATCGTCTCTTTACAATGATGTAAATATATCCACTACCAAGAACCAATTAAGAAATTAAAATTAAAAAGGATCGAATAATATTTCTAAAGATATTTTGAAAAGATAGAGCCATAGTATATATTAAAAAAACAAAACATACAATGTTGAATGCCAGTAATATGGCAGAATTATTTACAAACATTATCAACAAAATAAAATATTTAGTAAATATTGGTAACACTAAATATTAACTATCTGAATGGATAATAAGATATATAAATAGTAATAGAACCAATAGCGCAAGACATACTAATCAAGTTAATGGAAGTGTACTACTATAACAACAGAACATGACAAAACATCATTATAACAGGAAGACAAACAAACATTGATATACATATGGTGGTAATAGACACTGAAGATAATTTGTGCTTATTAGTATAACATGCTGATAAATAAGTATAGTTGTATATACGAATGAAAATTAATTAGGTTTTTATGTATACATATTACTACAGAGCTAAACCTACATCTATATAACTGAGCCAAATCCACTCAACGTAAATCTGTAGTACTTGTTCTTTGCCCAGTTAATAAAAGTTTACTAACAAAATTTTATAAGATGCCGAAATGTAGGTAGGTTTAGGGAGACTTCTTAAAATGCATACTTTTATGTGTCTGAATGATTTCCTGTCAGCCCTCTCCAGCCAATAACATATATGAGAGTCAGCTCTAGGTTTCACTGGCGAGGGCTCCAACTGGAGTCCACACCCACCTAGGGCCCACAGATAAGATAGCCCCCTATTCATGTCCAGAAATGGCGCTCTCAGACTGTAAAAATGCTTTATTAAAACACTGGGTTGTTCCCTGACTGGGGGTACAAGGTTCTCTCACAGGGAGTTCCCCAATATGCGGTAAAGTGATACTAGCTGTACCTTTCAGCTCTTAACTTCTTGGAAGAAATGTCAGAAAAGTTAAATATTAATTTCCTGCATATATTTTATATAGAGCCTTGGAAAGAAAGAGGAAAAAAACATGTTTAAGTTATTGTTAAGAGACATGCTAATTAAGCTGAGAATAACAGAATTTATTCTTTATTATTTAATCTTTCTTTTGCTCGGTTCTTGTGTTTTAATTCTTTATATCAGCTTAATTTAAATTTTGTAAGCTATTTTTAATTTTTACCACTCATTATTTATATAATTATAAATAAAAAAACCATTTTTTTTAGATTACAGGTACTACCAATTTTTTTAATCAAATTTATAAAACAAAAGAATAAAACAATGAAGTCAATGTACCACAGACCTGGCAAACCTCTGTGTCTGTTAAAAAACACTTTCCGATTCTTATGGATAGTTTGGTCTGGAAATTAACATGAACTTATTGTTCGTTACCTTTATGGTTCGTTTGACATCTCTGGACTTGCGCTTCGCAAGTACTTGCATATGACTCGACACCTGGGCAAAAAGCAGAAAAATCAAACACATTCTAAAACATGCAGGTTGGTAGAATGGAATAAAATGCAAGCCGTGCTGCTGGCCTACCTTGCACATCGCTTGGAGCTCCCTGGCCTTGCGCCTGGCTAATACTTGTATATGGCTAGATACCTAGGAGAGACAGGCAAAAGGCAGAACAAGCAGTGAGAGATGACCAGTGCCACTAGAACAACGTGCCTTTATCCTCAACGTGTAATTAAAGGTGCGTGTTAACACAGACTTATATACACGTCATTAACTTGCTAGCCAGCAGTTAACAAGTACTAGTAGAACTTGCCTTTTCGTCAACGTGTAATGAAAGATGCGTGTTAACACAAACTTTATACACCTACTCAGTAACTTGCTAGCCAGCCGTTAACAAGTACCCATAGAACTTGCCTTTTCGTCAACGTGTAATGAAAGGTGCGTGTTAACACAGACTTATATACACGTTGGTAGCACTGCATGCAGGCAAGTAAGAGTAAACGTTAAAGAACAAACAGATGGCATTGTTTGCAGGGATCAGAAACTGTTGAAGTAATGTGCATGTATTAAGAAGACTTTAATACCAAATAAAATCAAAGGAAAAAAGAGACCATAAAATAAAACAATAAAAGTACATCACAACAATGAAATTATTGAGTTACAGCACCCTCAATGTAAGAATCCCAATTAGCAAGTGTAAGAAAGATAATAGGAGATAAAAGAACACTGATACACAAAAAGCATCAAAATCAAAAATACATAATAGAAATTTTATTAAGTATAGTAATATTAAATAAAATGCTTGTGTAGATATTGTTTATACTCAATTTGATGAATCTGAATAAGTTATATAATTTAAATAAAATGAAATCTATACGTATTATATAATAATACATAGAATACCAATTATTTAATTCTGTTTACCACTCTTGGCAATTTAAACAAAACTTTTCTGGCAACTATTTCTGATCTACTGACAGACTAATATTGAATCAAATGCAATGAAATTGATGTCGGGGAATTAATATGTTTTCCTTGCAATATATAAATTTATTAGCAGCCTAACATCCAATAAAATATGCTGAGATTTGACGACATAAATAACACAGTGTGATCAAACGTAATAATTTTTCCTTTCAGAGCTCAGAAAAACTTCCAATTAACGTTAAGAAAAACTATTCTTCTACTTTATGGGAGTAAACTTGAAAGGAGATCGTTAGGTTATCTTTAAGAGATGTAATAAACCAGCAATTAATCATCCACTTTCATAGGCCCAATTAAAAATGCTTTTAATTAATGTAACTCGTCAGAATGTAGAAGTTGTACTAAAATGGTTGTAGCATTAATAGTTCCACAGCTATAATAATTGGAACTAGATGCCTGTCGAAGTCAAATGGGTAAGAACAGGAATAAAAATTGATTTCTAAACATGGTGCAAAATCCGTTGAAGATTACACACACACACACATTTTGAGGCTTTTTAATAATTGTTATAATATTGTACCAGCAAAAAATCTTAATTGCTAAGGAGAAATTATGAGCATATGTGAAAAGCTATTTAGAAGATTACATTTGAAAATCCAAACTTCAAAAAATCTTTAAAAACACATAAATTTATTGAATGACTTTTCAGGTGTAAGTAATGTTGTGGGATGGAGGAGAGGAGGGATGGCAGTGTTAGCCATGCAAAATTGTTAATTCTTGTAAATATTATAACTGAGAAAATATATATAGTAATAGAAAGAGAAGACTAACCTTTTAATATTTTTATTATTATTAAATTAATCAAGTTTAAATCCAACTGAGGTTTGAAAATAACAGTGTCCTGAAACCTGAATATTTCCTCCTTCTCCACCTACGAAAACTCATAAATTTAGCTAGCAAACAGCTGTCACTCATTTATAACTGTAGCAATTTTGGTAAATAAAGTCCCATGCTGAGTAGTTCAGTTGACGGAAATAAAACTTAAATGGTATACAGTACTAGTTCTACTTTCTCGAACTACAAGCAACCACCACATTAAAAACACAAACTGAAACTAATTCAACTAATATTACCATGTTGTGCTCATTTTACTGGTTAATATTCTAGAATCAACATGGATCTCAGTTGGAATGTCAATGTTATAACTTCTAAATAATAATTTAACATTAACTCATAATTTTTATATTTAATCAATTATTTTATTTTATTTCATTCATTCATTCATTCATAAATGTAAATAGTTTTGTTAGTTCCACTCCTTTGTTCATAACGCAAAATACCAAAAAATTCTGTAGATATCCAATCATCCTCATAAGCAATATAGGTATCCCTGTGTTTGTTTGAGTATTGACCTAGATAGTAACTACAGTATGTATGTGATTTGGTGAAAATGGTGAATGTGAGGGGGTTTAAAAACTGGTCAAGAAACAATTAGTCTATTAGAAAATATAAATTAATAAAAAAAAAACAATATCAAAATCTATAGATTATTTACAATATCACAATATCTATATAAAATCCAATATAGAAACAATATTCAGGTAAGCAGATTTAATAACTGGAATAAGTAAAACAAAAATCAAATGTAAACTAGTTAGGTTTAAGAATTACATTTCATAATGTGATTAAAATTGATTAATTATTTAATTGAATACATCATTATTCAAATACTGTAATCAAATTTAAGGTTTCCAAAAAATAATTAGCATATATTGCTTATTAAGATATTTTCTGCAAGATGACAGACAGTCTCATTAAAAATAAATATATATTCAAATTGTTATTGTGACAGCCGTCCATTGCATCCTTCGAGACCTAGATATTCTGACTTCCAAATTCCATCTCTGTTATCTTATTACTTAAATTTGATTAACGATACAATATTTGACATGGTGTGAATTCATTCTGTAAACACACAAAAAAAAAGACTGTGGTGTCTGTCCAATAGCAGAAAAGTATTGTACATAAACAATACCAAATACCAAATATATTGTGAAATTGTATGCTTTAATTTTGGCATCCATCTTAGATTGTATTGCACTTTATGAAGACTGGACTTTCTATTTACAAATTATACCACAATGTTTATTCAAATGCAGCAACAATATTATTCTGATAAATGGTCAACCTACTGTAATATTACCTTGCACTCCAAATTATTGTTGAATATAAATATATTATTAAGACACTACTAACAGATTATCAGATTAGCAAAATCACACTTATTAATAGACTAATAACAAGGGATTATCCTAATCATATTTCTAATAGATTATTAATATACAATAGATTATCACTTTCACATATTATCAGTAAGTTATTGAATAATACTACAATATCAAAATAAGAGATTATCTAGATTATCACAGATTCAATAGATCATCATATATTTTCAATAGTTTATCAGATTATCAACAGATTATTATAAATTATCTATAGATTATTATAGATTATCCAGAGATTACTTAATGCTCACCTGTTTTCTTGATCTGGATTTTCCTGTCCTAAGCTTAATATACCTTGCTATGAGTTCATTACGACCTGTCAAGATAAAAACAAAATAAAAATATAATTTGTGGAGATAAACACATAGAATGAAATGTCCTTTGGACAAAATCCCATTTAGAAAATAAAATTTCATTCTGTTATCAATTGTCACAGTAATGCCTACATTGTAGTCAGGGATATACATAGATATAGCCAATAAGGTTGATGGATAACTCAGGATGTATATTTCAACCAACATTAAACAATAATTTGTGCTCACCCTAATTCCCTTAAGAAAACTTCTATTCTAAGAAGAAAAAAAAATCAACAAACGTCGAAAAAGTTTTTAATCTTTTTTATGGAAAATAGTTTTTATTATAAATACATAAATATATTTGTTATGGTTATTGGCTTCTAAAACACTTCTATGCAAAAAGTAAAAATACAATTTTACAGCTCAGCAATTTGATGATTGCCCTAATTAAATCAAATGATTAAACTAAATAAGCAACTGATTGCATTAGTCTTTACATTGAAAACCTTAATTTGACTAATAATCATCATACTTGATACTGAAAATTCATTTATATTATTCATTAAATAAAAAGAGGTACCAATGCGATTCATTAAGAGAATTAAAATGATTGTTATGGAATGTCTGAGGTAAAAAATTTAAAAACCCTCAGAAATTCAATTTTAGACATTGAATTCAGTAAAATTCTAACTGGATTATATTATTTATAAACTTTATCTTGTTTTTCCTGGTTATGGGTATTAATATCAGTATGTAATTTGAACACTGATCCAAAACTTGTAAACATTTTCAAAGCTTTTCAGACCAATTTCTGGAATGAAACGTCCAAAGCCAATAGAGCAACTTGTTGAAGCAACGTGCCAATCGCCAATCAAAACTCGCGTTGTTAATTGCTTTTGGCGAGAGAACTGGTGAATGATTAAGCATGCTCGTGGAATTGCAGAGTAATTTGCCAAGTACATCTCGTACATGAGCATATAGACAATCCTAACAAAGAAACTCATTAAAAAAATTATTATTGTGATGATAAAACTAATTTTAGTTGCTAAGAATTGAGCCTTATCAGAATTATTTTGTTAAAGTGTGATTATACCATCTGCCCTTACAAGTAATATAGAGTGTTTATATCATTATTAAATTTATATTCATAAAAACGTGCAGTGTGATTAAAGGAAAATTAATTAAATACTAATCCCCTACTATAATGTTGGTAAATTTATTCTCTGATGAATAAGATTATAATATAATGGTATTTATGTTTTCATTTATTAAATACTTTTCTTTATGCTCATTGTCAAAAATACCATACCTTATTCTGAAATAAATTTACAAACATTTTATATTATTTATCATTATTTTAAAAAGTAACAATATTAATTGTCATTGTAATATAGGGATTTTTCTTTTACTATCTTTACAAACGAAAATTGTACCATTAAGGAATAAATAATTTTACATGTGTTGTGAGTTGGATGGGACTTTCATTTCACTGTAGTGTAGTACAGCAACCCTAGGTCTGACATATCAAGGATCTGTCTAATTACCACATACACAATTTATTAGCAGATAATTTATTCACATTTTAGCGCCTGCTAGTCCTGAGAATGGTGATGTATGTGGGACATGTGTTGGAGTAGTAGGTATATCATTTGTCTCGATTTGACAGTCAACACGTCAACATGCAGGAGAGATTAAGAAAACCTAATCTAAATGGAGTAATCAAGGAGGAATTCTTTTTGCTTCATAATCATACATTTGTTCAACCAAGAAACATAACAAAAACACAGGTTTTAACTCCGAACAACAACTACATCATGTTAATTTCTACGCTTTATTCCTTTTGCCTTTTTTCCTACACGCTTACTAACATCAATAATTATCATAATTTGCAATAAAAACTCAAATAAATTAAAACAAGAGTCACATGTTGAGACCAAATCAACAGCATTCTTGCTTCAGTTGAATACTTCAAATATTTTGACTAAGACACTTGCAAAAAGATTTATACCATATTTTGTATTCAACACATACCAAAAAACAGAAAACACTATACATTGAAAGTGAAGGCATAAATTGTTTGCAAGCAAGTGCTGCATTCCATAATGTGACAATTCACTAGCTACAATTTTTTCAAAATATCTTTTTCCAAAATTAACTATGTATTTTTAAAGTTGATGCTTGATATTTAAAACTACTCCAAATAGTGAATGCCTTCTCTTTTATATATAGGCCTAATATTTTCTACTACTGTATTACAACTACTTATACTGGAACTTGTTAATGATGCCACAGTGTAGACTATTTAATCTGTGTCAAACAAATTAAAAACATCAAATTCTAAAGTACTGATATTATTTTTAGACAACAAAGGCTTCTAATACAAACTGCTAAAATAAAAATACCCGAGTGACTTAAAACAGACCATTGTTTACATTAATTTTATGCCTTTCATCAATTAAACACAGACATTACTGATCTTATGTTTCACATAAATATCTAGCCAATAGTACATGAGGAGAAAGGCATTAAAGGTTAAAGGTGAAAGTTCAATTTAATAGCATAGATATGAAGTAAATCTTGCATTGACCTTAAAACAGCAGTGTTTTTCATGGTTATTCTTGCTATTGTTAAGGAGATTCTTAACCTACACCAAGTTTTTAAGCCATGACAATAGTGACAACAGCAAGAACACAACAGAATCAACGATCCAATAGAAAACTCCCTTTCATCCATTGTTAACACAGTATCAAAACATGGTTTCTTTCAATGACAGACCAGCAGACATACAAAACACTACCTCATCATCAAAGATCAGACTATAAAAAAAAACTGACTCAGTGCCTGTTTTCTTATACAATACTCTTTGCCTATTGTTTAGCACTCTATTGAAAACCACACACAAAACACTATAGTAAATGCAGAGCAAAATCACCTCATTCTACACTGCCACCAGAAAAGGTGCTGTGAACATATTTTGCTGCAGGCTTCCTGAAAGGTTTGCCAGAATTATTGTTGGAAGTTGAAATAAGATAAACGTGTAACAAGATTATAACGTCAACTCACTGAGAGTTTGGATTAGTTTCTTGTTCGAAACATAACCAGGATTATGCGACATTTCCTTCCCTACATGCACTGTTACCCGATTACACATTTTTATCGAATTTGATTGACGGATAAATCATATGTCACATATGTTTTGCTTTCCTTTCAATCTTTGAGAAAGAATAGGTTCATGACGGATTCCATGCTTAAATACCACCTTGTCAAACAAACCACCTTCCTTTACCTCAAACAAGTTTTCAAATTCTAATCTCTATATTCCATTTTTAATTCTCAAAAATTAACACAACAAGATTCTATAATTAATACCAAATTATTTTTTTCCTCATATCAACGACATGTGACATGATGAATACTGCCCTCTACATAACAGACAAAGAGAGTCCAATATCAACAGCAGTTGACAGATGAGACAGCATACCTTAACTACTAGTAGTACCATGAAGGTGCTAGTACTAATCGAGCACAGGTTCATGTTACAGCCAACTTGAAGGTAATGGGACCCACTAAAACAATCACCATTTACCCTCCGACTTACGCTACCCAATTAATGGTTGTATTATGTCTTAAATACCTCCACCAGAAAATGCAATGTTACAATTCTGCAAAAAATTATTAACATTTAAAAAAAATTTTTCCAGTTAAATTGAAATTGTTGAAAATCTGATATCTACAAAGTTGGTATTGGTAAACTATCAGTACTCATTCAATTTAATTATATTTTATGCAATTAGGTGAGTATGTAGATTAACATTCCATGGAAAAAATTGATTAAATATAATTATTTATTGTTTTGCAATAGATGCATTTTGAAAGAATAAATCAAATGTTAATTTGATTGTAATTATAACACACAATGCCATGTAAATTTTCAAGAATTATTGGTAATTAAACATGACATGATATTTAAAGAATTGGAAACTTTGAGGTAAAACCTCAGGGGCTTTACTTACTATGAATAAACAATATTTTTTTGATAAATTAAATAAGAAATATGTATCACTGGGTGTTTGATGGGAATTCAGTGACTACTGATTTACACATTTCACATTGTATTAGGATAATACTCACAAACCTCTGGCTAACTACTTACTTCATTATCTATAAAAAAATTTAAAAAGGATAGAAATGATAGAAAATAAAATAAAGTGTTTTTTTTTAAATAATCTTTTGAGCAATTTAAAATAAATGTATATTCAAAAGAACTATAAATAATAATTTTAAGTAATAACCAAATAACCAAATTTTTATTTTTTTTTATTATAAATTATTTAAACATTTTTTTAAATCAAGATAAGGTTTGTGTGCTTCCCCCCTCCCCACAAAAAAAGAAATACCATACAACCAATTGCCAAGTAATGATTATATTTTAAAACAGTTGCAAGATTGGTTTCATTTTCATTTTCTTTCTTCCTTTTATTTTCAATGTCAAACAGTAACATATGTCTTAAATACAATACGCTTTAAAGTTATCTACGTTGGACTCACTTACATAGAAAGCATTTGGTACAGGGGTTGTGGCAGGGCCAGGGCCCCTGTTTGGGAGAGCTGGCCCCTCATTGGGAGGAAAAAACACACTTCATTGGGGGGGGGGGGGAACACACTTCGTTGGGGAAAAGAAAAAATTATACATATTTTGACATTAGTAGACTCTGAAATCGTTTAAATAAGACTTTGAAAACCCGTAAATTGTCATAGTTTATGGGACTACGCCCTCTGGATCATTTCTGGAAGATTTTAAGCGATGCCCGACCATGCCCACTTACGTTCTCATTGGGTAGTCGAAACCCCAAGTCGGGGACATCAGACCCCCCATTGGGCAAATCCTGGTGCCACCCCTACTTTGGTATTCGTTCTGTTAAACTGGATACAGTTAACATAACAATTAAGCTATAATAAGCAATTAAAAAGGTTGTATGGCACTAAGAATCGAGTATCCATGCTGAGCAAACAAAAATGAGCAAACAGTTACCACTTACTAGATACAGGGCAAACACAGCAGACATCCTATTTAAGAATAACAGCTTCGCTACTGTAGATGCAGCATTACGTGTATAGGAATGAGAGCATACACTCGCTGGGAAGATGTCAGATATTGGTGTGATCATATGTAAATTACTATACACTAAGCACTTATTTATATTATTTGGATATCACTCATGGTGCTAATAGGTATTAATATAAAGATTAAACTAAGTAAAACGATCAACAACTATTGGGATTCAAATTCTCTATTGCTTGTGTTCCTGAATATGAACCCTAAAACAAAAGCCATTATACTGTAGCAAGACCAAATATACCTCCTTGGTAACACATACAATGCAATCTTCTGAGTAAATACCAAGTCTTCCTGGTTTCATAATTTATTTCCTCCATTATAGATATTATAGGCAAGTGTAACTAATAAGTCTTTGTTTTCTCTATTTTCTACCAACTTTTGTTTAACAAAAAGATTTTACAATACGCAGGTTTAACATGTCAAAGAATAGCCATGTTGTGAAAAGCAATGTTTGTACCCGTCTCAATAGCAGCAAACGGATCTTGTGTCCTGGTTGAATGAACACAGCGCTGCAAGCCTATACAAGAATTTGGTTTTAGTAAAACAGGTAACACCATTGCACTGGTTGGCTTTCATCTTTGAATCAGACACAATACACAAGCCCAGCAGCTGGTCTTGGTCCTCGTGTAAACAACAAAATAATGTTTAAATTTAAATTCCCGCTTTCGCATTAACCGAATCCCTCTCATAGAAAAAAATCTGCACTGATAGGGTCACAAAGCAAGTGTGAAATGGGATAAATTATATATTGGATTGTACAACCAATAATGGGTACCTTTAACGTTAATAATTCAATGTGATGTTAATTTTTATCTTTTTACACCTGTCATTATATATTACATTACACAATGAATGTATTTCGGATTTCAACAACTGAATTTTTGTAATATATTTCTTTATCATAATAAATTCCAGTTAAGTATTCACGAAGTAGACCCAAAATTATTCAATAAGTTAAATAAATATTTTTTTATTTAATAGTTTTAAGTAAATTAATTAATTTGTCGCATTTCCTAAACAATAATAGAATGAAATAAGGTATATTACATCTTACAGCTTTAGAATCAAAATCATCTCTCCCAAATGTGACTCATAAAATGCGACTATTTAGTACAGAAATGAGTCACTCAATAGCCTCAAGATGTTAAAATGATTGGACCTAGTTAATAAGATACCACTGTTCACTTATTGTACATGCAGACTGCAAGAGTCTATAAGCAATGGCTGTACAAGAATCCAAATAAACTGGTATTAATATTATAATGTCATGGTTTTAATAGATTTTGTCTCGTTCACAGACAAAAAATATTCCAGAATAGTAACCAACCACTTGTACATTCTACTTTTTTGATATTTGATTGCCAAACTAATCATTTTAAATGTATATTATATTGGTATTTTTACAAAGTCTGGTCCATTAATTAGAGCATTAAGCATCTCTGCTGGCTCCATACAGTATTTGACTTTCTTAATGTTTTCTATACTATAATACATACACTACAATACGTAAGAAATGGAAATTTAATGAGAAAAGTAAAGTTATAATTTTAATATTTCCATTTAAGGCCATGTAAAAAATTTACTCGTTTTGAGGTTGAGGTAAGCGTTTTTATATAATATTAAAAACCAGTTAAATAACAGTTCAATTTTCAAATGGTCAAAAAGTTTTCATTCGTTGTTGGGGGCGCCACTTAATTAACAGAAATTTTATTGTTTGCTTTGTTTCTAGGGCTAATGAATAGTGATCGTACAGTACATGTTTCTAATTGAATTTCTTAATTTTTTTTATTTTAAAGAAAAAAACAAAAACTAATTGAGCTTGGAGGGTCTACTAAACAAGGCCTAAACTCTGTAAGGAAATATAACTATTCTTCAGAATAGTTTCTGCAAATCAGACTTTTTTATCATAAACTTCAGGCCAACATAATTAGCTTATACAGGGCAAATTGAGCTTAGTTTGATCCAAATCAAAATTAGTTTAATTGGAAAAATCTGTTCCTGTGCAATATTTATCGCTCAAGTTACGAAACCTCACCTCCACTTCCTACCTCTACGCTACCACAACAAAATCGGATCAAATTTCATGGGTATTTACCCAGTATTAGACTGATTAATTCAAAGATTTTTTTCAATAAAGGAAATGTTAAATTTAAGATAAGAAATTCTTATAACAAATATGTATTGACGAGTAATGTTTAAACGTCTTCTTGAGAGTTGGCACAAAATACCCTGGGGAAAATATAAATGTAGTCTACTGAGACCTATCACAATGATTGTTTTGAATTGTCAACTGAAATTGGTTCCAGCGTGCTCGCTCTCCTGTCGTTTCACCTTTATCCTAAAAACAACACCCTCCGCAATGGCCAAGTCAGCATGGAGTAAAATCCAAGTCTAAGGTTGTGCTTGCTGAATGTTGAATTAATTGTCGACATTAGCATGAGGGTAAAAGAAATACTGAATCAATTGCAGAGAAAGCAGACACAGTGAAATTAACCCCTAACCTTGACTCTAATACACTTATAAAATCTTTGAAAAGTTCTATGCTTAATCCTAAAAGACCAGTAACAATTGCAGTTATTGTGTTTAATGAGGTGAAGCGTACAGCATCTAGCATTAGCGATCTGTCTTTAAACTATAGTTATAAATATATCATTGTGTCACTTCTTAAATTGATAAAGAAATTAAATATAGTAATCACTGTCATTCTCCTACAATACTGTACATTAGAGCAGCGATCAGGGGGCGGATCCAAAGATGTCCAAAAGGGGAAGGGGGATCATTGAGGTAACATCACCCTGGGGTCCGGCGGCATGTCCCATTTTGGGCGATCGTTTTTTTTTTTTTTGTTATCTTTCCTTTTTTTTCTCCAACCCTTAATCTGCCATGGTGATTTTTAGACATTTGCCAACAGAGAACTAAACCAAGGAGCCTAGTGCATTTGCATTCGGTAAGGGTTCCTGATAAAATTCCTGGTGGGTGGCAAAGTACATAAAACACAAACAAATCTGTTTGTAGATCAGAATTATGAGTTCTAAATCCAATTTATAATCAATACTAAAAGCATCAGAGAGTGATTTGGTTATATGATAGATATGTTTGCAAATTAACTAAATTTTAAAAAATATACTAAGTTTCATTTTTTACTGTATATTTTGTTCTTATATAATATAACAATATTTGATCAATTTCATTTCTAATATTTGATACTCAAATACTGTGGGATGGTGTGGTAATATTACTACTATCCCCTATCCAAAATAGTTGACCCCATCACACTTGACAGCACCTAAATGACTGACCCTACTGTACTGTAAGTATGAAAGTAAGATTCCTTTAATAACAATCAAATTTGCTTTCATTCACCAGGTTTCACAAGAACTTTCATTCATCGAGGACTGTATCCAAGTCAGTAATTGTTCCAACAGAGAATGAAGAATAATTCATCTCATTTGCCAGAAGTTGCTAATTCCAGTACCAGCAACCATATGTGGCAAACACAAGCCAAACCATTCATTCGTTGCAAAAATCAATGTTTTGTTATTAATACAGTTTTAAACAGTAAAATGAGAGCTATAAAATGGTAAAAGAATAATTAAAATCCAACATTTCCTTATGAAGTTACAAGCATTTAAACATACATCTGTTTAAAGAACAATATTTGAGAAATCAGCCTTTAAAGTTTATGATTTCGAGCATTTCTCAGGCAGAAACCATCACCAAATTGTTAAAAATTGTTTTAACATTGAAAATAAAAGCATAGCATGATCCATGGATATATAAAGGTTAGTTTAATGCAATAAAATGGATTTAAAAAAAACTTGATATTGCAGCATGTTTTGGTCAGTATCTCTGAAACACGATTTGCGACGAGTGACTGGTTTGGCTTACCTTTGCCACATATGTTCCTTTATGCATGTACTTAAATAAGAAATAAATTATGCCTCCTCATATAATAACAACTCGAAAACAAAACAAAATTCACTAATGCATTTTCAATAATGAAAAAGTTCAAAAAGATACCAAGCTTAACTTACCATACATCTTGCCTTCGTCGGATAAGATAATTTTTCGTCTTCCGCATGGAGGATAGATTGCTAATGCTTCTTGGAAACTTTGTTCGATTTCCGGACTCCAGACTCCTTCAGCATCATTGCCGGGATCCTCGTCAGAGAGGTTTCCCCCTCCTTGGCTACTCTGATTCCAACTGTCGGTCATGTCACTACCTCATGCTCCTCAACATCTATGGGAAGAAAACGGAAGAAAGTTTAACAATTATTCTTTAATTGTTGGTTACTCAGTACATTGCAAAATAGTAATAATTATACTACATAACCAACTTTGTATTTAACTACGGTAAGTATTAAACTTTTTACAACTAATGATTAGTAAATTATTTACTATAATGAATATAACAGTTTTCACGGCGTAGACAATGAATTTGTGGACTCGCGTTAAGACAATGTAGTGTGGAAGCCAGACATCAAAATCAAAATAAAGTACAGTAAATAAAAATTTAAAAATTAATAAAAAATATGAGGAAGAATTGATTTTAAATACATAAAACTATATTTTTTTTTTTAACCAAAAATCAATTTTAAAAAGAAAAAAATAAAACTGTGATCTTTTATAATATAGTAAAAAAATAGAGAGGAAAGGTACCATGTCTGAAACAGGTAATGTAGGTAGCTTTTCGGTTGGGAAAATAATTAGAAAGACTGCAGAGAAGCTGTTTAATCCATTATGAAACTTCTATGAAAATTCTAATATGTTTAGTGAACCAAGTTGAATAAAAGGAAAAAACATAATTATCTATTGAATTTTACAATAGGCGAGGTTCTTAGTGGTAAATACTATGAAAGGGTAGTTTAATTGTGTGAACAAGTCTAAAGCCACAGAAACTAGCGCAGAAATCACTTTAACAATCTAGAAGCTGTGGAAAGGCTCTCTTTCAAATCTACTTGTTCAGTTAACAATAGTAGGTATTGTTGTGAGCAAAACAGTACAAGCCTCTAGTTGGTTGGGATTGAATCCCATGCCAAGGATAAGAAAGGTGAAGGTAGAATTTCAGAGGGACCAGCTGATCAGATCTATCCCACTCAAGAGATCACATTTTCAGACGTCAGTCGCCATTGGTGATTAATAAAATAACACAGCTATACCTTCCCTCATTTTATAAAACATAATATGATAAACAAGTTTATAGAATTATAGTAGAAATAAAAAACGGATGTAGAAATAAAAAATGGATATCATACTTACTACATGTAAATATGAGTTGGCTTGGAAATGTGTTTAAACAATTTTAAATTACCTTGTTAAAAACACATCTGAATATGATTAAAATATATATGGTAGAAAACAAAAGATTTTTGTTTTCTGAAAATGACTTCGTTATTTTTTTTATGTTAAATTAAATTTTCATAACTTTTATTTTATCCTAAGGCCGATTTATGAACACTATTTCATCTGGTGCCCTTAATATACTATGCATTTTTGATAAACATATATAAGGTTAATTTCCTTTATTGCCCAATAATCTCTTTCAGAAGATGTGAAACTATTGTATAATATACTAAATCGTAGAATATTTAGATCCAAATAGGTCTACATCATCACACGTCGTTAAGAACTAGTACCGATATGTATTAAAAATACTGATAAAGATAATACACGTTAATTCCCATTGGACAAGTAATGTACAGTCTATAGCATAACAAATTCATGGGATGCATGCAAAGACCGGAGTAGTTTCACACAGTATAATCCACTAAGGGGCTGTTCTTAACATCTGCTGGTCTTGGAATAACAAATACAATTAAAATATACTAGGAAACTACACATCTTAATGTCTTTAGTGCACAGCTTTCAAAGTACAAGTATTTGCATGTAAACTTGACAACTATACTAACACTGGCTTTCTGACATAAAATCAGTATCATAAAAGAGTCAAATTAGGTTAAAAAACTACAAAGTAGCTGTACTTAACAAGCCAGCCTATTGGTCTCCACTTCTGTTAGTTATGAAAGGAGTAACTGCCTATTATTATAGTTTAGTAGTGTCAGTACATACAGGTTTTATCAATCTTTCTTACTATTATTCCTTCAGTCATAATTTTCCAGCCTTAAAATTGTTTACAAATAATCTGGGTCATTGGGGGGAGGGGGGTGGAGACAGTGTTCGTAGATACCAAGATACTTTATTTGGTCTATTATACAGACTTGAACATTTAAAAAACTGGGGGAAAATCCACCTCATTTCCTTCAAATTTTAAATATTCCAAAATCTGTATCTTATTAAACTGTTCCCTCAGTGCCTTAGAAAAATTAATTGTACGTCATACCAAAAATATTTTTCCTCTGGAGTCGGTATTTAAAAAGTACTAAGATCACGTTCAAATATTTTAATAATTTCACATCTAACCATAAAATATTACTTATATTGTATATGTAAACACTGCACATCAAATATACATTTTTATGGTTATTGGCAAGGTATTCACTAATGAGCTGGTCAATAGTAATTAGAAAAAGATAATACAAAAAAAATGTAATAGTAATTTTTGGTGTCGTGTTTGATATTTCAGTTGCATATAAATGTACCACACAGTGATTAGTACAATTTACTGTTAACCTTGATGTAATGCGCTGGAGGACAAGACAATCTATTCTCAATGAAAATTGATCTCAGTAAAATGGGTGAAAGAGACTCTGCTGCACTAAATACAGAAATACTTTTGTCCTAATCAATAATACAAATGAGTAAAAACAAATTAAATCGATTTGGTGAAAAATCAGAACATACTTAAAATAATTGGTATGAACATAAAAAAAAATCCCACAAATAATTGAAGTTAAACCAGGTATTTGATAATATAAACAAATGTCCAGTACAGTATAGTATTTAAATATTAGTTTAGGAGAAATATTGTTGAATTATACTTATTGTTAGTTATAATAAATATTTATTGATGTTATAGAACAAAATAGTTCTTATCAAAAGGTCTATGTCTGTTGTTGGAAGTTGGAGAAACTTTTTACAGCAATTTAGTTTGCTTTAAATGTTTATCCCGTCTCTGAATTTTGGTATTGTTATTTCTGTTCGTTTTGTATTTGTTGAATGAAATAAAAATGAAATGAAATGATAAAATAGACCCACTTCAAACAAGAACCAGAAATTATACATTTTCACCTTTTGATAGTAAATAAAATATAATTAATACACGTATATCAGAAATCAGAAAATTTTTAATTATCAAATTTGATGGTGTATCTGAATTTAAGTTTTCTCATAAGGACAAATGAATTCCACAACCCTTCAATTTCCTTCAGCTGTTTCTGGAATAATTACTCAACAAGAAGTGGACACAATTTTCATTTGAAAATGTAGAGCAGCATAACTTAAGGTGACGTCCATCATACTAGTTCAGAGAGTGGATTTTTGCCAGGATGCAGGAAACAATTTTGTAGACCTAAACTTTAGAAAAAAGTTACATTTTTTTTATTTAGAAAGATTGTTGGATTTGAGTAACAACCAATAATCAATAATATCCAGAATTATCAGTAAGCTTTCATATAAGCATTAAGATTGGTTGTTTTAATTGCTACAACTGTAGTCTGATAGAAATAGTGACACTGGATTGGTTACCAAATTGTAAAAGCTGGCCAATCTAACAACTAACAAAACTAGTGCCAAATTCTCAGCTTATATAAGTTATACTACCATAATGATTTATGGTACTAAATTTCTGATAGAAGAAATTGATAGCTTAGCAGCCATGCCTGTAGTTTCAAGGATAACAATATTTTCTCCTATTAAATTTTATTCATGATTTTGTATTTTTTAGGGCCAGGTCATGAATTGTTCTTTAATTATAGTGTATAAAATTAAATAGCAAATTTCCTTTGTAAACAATGTTTACAACAATCCTTCAATAGATCCTGTATATCTTTATAAACTGACTTTTTTTTGGAAAATAATTTGTGAGAAGTTATAGGAAAATCACATCATAATTTCTTCACGATCATATTTCAGATGGTATAATATAAATATGGTATGAAATAAAACAAGAAATTAAATAAGACTATTAGTAATAATTGCAGTGAACATGTAAATCAAATGTGTTTATTTGATAATAAAATGTAATTGCAGTACCACAATTCAAAAGTGATGGTAGAAGAAGATAGAACAATGTATTACTTGTACACTGAAGAATTAATATACAGAAAACTCAATAAAACTGTATGATCAAGAGATGCATTAGACAATGAAAACAATTTATTCAAAAAAATGTATGTGTACAATCTAAGACAAAATTGAGTTCCATCTTTATACAATTCTTATATTTTCTGATGCAACAAAGCTTCATCATCCCAATATAGCACTCGTATATAATTAAAATTTTTAATGTTAATAAAAAATGTAATTGCGGTACCACAATTCAAAAGTGATGGTAGAAGAAGATAAAACAAAGTATTACTTGTACACTGAAGAATTAATATACAGAAAACTTAATAAATCTGTATGATCAAGAGATGCATTAGACAATGAAAACAATTTATTCAAAAAAATTGTATGTGTACAATCTAAGACAAAATTGAGTTCCATCTTTATACAATTCCTATATTTTCTGATGCAACAAAGCATCATCACCATATACTGTAGCAGTCATGAATGTATAATTAAAATTTGTAATGTTAATAAAAAAATTTAAAAAATGGTTGCTGAGTAAGCAACTTTGATTTATATGGTGTAAACACCAAGGATAACCCACGAAAGGCTGAAGAAGACTTATTTCCAGTGGGGTCCTTCTGGTGGTAATTGAGCAGTACACCGGCAGACAATATCCTACTCTTTTCTGAATAGTGTAGTGTTCTTTAACGTACACACGGGCCATAATGCAAACAGGACAAACGGTTGAAAAGTCTCATCCAAAAACGGTGCGCTATCATAACTTGCTTTTATCCCTCTAGCTGAAACACAAGGAGAGCAACCTGTTTCTTATATAGCTTTTATTTAAAAAATTCATTTATACAACATCAAATTAAGTTTGGGATCAGAGATTGACCCAATCTTATTTCAAAAGTCTATAAGGCTTCACCAGGAGCACCCCCTCTCTCATACCCTTTTTATAGTGCCGGCTTCAGTTCCATATAGCAGAGTACTTGCAAATGGATGTGGACGTAAGGTACTGTAGTTGATACAGCCCATGAATTTCACGTCGGCAATCGCCGACCATATTAC